TAATTACTTTATTACAATGAGAATAGTATATATATATGTTTTTATTTGTTAAAAACTTAAAAAGAAAAAATGGATTCTACTTTAAAAAAAAAAATATATATATATATATATGAACCGTGAACTTGGATGAAGGTAAAAACCATATACAGAAATAGTTTAATTTAAGAGCATATAAACAGAAGTATATAAAGGCTCAAGTATTATAAGGCAAAAGAAGTTGGAAGGTATATATATGGTTAGGCAACCGGCTGGGCATGTTGCATTGGAAGGCAAGGGCCGGCGGACGCGTGAGTGAGCGGCCGATATCTCACGAGGGGATCAGAGGATCGCTCGCGTGTTTCCACGGCACTCCACCCGCCAAAGCATGTCTAACCCAAAGCCCCGAAAGCCACCCCATGTCCACGTGTCTCGCTCACGGTGATTTTCATTTCCGCGGCACTTCACCGCTATAACCTTAACTTACCGCCCGCGCCACGCCGCAAAAGTATACTTTTTTTTCTCTCTCAAGAAGCACGCATCGACCTGGCCACACTTGAATTCCAAGTACTTTTATATATATTTACAACAAATTATCCAGTCTAGAAGAAATCTCATCCGGAAACGCTAAAATTGAATAAACATTTTTACGCTCCACGAGAAAAGGGTCAAAAAAAATTTTAGGTTATGTTTGTAATAGACAAAAAAAAATTAAAGTTTGAAAATTTTACACAAATTAACGAAATTAAATAATAGAATTTTTAGGTTAGGAATACCACTTTGTAATGTTTCCTTGTTCCCTCATGTATTTGCCCCAATTATTCATTATCTAGTATGAAACACTTGCTTTTAGCCACTAAATCCAATACGAGACGCGCACTAATCACATTCATCGAATATTTTTACAATTTTTCTATACAGATTCATTTTCAGTAACGTGTAAAGTATTGTCGTTTTTACCGTGTAGATAAATTTAATCCTCCGAAAGGTAAAAAAGCAGTAGATATATATTCTGCGTTTGCGCAAAATTTTTACTTCTGCGCAGACACGCAGAATATCTGCCTTTATAACCTCTAAGAGGATAAAATTTATCCACGCACGATGACAAAAAAAAATTTTTATTTTATGAATTATTTTATTTTATAACTTAGTTATAAAAGGAATTCGCAACTTTAATGATTGTAAAATTTGCAAATATTGAAAAAAACTGATTAAGTATACAATTGTTATTGAATAGCGAAGGTGGTACCTTGAGAGCAGGGAACAGTGATATGGAACAAAAATATTGATGCTATTAAAGAAACAATAAATTTTTTTATGAGAGTCATTAAGAGTGTTGATACTTCTTGTAAGGAGTATATATACGAAAGCTATAAGCAAATAAGCAAAACCTGGTAGCCCCATATACTGTATACAGTTGACTGCATCAGTTAAAACCTAATAAGCCCTATACTCACAAGTATAAAATATATATATATATATAATATGAGCCATGTATGCCAGTCCACCTTCACCTGGAGACCTCTGATAAAATCTCTCAACCTGGTTAATGTTAATATTTTACATGCGCTTGTATGTACAGCTATTTAAATTCCCCAACATTCACTAATTAAATTATTAAAACAATTTGCTCTTTCTCAATTAACGCATTTTTTGTCAGTTTTATTTTTTTCCAAAAAAAATACTCATTTTTTCAATCAAATGTAAAATATTAGCTTTAAATAAAATTCATTGATAAATAAATTAAAATAGTTACGCTAATACTTTCCTTTATATATATGAAAGGAATAAAGGAAAGAAGTAGCTAATACATTTTTTATATCACATAAATGTATTAGCTACCATTTTTGAATATATGTTGATTTTCGTGTATGGAATGTCAATCCCTTGAGCACACAATCATCTCTCCGTTATTCGGTATAACAACCCCTGTTGAGAACACATTATGCAATTCAAATATTATTCAAAGGCTAAAAGCCAGGAGGCCCAGCAGATGATGTAAGATTATATAGGAGACCAAAGGAGCGTGTGTGGTGTAATATTATACAAGAGTGTCCATAACTTTTTGAAACTGTTTAATAATATACAAAATAAGAATTAAATTCAATCATCCTTCCACATGATCATATTTTGTCATTAACTGTACAAAAAACTTTTCTTTAAATCGTTAATAAAGTTTGTTTTAGGATTTAAAACACTGAATGTTAGATCGGAAGTTCAGCTGTGTTTAATGACTATCGAATTTCAAGATCCGATTATACGCTTCAACACCAACTAATAAAATATATAGTGAAAAATCCCAAACAAATATTAGACTCCAAACATTTTTTTTTATCTATATTTCATGACTTTTTATTGTCACATGAAAATTTTAAAAAATATAAATGTTTTTCATTTTTAAGAATTATTATTTGGTAATTTAGTTTGTATTTAAAGAGGTAGAAAATTGCGAGTTAGGAGAGAGGTGAGTCAAAGAGAAACTTTATACAAATCGATACGACCGTCCCCATTTCTTCAGCACTCTTTCAACCGAATCTAGAATGGCTGGACTTGTGTTGTAATTCATGATTACAACTATAATATAACCTTTGCGTGAAGGCGTGACAATATAATCATAGTCAAGGAGGGTTGAAAAATAATTCAAAAGAGTTAAATATGAATCTCAATGGAAGATACTAATTAGTGAGGTTGGAATTTTGCTCTTATGATCCCTCAAGGTATAAAATTCCACACATACACGTTCGCTTGATTCTCATTAATCCTCACGACAAATAATTTCCGTCGCTCTTCCCCCATCATCTGCATAAAAAACCAATCACCTCAAGACTTTCAGTTAACCACAATAACTTTCAGTTATTCGCTATACATTTTAACATATACGAAAAAAAATTATATTATTTTATTTATCAATAAAATTGAGTTTTTTAATATATATAAACTCGGATTAATAACACTCAAGAGCAATTATAATATCAATGTCAGTGTATTCATTAGAGGCAGTGTAACAACTGTTACAACTGTCGCAGGAATCATGTTTTTCCTCTCTGAACGCGTGAACGGATAAACATGCACTTGATAATCTTAAACTGCATTTTTTTTCCAATAATTCTAATTTTGATTTTTCATATTATTTTTTGTATTCAACTGATAAATTGTTCAAATCTTCTTACATTATAAAAATTGGATTTTTCAAAATATATACACCAGTCAATTTATCTAATGGAAGAGGGTAGACGATATATATACTCTTATATATAAATATTAAAAAAAATATACACATCTCGCATTTATACTAAAGATGAAAATATATTATTTAATTATAAAAATTGTGAAAAGATAGACAAACTCGTATTTCGCTTCTTTCTTCGCCAAAATAAAGAAAAAAAAATATAAAAATATTAAGCTGTATAAAAAGGGAGATCGGATAAGAATGGAAAACAGATGATCCATCTTGTGGTTCATTGCTTAATCTTTAAATGTAACGTGTCAGTTATAGGGACGTATGATAAAGGAATTTCTAAATTATTTTCATAATTTGACCGCGACAATCAATTTTTCGAATACTAGTGAAAAATTAGTTTATTTATTAATTTATATTATAAACTAACACTGTCAATGTCAATTTTTATAAAATGTGTTTACAATTTTGGAAAATTGCATTTTTTACATGAGAATAACATTTGGTACGCGTAATATAAAAGAAAATTGCCTCACCTATCACTTTGTTTCTCCCTAAATCTTGTAACTAGAATCGTGTAACTTTCATCTAACTGACCAGCTGTGTTGGACATTAGACGGTTGTCAAATAAAAGGGTTGACCCTACAAAAATGTCCCCTATCAGTCCTAATGTAATTAGCCAATTGAAGCCCTAATATATATAACAAAATGTTTTAAGAATTATTTTTTATAAAAAAAATATAATTTCCTACATTACAATATTATTTTATATTTATATAATAATTGTATATACACTGTAAACTTGATGGTATCATTTTGGAATGCAACCTTTATTTATATTTATCACATAAGATTTAAGTTAAGTTCACAATCACAATACTTGAAAATTTTTAATTATTTTTGTGGTTCAAATAATGATATCAATAATTTATTTATTATAAATGAACAAAATTTAAGCAATGCACGCTTGATAAATATTTCTAATGCGTTGTCAATTAATGCAATTAATAATTTCCTATTACACAATATCATAATCGACATATATGACATTTGTAAAAAAAACAGGGTTGGGATCAAATTAACAACGTATTGACAATTAAAAATTCGATTCGTAACTTTAGACTATCCGAAAAAATTAAAGCTCTAAAATGTTATAAATTTAAATGCATAGATATTATTGAATATATATGTAAGTATGTAAGAATGATTTCATACTGATCATAGGTAAGCGTGAGTGTGAGAGAGACGCATAAGTATGTCTTCATCGCACTCGTGAGCTGGTTTATATTTTTACGGTATATTTTCGTTAACGATAAATTTAATTTCCATTATTAAACATTTTTAGAGAAATAATAAGTCAAAGTTGTTTGCTTTTTTCTTTTCAATGATTCTCTTTCTATAAAATTATCAATTGCATGTAAAACAGAAAAGATATCATCGGGAACATTTAGTTTTCATTTATAAAAGTTTCTACACGGAAAAAATTCTCAGGAAATGTTATTACGATTTAGTCTTCATAAAATTTTGTTACGATTTAGTCTTTATAAGATTTTGTTACGATTTAGTCTTCTTCTCAGTTTTTGTAATTAAGGTGAAGCTTATTATCAACTACATCAAGATATTTTACGTGTATCGATGATTTTTTCAGCTTCTGAAATATAAAAGATAAATTAAAAATGTATATACATAAAATAATTGAAAAGATATTAAACATTTAGTACGTACATTTAAAAATTATAACTGATTATCCTATATATAACTAATAATTAAAGAACTATGTTTTTTTTTTAAATAAAAAAACTGCTTATTTCATTTTGCTGATAAAGTATTTTTATTCTTATTCCAGCGCCAAAAACAAATCCAAATGGATCGGAATACGGTGGTGGAGCAGTGCCAGGTTCTGTAACGTCAGTATTTCCTCCGACGGTAAATACTGGCCCGATGACCTGTCTTACCAGTGGCCCTTTAACAGGACTATCGAGCAGTTTCAACAATACCGGTCGTACAAATTTCACCAATAAACAACTAACAGAATTAGAAAAAGAATTTCATTTCAATAAGTACCTGACGAGAGCGAGAAGAATAGAAATTGCCTCGGCACTTCAACTCAATGAGACACAAGTGAAAATTTGGTTTCAAAATCGAAGAATGAAACAAAAAAAGAGAATGAAGGAGGGACTGATACCAACTGATGGTTCAACATCAAATTCATTAAGTCAACTTAGCGGTGCTAGAAGTAATAGTAATTCACCTACGGGGTCTTCGAATTTAGAAATTGGAGGACTTAACATGCACAATTTTACAAATGAAAATAGTCGAGATTCCTCTCCATCTACATCAAAGGAATGACATTATCATTAAGAGAGATGATGGAGTTTCTATTAGTTATCAGTTTCTGATTATAATAAAATTCATCCAAAAATTTAGAATCCAGTTTTGCTCAGTTTAAATAATTCTAGTGAATGTCGCATGAGTATTATAATTTATTTTCCAAATGTTCTGTTTGAAATCTTAAATTACCAATAAATTTTAATATCAAACGTGTAATAAAATTACTGTCAAATAGATTATTGGAAATATCTCAATAATGTAATTTGTTTGCGTGTGGAAAATTATTAGAATTGAAAACTGTTTCTTAAAAAACATAAAACAAATTTTATTGTAAATAAAATTTTTAAACTGTGAATTATTTTTGGAACATGTTTACAAGAAACAGAAAAAAAAAATAACAATTTTCTTTTTAAAAAAGGAACAAGCTCAGAATTTCACGACAAAAAATTGTTGAAAATAAATTCATACATAAATATTTTGTAAATATTCAAGTTTCAAATTCAAAGTAATGCATTTTGTCACATGTTGCATTAAAAAGAAGTCATCAGAGCGAGTTAAAAAAAAAAATTACTTTTTCTAGATAACGCATATGTATATACAAGTAATGGCACGAACCTCCGACAACAATCGAATTTTTCTTTTTTAAACCTTTTATCACGCAACCATAATTTAAGAACTGGTGGAATATAGCGTGAGACGATATAGTCCTACTCGTGCCGTTAAGGATTTCGTGGTCTGTGACAGACTGGAGTCAATAAAAAAAAAAAAAAAAAAAAAAACTCGAAATATATGACGACTGCTATCGTTATAAATTTTTGAAAATTATTTAAATCGACAGCTTTTAAAATCACTTTAGTGAAATTTACCAAATCAATGTGTACATTTTCAATAAAATTGCGACAAACTGTTATATAGGGTTTTCTCAATTGTTGAGAAGTTTAGTGACAAATATAGACTATAGTTTTCACTTTAGAAACTGGGATAAAAATAATCTTTCCACTTGTCTCGGAAAAATTTTGACTTTTTTTTTAAACAACAAAGTAAATGCCAAACAATTTTTCCCAAAATGTTATATTAAGAATTTAAATTAATTCTTTCTTATTCTCCAAAGAAATATTTTATCCCCAACTTCAGTGTTTTGTCATATAAAAAAAAAATTGTAAATATTCAAGAACCAAATATATGTACAAGTATACATGCATTGGTATAAAAATCTATTTCATAATTAATATAATCTCTAGACATTTCACAATAAAAATTAAATTCCAGTCATAATTGTGAAGTGATAGTAAATTTCTATTCAATTTTATAATATAGTTTCACTATTCTTGTATACATGTAAATATGACTTATGCAAATCTTAAACAATTTAAAGTAGAGGAAAATAAATTTTTTTTTTTTTTGTTTGACAATTATATGTGAATTGTTATATTGATAAAAAATATTGTAATCCTAGTCTATATATAGTATCACTTCAGCTCAGATTTGCATAAGCTTCAATTATGTTAATAAATTATGTAATTTTAAGTCGTAGATAAAAATTAAGCATTTAATATTAAAAACAAAAAAAAACATAATATAGTCCTGGGTTTTTTTTTTATCCACACAGAACTCTGTACTTAAAGAATGATTATTATTTTAAACTATAGCGATAGTTTAACAGTAATGTTCTGTAGGAAATTGTAAAATGAAATAAAATATTATTGTATTTAAAAGTAAAGAAGATTATTTTTCTAACCCTTAAATTTTTTTTAATTAGAAAAATACTCACATTTTCTTATGTCTGCGTTGTTTTCTTCACTTCAAATTTCTGAAAAATTTTTTTTAAATATTTAAAAATAATGTTGGTTTAAAATCTTATTATTTTTCAAACGAACTGGGAAAGCAACTAAAAAATTCCATTAGTAAGAAAAAGAAAAACACCTTTGTTCTTGTTTTACTAATGGAAATTTTTAGTTGCTTCACATGACACCAGGTTCGTTGCAAATTTTTCCGCCACCATTTAAAGACAAGCAGTGATCACAAAAAGTGAAAAAAAAAATTAGTTCAGCTATCCACCTTTTGACCTCAACTTTTTTCGTCATAAAAATTAAGTTTAAATTGAAGTCTTAATAAAAGAACTCCATCTCTAATAACAAACCAACTGCTTAATTATCTACAGATGATAATAAAAAAACAGTCGATAACAAAAATGTTTCAGGTAACTGAAATACCGACATAAACGAACAGAGTCGCCATCTATTGAATATTAAACAAACTGTTTAGTTATCTACAGTTGATTAATCAAAAAAAAAAGTTTAAGGAATTTCTAATATCGACAAAGTAAAATAGTTCAAAATAATTTTACAACTAAGTACAGATGTCGCTGAAAATTATTTTTTCAACGTTAATAAACGTCAGTGAAAAAGAAAACAAAACATTGACAATTGTTATTCATTTATATAAAAAAAAAAATGTAATTCTGAATACTTTAATTAATAATTTCACAATGGAAAGTAATGCAGAACGTTTAGGCGATATTGTAGCCGACCATAAAGAATTAGAGCAAGAGGAATTGTTTTTAACTACATTGTTGAGTAAAATCGATAAACAAATACATGCTCTTCAGGTTTGATATTTAATTTTCATAAATGTTTAATTAAAACTAAATAATCTAGTTTTGTAAAATAAATACTAAATATTTATAGTTTCCTGAAACATAACCTGCATATTTTATGATCATTTAAAAAAAAATAATTTTAAAATATAATTGAGAATTCATAGGCCAAACTTTATCTTTAATAAATAATTATTTATTACATTATTCATTGTAATTTTGATAAAAATCAACTCTATAAACATCCATTTACCTCTCAAAATACAATTTTCCTTCATATTTAGTCGATTTATTAAGTCTTTTTTGATGAAACCCAAAGTTAACCGAAACTCACGTTAAATTTCGCTAAATCAAAATCTCCAGGGATTTTTTAAAATACAGTAAATCCTCGTTAACACGAACTTGAAGGGACCGGAAAATTTGTCTGTTCGTGTTATCGAGGTTGTCATTATAACTGGTCTAACGTAGCAAGATTCAATATTTCTTGTATTAATATTAATTTTTCTTCCTCGTGGAGGAAGCTTTGTAGTCCTTTCATTTATAAAACTTTTCAAAGTGGAGGAAACAAATTTTTTTCTTTATAGAAACATGTTATATGAGATCCTGATCAATTGTCCGCGTGTGTGTATATATATATGTGTGTGTGTGACCTTTTTTATGGTTATGGTAGCGTTTTTGGTGGTAATAGGGGTCTTCCTCTACTCGGATCTGGGTGTCAATTTTTTTCTACACTTTTGGGTGTATTTTGTGCAAGAATATGCAATAAAATCTTCTGCCTAAGAAAAATTGAATTTTTTTTGAGAACTTTTTATAATGTCAATGTAAAATAAAACAGTAAATTAAACAAATATTAAATTAATAACTTCTTTTTAGATATTTAAAACAATATTTTGTAATTAAATATCTATAAAAGTTAAAAAAAAATTTTTGTTCATTTGATCGTTCAAAACTTTTGGCTTATTATGATTAAACTTATCTAATTATAAAACTTCGACGTCGTGTTAACTAAGATTTACTGTACCTATATTTAAAAAGAAAAAAAATTAATTCAAGTATTGAATTTTTCAGGTGGAACAATTAAACATAATAAATTCAAAAAATCCAAATGAAATTAATCCTGTAAACTGTAATAATATGACTATAACAGGGGATGTTGTACAAGTATCTGAAAATGAATCTCCAAAGGAATCATCAAATGGACATGAATTGGATTTAAGACCAATTAAAAGATATATTGATTCTGAAGAGGATGAGGAAGACGAAGATATCGAAAATAATGAACAACTCGAATTTCCCAACAACAGTGCAGACTTTGATTATTTATAGCAAAAAAGAAAAGTAAAAATCGAAACTAACTTTAAAAAATATGTAAATTTTATAGTATTTTAAATTAAAACTTTGTTAAGTAAATAATTTAATTTTTACTTTTCTCTTTGAAGCAAAGTTTTTCTAATGGTAAATTAGAATATTTTTCATTAATCGGATTTGAATTTTTCTGTTATTTCAGAAATGAACAATTCAATATGTTATTGAGTTTTCATTGTTCGTTTATCATCACAAATTACACAATATCAAAACTTTTAATTCGATGCAATTTTTAATTTTAAGAATCCTTTTTTGAAGTTTCGATTAATCATCATTGATTGTATCAAAAAATAAAAATAATAACAAATGTTCCAGAAATTCTGAAGGTTCAAACGAACGAAGTTCGAAAAACAATGATCACAAATTAATTTTGTAAATATTCGTTAGCTTAAACTTTTAGAATATCGGTAACAATTTTCAGAAATCAGATTTAAAATCTATTTTTTTAATATAATCTTTTTTCGCAGGGACCATTATATGACATTAAACAGAAAAAAAAGTCTCTATAAAGTAAAAATTCAACAAACATTCTTAATTGCTTGATTGAAGCACATAGTCCACATCTCTCTATTAACTATATGATTTATTGTATTTTACAGAAATGAAATATGCAAACTTGAATCTTTAAACCCTAATGTTTAAAACAAAAAAAAAAAGAAAAGAAAAAAAAACTATTTTACAAATTTTTTTTTTTCTTTAATTTTATGACGGATTTCTTTGTTGTGAATTGTCAAATTGAAGTGAAGGATCATCGATAATTGATGTTTGTTTAAATTGATCGGCCATTATTCTCGTATAAAATATACCTATTCCTTCAATAACAGCAAGCAATACACCGCCAACAATTGCACTTCCAGTCATTGCTGCGACACCATTTCTTGCTGCTAAAATTGCACCTGTCGCTGCACCGCTAATTATTGAATTCCATGGATCTTCCTTCCGCCTAAAGTGAACTAAAGTACAATCAATTGTTGAAAATGTACCACCCCACATTGCAAAACTTCCAGCTAATATTGGAGCACGTTGTTGAACTGTTATAAGACTTCCCATAAATCGTTTACTCAATCCACTTGGTGCATTTCTAAATCCTTTTATTGAATGAAAAACAGCACCACCAAGTGCACCCATTGTAAATGCTCCTCCACAATCGTCAACTATTCGCCAAGGACATGGTTCCCTCGTATATTCTTCCATTTTTTTTTTTTTTTTTTTAGTGAAAATTTACCTGTACATGAAAAATAAAATAATTATATTCTTAAAAACGAAAAACAAAAAATTTCCCTTAAATTAAATTTTATTTTAAAAACAAAATTTGTTAATTTATGCTCTATTTAAATAACAATTAAAATAAACAGTTCTGGATTGAGTGATATTTTGTTTTACAAAGCACATAACGAAATAAAATCAATAAAAAAAAAATAGTTACGAATTTTATTTTCAATAAAAAATATAATAATAAATGTCATTAAAAGAGAGTACTTGTAGGTTAGATTAACTCCAGGTTATCAGAAATAGAAACTATTCAAAAAATTAGAAATAAAAATATCAATTTAAAAGCAAATTTTAACATTGATTTTATTAACATTTTGTTAATGACAAACAACTACAAGAAAATGAATCTAGACAATATCCATTTAACGAAACATTTAACAATTATAATAATTGTATAAATTGAAAACAGTAGAGAATAAAAGGAACAATTTAATAAAATAAAACTAAATTAATCCTTAATATTTGCCATCTAAACACTAATAGGTCACGAGATTAGAAAAAAAAAGTGAGGTTAGAATGATGAAATCACTCACGTAATTCACTAACACCCACCGACACACAGTTTTAGATGATAAATACAGTTGACATTTAACTTAAAATTGATGCGATAATGATATTTCTCTATGTAACTTACAATAAAATAACAAATTTCACTTTATTTTATGGAGAAAATAACACGCCGGAGGCAAGTACTTTGCACAGCTTCGTTGTAAAACCACCAAACTCAAAATAAACACTTTAAAAATTAAAAATGTTCAACATTTTCCATTTTCAATAAAAAAAAACTATAAATAATAAAATTTAATTTAAAAAATTATTATTTTTTACAAAAATTCTTGATAAACTGTATAAAATTAAAATTTTAATCTCCATATTCCAATGATTAAATAATTCATTTGACTATGTTTTTTCTTTAACACTCAAATAGCACCTTTGATTTAACAGCCAATCAAAATACAAAGAATAAAAATTCTACTCGACGCGGTAATTTTAAATCATAAATATTTATAATTAATTAAAATCGCCAATTAAAATGTTATTTTTATTAATTATAATGATAAATAAATATTTTCTATTAAACTAAATAAAAATATTTTTTAAAAAAATTTCTACAAGAAATTTATTTTTTCTCATGGAAATTTAAAGCGCTTATATCCTGTTTTAAAATAGAAAATGGAATGAAGAAATCCAAAAATAAAACAGGCCTCCACTAGTCTTTGGAATCTGTTCGTTGTATAAGCATAAAATTTTTTTTTCCTATTTTCAAAAACTAAAAAAAGAAATTTAATCATTTAAAATAAAATTTTAAATCGTAAAATAATTTGAAAATAATGTAATTTTGTTATTTAAAAATTTTTTTGAAAATCATTCTTTTTTTTCCTCCACGGTAAAAACATACGAGAGAAGAATTATTTTTTGATCTGCTGAATTCAGATCAGTTGGAAAAATTTTCTAAAAGTGTCAGAATTGTTTATAGCAAATAAAAAAAAAGAAAAAAAAAATATGGCAGAAAATAATAATTTTAAAGCTGGTGGCGATAGTGTGGAAATTATTACACCTGTAAATGTAAAATCAGGTGAAGAATTAAAAGAAATTGTTGAGAATTTATTAACAGTTGAAAATGGAAATACGCAGTGTTTATTGATGAAAAATGAAAAAAAGGAAATTTGTCCTTTGATCGTTAAGGAAAATAATGAAGAATTAGCAAACGTAAGTTTAAATATATATTTAAATATTAAAATATTAAATAAATAAATTCACAATTAATTAATAAATTATTATTTATTATAATTTAATATATATTTACTATCGAAGAAAAAAATTAATATGGAAAGTAATTTTTAGAATAAATTCATTAAAAAATTTTTTTTAAAGGGTGACAGTAAGATAAAGGAAAAATTACTGGAATCTTCTGATGTTTTAAAAATACAAGATATCAAAAAGGTTAGAAAATATTATTATATTCCTTTTATTTTTTCATAAATAAAAATAAAAAAAAAATATATTTTAATAAAATTTTTTTAGGATTTAGAAGATAAGAGTTGCCCTTTAGCGATCAAAAATAATGAAGAAGAAGAACTCAAGAAAGTATGAAAATATAAATATATTTTTACTTTTATCCAAATTTTGAATAATAATAAATATTTTTATTCTCAAAAAATAGAAAAAATCATTTTTTTTTCACTTTTATATCATGAGAAAATTAAAAAAAAAAAAAATCTACTTTATTTTTCAACAGAATGGCAAAGAGGAAATAAAGACTGAAGATAAATTTTCCAATTCTTCCAGTGTTACGGAATTATTATTGCAAATTGAGGTAACATGAAAATTGGTTGAAAAAAATTAATTTACAAATATTTTTTATAATAATAATAATAAAAACAAATTTTCTTTTTAAAGGCAAGAACAAAGGAAAGGGATAATTATCATAATAAATTAATAGAAGTTGAAAAAAAATTTGATATTCTTGAAACTGAATATAATGGATTTTTAAATGGCAAACAAAATGAATCGACTTTGCGTGAGGAAGTGAAAAATTTAAAAATTTTAATTGCACAAACACAATTAAAATTGGATGATCGTATTCGCGTTGTTGCCAATCAAGAAAATCAAATTAATGCATTAATGAGTCAAGTTTCATCATTAAAGGACGTTGTAAACATTACAAAAGATCTTCTTAATATTCGAAATATGGAAGTGAGACATTTGCAGGTAAATTTAATTTTATATATATATTTTGCAAAAAAAAAAAAAAAAAATTTATATAAAATTTAAAAAAAAAAAATTTATTATTAGTTTTACTAAAAAGATAATAAACAAAAAAAATAATATTTAAAAATGAAATTAATACAAAAAAATAAATCACTTTTTTTATATATAGGATAATGTGGAAACAATGGAAGAGAAAATTAATATAGAACGTGAAAAACATAATACAATGTTAATTAAAATGGAATCTGCTTTTAAAATAAATCTTGATTTAAAACAAGAATATGAAACACAATTACGATTGTTTCAAGAATTACGTGAAAAATATGATAAAAAAGTTGCTTTACTTACTGAAGAAAATGGACGTTTGGAAAGTATTGATAAACAAAATAAAACTATTTAAATTTTCATTTATTAAAACATTGAATATATTTATAATTAATAAAGTGGTTTTGAATTTTCGCGCTCAATTTTCTGTTTTTTTTGTATGCTTCTTATATGTATAAATATTCTAAAAACTGAATATTTAAAATAAAGCATCGTTTTTTACATAAGAAATTTTTTATTATTTTCCAATATTTTATATTTTTTTTTGTACCGAAGAATTATTTACTTATAATTGAGATAGCAAATATTTATTTTAATTTTCGATTAATTTTTGTAATAAAAAGGCCTTATTTTATTTAAAAAAAAAAAAAATTAATTAAGAAACGTTTAAAAAAAAAACATTTTTTAATTTATGAAAAAGAATAAGTCGGAATTTTTTTTTTTTTTTTAATTAAAAATCTTTAATTTATTTGTTTCAAAATTTTTTTAAAAAATATAAATCATAACACACACTAATTAAAAAAATTCTCTGATTACAATTCTATTGATTATTTTTAGAAGGGCGCGCAGATACAATATTAAAAATAATCATAATCCTTAAAAAATTCAAAATTTTAATTTTATTAAAAATAATATTATACTTTTTTTTAAACTTCCTTTTTTTTATTAAAAATAAAATTGAAAATAATTTTTTTTTTCATAATATTTTATCTATACAATTATTTTTTTCTTTATAATTTCTATTGTATTTAGATTATTTATATATATTGCAAAACTGTATATTTTCTTTTTAATTCTGTTATTGGTGGGATTTATTTTAATAAATAAATAAATTATATATTTTACGTATTATAGAGGATTTTTTTTTTTTTTTTAAATGACAGGGCTTTTTAGAGGTGTTATATAGGATCGAAAGTAATGGTGTAGCTGGAGTATGTACGGGCAGGGGGAGCGACGCCCCCCAGTGGGGCTAGGTCGAAGTGTACAGTCCCCCACTGATATCAGTCGAGCCTTGTACGCAGGGAGATATAGCTTGTGTGGTGCCCCTTCAACACATTTACTTAAATAATCGCTATTCCGCCGTTCAATACATTTTTACAGTGCCCCCTTTCAGCAATATTTTATTATCGGTCTTTTTGTTTACTCATTGAATCTTTTATTGTTCTGTCACTGGACAATTTAATATTATACGCGTTTTAATAATATAGGTTAAAAAAAGGAGTAGTGAAATATATACTAAAATAAACATCACTGCGAGGTAAGTTATATACACATATATATACTACACAATTTTTAAGTTTTTCAATGAAAGAAATTTAAAAATAATCCATAATTGAATGTATACAATAAAAACTCTTGTATTTAATAGTTAATTGCACATATTTATTACCCAAGTTTTCATACAGGTGTAGAACATAACAATATATATATATATATATATATATACGCTATGTAAGTTTTATAAATAGATATACTCGGAAATTTTCTCAAAATAAAAATGTTATTTTAAAAAATACCAAATACTATATTATAAAAGAAATTAATTACCATGACAAAGATATTTTTCTATTATTAATAATTACATTAGTTTAATATATATTTAACATAAAAATTATTTTTAAAATTTTAGTACATTTATGAAATAAAAATGTTTATTGGATAATGTAAGAAATATTTTTTTTTAATACAAATGAACATTTTTAAAAATTGAATAATAGAAAAATTTAGAAAATAGAGTAAGAATAGAAATATAGAAATTTATAGATCAAACATTGGCGCAATGAATCAAATAGAGAAGAACTATTTTGTATATACATACATATATTATGTTTAGATAAACCCTTTTGCATTATAATCTGTATTTCGATTTTTAAGTATTGCGATGTCAAGTTTAAAGTGCGTGTCCTTTTCTAACCAATGGAAAATTTTAACCTTTTTTTTAAATTTCTTTTTATTTTAGTACATTTTTTTTTTTTCTTTTAAAAATGGTATTTGAAAATATTCCTGTCCTACCTACATTTTAGTAAAAATTAGTAATTTTTGAGGTTATAATTATTAAAAATTCCGGCCTCGGATTATTCGACTATTTCCGACTTTTTTCGACTTTTTTTTTACAAAATTATATATAAACTTTCAGAAATTTTTATAAAAATATAAAAATAGTTATAAAATTTCTTCAAAAACTAATATCATAGATTTCCATTTTTAAGTTAAGAAGAATAACTAAAATTTTGTGAAATAGTTTTGAAAAATATATTATTTAAAAAAATAATAAACTATATACGGTAAAAAGTCAGAAATATTTGCAAGTGGTCTTTGGATTAATTTACGACATGTCAAAATTATAATATATACGATAAGAGAAATTAAAATATCAAAGAATTTTTGAAAAACAAAAATTTAAATTATGAAAATTACGTCTTATATTGTATTTTTGGCTAAGTGTTTTTTGTAAATATAAATATTTACAAAAATTATTTATCAGATTGTAATAAAATTGAAATTTACTAAAATTTTGAGAATAAAAAGTTAAATTAAAATAAATAATGAAGAATTAATTAAAAAAATTAGAAATATATTAGTTTTTCAGAAAAGTTTTCTAACAAAAAAAGTCTACCAGTTTTTAAAAATAATCTTATTAAAGAAAATAATTTTTTTATTTGAAGATAATATATTTTGCTTTTATAGTCTCATAAGCAGCTATTTTTAAGTTGTTTTTTTTTGTTATTAATTTCAGTTTCAACAAAATTCATAAATATCCAGAATCATGGTGGAGAAAACATTTAACTTGACGTGGAATAATCATTTGGCAAATTTATCAGGATTATTTGAAGAGCTCTACAAAAATGGAATACTTACAGATACAACTTTGGCATGTCAAGATGGCATATTAAAAGCACATAAGCTCGTTTTGGCAGCATGTAGTCCATACTTTGAAAGAGTTTTTAAAGAACATTATGGCGACCAACCCATACTTATATTAAAAGGTAAAAAAAAACGCTGCCAAATTATTCCGTGTAAAATTTTCAAACAAATATGAAAAAATAATCAAATATTAAAAATATTAAACAAATTATATAAAAAATTCATGGTCTATCATGATAATTGAATTAGAAATTTTTCTTAAAATAGGTGTTCCAATGGAAGAGATGGAATGTCTTCTTCATTTTATGTATCGTGGTTCCATTGATGTAACTGAAGAAAATTTACCCTCTCTAATTAGTATCGCCACAGAATTAGAAATAAGAGGTTTATCCGCAGATCACCAAAGTGAAATATCAAATGCTTACTTTAATATGAAGCAAGATAATTCTAAAAGTCAAAAATTAAATTATACACACGACACAATTGCAAATAGTAATAATTTAAGGTCTGATGATTCAAATTCTGCCGAACATGTTAAAGTTGAAGAAGTTGAAGTCGAAGACGACCCAATGATTTTGGATAATCCTGAAGATAATTTTGAAGATTCACTACCACTAGCTAGTAAATGTATGGTAAGTAAAATTTCACTGAAACTATTTTATCAATTTTTATTGTATTTACCTTAATTACTAGATTATAAAGTCAATCAATAAGTTGGTAACTTATTTGGGGTACTTCACTCAATATTTTCTAAAAGAAAACGTAAAATCACTTTTTTTAATTTAAATTTGTGAATTTTATGATTACATAAACTGAATTTTAATTGCTCAAAATTTTGTTCAAAAAATTATACAAAGAGTCGCATGAATTTTTCATAAAAATCGTAAGTAAAAAATTTTTTTAAACAAATTTTTACTAATTTTTTATTTGAAAAAATTTTTATTCCAATTCACCGAATTTTTATTTGATAGAAATTTTTAAATGCCGAATTCCCATTTATCCGAAACTACAAATGACTGATCAAAAAAAAAAATCGACAGAAAAATTGTGGCGTGAATTTAAAAATTTAGAAATGAAATTTTTCTATCGATCGTTTGATCGAACATTTTCACTTTCGGACAAAATACTTTTTATGGGTCCGAGTTTGCTTTTTCATTTTAGAAATTATTTTCGGAAAAACCCCAAAAAGATTACAACCGAAATTGTTTAAATAATTTGAGGGTTTTACTTTGAGTTCAAATTTCAAAAATTGTATAGCTTGATTTATTTTGAAATGCAATTATATTCATGTCGAAGAAGAGGGAGCGACACCTAAAAGTGGCGCTAAAAAAATTTTTTTAAATTAAAAATAGCGGACAAATTTTTTTTAATTTGAATTTTTTATTAATCTCCGTATCTAGGGTTTTGTGGGGTGGTAGGTTACGAATCCAAAGTTAGTTTTTAAAAATCCAAAAATCCTTCTAGTCAAAGGTTTTTAAATTTAAATAATAAAAAAAATCAAATTGAATGGGACATTTTGAATTATTAAAATATGATTTTTAATATTTTGAGAAATATTATTATTCCTTTTATTTTAATCAATTTTCTGTCTATTTAATGTTTATGAAACAATATTTAAAAATATGAAACATTCTTCTAAGATTCGATACCTCTAAATATAATAATAATGATTTTCTATCCTTTGCGCAGTTGATAAAACAAAATTTCAAAATTAAAAATTTTAAAAACTTTTAACAAATGAGTAATTAGAATATAGAGACAGTATATTGTGCAATTAGTAAAAAAAAAGAGGATTATTTCACGAGTATGATACTTGCTGCTTGTATATATACATATAACGTTAGTAGTAATTATATATACAAGTGAAATTATCTTTCCAACGAATTGTACACGATATTTTTTCCAATTCTTGCAAGAAAATGCGCTTTAAAAAAACTATGATTTCGATCGAAAAGAAGATTATTTTTTAAAATAATTTAAGTTGGTTGCGTGGAAAACTAAATTATATTTCCCTTAAAACAAAATCAGGTAGGTTTTTTGAATTGAATTAGGAATTGAACGCCGCGCCCTCCACCAAAAGGTAAAATAATTTTAGATATAAAAAAATTAAAATTACGCAAATTAAAAAAAAAAAAATTTCAATTATCAGGTCTCGGATTATTCGACTTTTTCCGACTATTTTTTCGAAAATACGACTTTTTTCGATTTATTTTACTAAGATGCGACTTTTTCGACTTTTTTTTTTACAAAATTTTTTAAAACAAAATACGTCTTTTTATTATTTATTTATTAACATTAACGGAACAAGGCCTTTCGTACAGAAGTACTCTTAAAACTAAAATATATCCATTAGATACATGCGCAAAATTATTCAAATAATTATTAAAAAAAAAAAGTTATCTAAAATTATTTGATAAATTATTTTCAATTTTGTAAAATTTTACAAAAATCTTTTCAAATTCAATTATTTCTAAAAATCTCAACTGTAACTCTTTCAAAATTCAATGATTATTTTTAATAATTTTAATATTTCTATAAAAATTCAATTATTTAAAAAAAAAATTCAAGTTAATTATTTTCTGAAATTTTGTTTTGACCATTAAAACTAAAAACTATGTAAAAATTTTAAATTCAAATTATTTGCATAAATTAGATTTAAAAAAAAATTTTAAATGGAACTTTTAATATTTCTTTTTTTTTTAGAAATTTGTCCTACTTAATTAAAATTTTGTAAAATGTCTCTTAGTTTGGTTTCGAAATAAATTTTCTTGATAATATTCTTAGCTGTTTGAAAAGGATAGAAAAAATTATATTTCTATCCCCGAAATTCTATCTCTTTTCATCTTTTCACTATCCAGTATAGGGTAATTATTCAATTTTATTTTTATATTGAAATTTTTTTTTTAAATTAACTTAATATTACATTAAAAAAAATCTTTTAGGGTATATGAGAAATCGATACCGGGTTCGACACTCGTAAATTGAGAACGCTAACCTATCGACTACGACATACAAATTTGAAAGAAAAAATTTTTTTCCCCCCTTTTTAATCCTTTTTAATCCAAAAAATGACGATTATATAAAAAATAAAAATTTCCGTGTAATATTAAATTTACTGAGAAATTACTTAATAAAATATAAAAATAAAAATATTAAATATTAATTAAAAATGTTGTTTTTTTGTGAATTCAAGTAAGAGAAGGTGCAATATTTTTGCAAGATTACAAGAAGCTTGCAGCAATCTTTCATTAGGTACATATAATTACGACTTGAAAATAAGTGTTTTTTTATTTTATTAATTTTTCAATTAGATGTAGAAAAACTAACAATTTCGTCCGGCCTATATATCGTCAAATATTTTTTATAACTAATAGCAATACAATTTTTGAACACGCGCGTAGTGAATGTAGAAAAGTTGTACTTTTCAAGAGATTTAATAATTCTTCAAAAATCGCATTTTCCGAGCATGAGTTGGAAATAATATATTGCTACATTCGAAAGTAAGTACTAATATATATATATATTACGCACGTTTTTTCGTATTTGTTAATTTTTTTTTTGATACATAAAATAAAAAAATTTTAATTTTAAAATAAATCTGATAGAATGATAAATTGTTATACTGTAAATTAAATCTCGCGAATATATATAGAAAACATTAAATCAGTTTTTTCTACTTTCCAAAATTTTATTTTTGTTTATATTTTCGAGACTAAAAACTATTTTCTTTTTACTAAACTATTTTTTTTATTAAATTAATAATTACTATCTTTTTGTAAATAAATCGTCATAGTAAATATATAGTAACAAAATGTTCGATTTCTACATGGTTACTATGCAAACTTGCTGTGAGTTTAAAATGAAAGATTGCTGCACGATTGATGGAAGCTAAATGCTTAAAAATATTTCACTTTGATTCATTTGGATTTACAAAAAAAAAAAAAAAAAAATGAATTTTTTATTATTAATATTCAATATTTATTTATTGTTTTACATTTAATTTAATAATTATTAAGTAACTTAAAACAAATAAAATATTAAAAATTAAATTTTTAAATATTTTATTGAATTGAAAATTTAATTAAATTCAAAAAAAAAATTGAATTTAAAATTTGTGATTTGAAATTTTTTTTTAACCATTAGTAAAGTACTTATCGTGGGGATTTTTGCTCAAAAAACTTCCATTAAGATATTTGTTTCTCGATTTTTTTTCTCGACCAAGTGTTTTTTTGTAAATATTTAAAAAAAAAAGACTGCTTTGTTGCTCTGAATTTGTATAATGATCACTTGATCTCAATTGGTAGAATATAATAAAAATATATTACTTTTTTTTTAGCTCAAAATAATGAATTTTTTTCATGGTTTTATAATTTACTTTTCAGTCTACTCATGATCAAAACATCGCCATTCCCAATTTTCCTGCTACAAGCGTCTATGATATTGCATCTGGAAGCAATTTTATTCAAACAGTTAATGCAGAATACACAATGAAACGAAAAGATGACTTACAAGAAAAACAAAAAGCAAAACGTGTTTGTAAATGGATTGGAAGTCAGGAAGTAGAAAAAATTGTAATTTAAATAATTATTTTTTAATTGTAAAAAAAATATTTTTTTTAATAAACTACAATATTAATTTCTGTTTTTTTTTTGTTTTACATTTACAGAATATTGAAGAGATTTTGAATGCTTCAGCTAAAGGAAAAAGTATTATACGATATTATCAAACAAATAATTTGTTAAATGCAGAATGCCGTTCTAAACTAGTACAAATTGTTGGAGATAAACTTCTCGCAGTCCAAAGAAAGTATGTTTAATATTCATAATATTAATAATAATAATAACAATAATTACTTTTTTTATTATATTCTATTATTTATTACATATATAATTCTTAAAAATTATTATTATTATTGTTATTATTATAACCAGTCTCGGATCGACTTTTAAGGCGCAAAAGAAGTAGTTTTAGTTCATTTACTTTTCAAAAAAAAAGTCGATTTTTTATTTCCAATAAATTTAAATTAGAAAATAATTATTTTATTTCAAAAAACTATTGTTATTGGATAATAAATTAATTTTTATAATTCCTTAATATGAATAATTCTGTGTAAGAATATTATCAAGAAAATTTATTTTGAATATTTCAAAATCGAATTAAGACAAATTTTCAAGACAGATTTCCAAAATAAAATTCGTAATGTTCTATTTTTTAAAAAAAAAATGCAAATCTTGAATTCAACATTTTTTTTTAAATAATTAAATTTCAGATTTTAAGTTGAAAACATTTTTTGTATTTTGAATTGAAATTTTTGGTAATTTTATTTGCTAAAATTTTTTTTTTAGAAATTTTAAACAATATTATTGAGTTTTTAAAAATATTTAATTTAAAAATATTTTCAGATAATTTGAATTTTTGAAGATTTTTATTTAAATTATTGGAAATAAATAATTTAGCGAAGAATTTTTATTAAATATTTTGTAAATAATGTAAAATAGTCGAAAAAGGTTGCATTTTTTTTTTTTTTTTGAGTTTAAAAAAGTAGTGAAATCCGAGACCTGTTATTATTATTATTATTATTATTATATTGTTATTATTGTCAATAATTGAAAATTATTTTCTCCACAGCCCCACTAGACATGATTTTGAATTGATAGATCAGAAAATTAGACAATTATTCCCCTCAGAGGCTCAATATGTTTATTTTATTCCTTCAAAATTAAATGGTTTAAAGCAAAAAAATCACGAAGGAAAATTACCTAATTATATAAGAAATGTGAAATATCGTTGTGACAAATTAGAAAAATCAATGGCTGAAACATAATTGAGGGCCATGAAATATTGTCTGGAGCCAATGATTTAAATCTGATGAGGATATTTATATATACTCCTTTATGTGAATATTATAAAGATTTACCAAGTACTGAAACTAGTCGCAGGATATATATATAAAAAATAAATTTGCCAAAAGTTGATTTTTAAACGTCAACAAAAAATATATATATAAAATTTCGCTGCTTTAGTTTCTCACTGGACTTTAATAAATTAAAGTAAAACTTCCTAATTCCTTTGGAGTGAAAGCCAGAGGATGTGTTTTTTTTTTTTTTTTTTTTTTTTTTTGCAAAGAAGAAACCATTCCAGAATTGTTTCTAAAAAAAAAAAAAATTTACTTAAATAATAATGAGTGAAAAGAAAAATAACTATCTTGGATGAATACTATTGATTTGACCACAACTAATTATATCAAGAAAGATAGTTTTTGACAGTTGGGACAAGAGTTTTTTTTTTTAATGCGTGCAGTATTATATATAAATATATATATTTAAACTTTTTAATTTTTAAAATGGTTTATGTTTGTTTCTTATGTAAATATTATAAACTTCGTAATTGTGTTAAAAAATTTGTAAAAACCCAAATGGAAATATAATGAAATAAATATTATTATTATTATTATTATTATTATTATTATTATTATTATTATTATTATTATTATTATTATTATTATTATGAACTTCGTGACTAAAATATTTTCAAATTGATCTGATGAATTCTATATATTATGTTGTACATTTTTATTTAAATTTTGTTTTTATTAAAGATCATTTAAGGTTTACGCAAATAATATTTATGGCAAGTGAGACAACTTAATTTGGCCTAAATTTGAAAAAGATAAAATTATTAAAAAATTCGAATTACAAACAACGAATTTTCAAATTTTCGAATTACCAAAAAATTGAATTTCTAAAAGTACGAATTTTTATTTGAGCAAATTTGTTCGTATTCGATTTTCTGGTTATTCGAATTATTAACAATTCGATAAAATAGTTATTTGACATTTTGAGATTTAGAAAATAAAGAAAATTGTGGATTTTCATTATCAATAATAATATCCCAAAACACGTTAACAGAAAAAAGTACTTTAAATGATTAAAAGTCAGGATTCAACTTTTCATCGATTTGTATTGTCTGACCTAAAATTATTATAAGTTATTTTGTAATGAAAGTAATAAAATAAATAAATGATGAAGAACAATCTCTTTTGCAACATTTTTTTCCTGTAATACTATTTTTAAAACTTATTTACTATTGACTCAAAAAAAAAGTTCTATTTCTTTTACTTAATTTTTTTTTAATAATTTAATAACAAATATCAAAAATTTATCAAATTTTCAGGATTTACTAACAAAAACAGATGAAGAATCAAGTACATTAAAACAAAATTTTGATAAATTAAAGAGAGAAAAAATCTGCAGAAATACGGAAGAATTATTGAGAATCGATAAAAAACAACACAAACCATATTCTTGTGATCTTTGTACATTAGCATTCACGAGAGCTTCACATCTTGCAAGGCACAGACGAGTTCACACTGGTGAAAGACCATTTGCATGCACTCTATGTCCACGTATGTTTGCCAGGCAAGATAAATTAAAACAACATTTAGATTCCCATCTTCAGTGGCATCAGAAACGAACTATCAAAAATGAATCTTCCACTAAATTGGTTCCAGTCAAAAATAAACGCGGAAGGCCTCGTAAAGTGAGTTCAAATTTTTAGTTTTAATTTTTTACAAATTAAATACTATTTTAAATACTAAAAAAATCTGTTAATTAATTTTACAAAAAGTTAATTTAAAAACAATTTTTGTATGTTGATTGCGAGAGTTTAACTTCAATATAATAATAATTTTTAGAAATAAGGTATTAGGTATTTTTTCTGAAATTTAAAATATCTTGAAAAATTAAAATTTTCAAAAGCTGAAAATTTTTTGAAATTCAATTATTTCTAAAAATTCCAAAATACAATTATATTTAGAATTATTTTTTTTTTAATTATATTAAAAAAGTTTTAAATTAAAACATTCAAAATTTCAATTTTTGTCAGAAATTTAATAAAAAAAAAAAACTACAGCAATTCAAATTTTAAAAAATTTATTTCAATTTACTTATGAAATTCAATTATTTCCAAAAATTTCGATTAAAAACTCTACTTAAGTTCCGAAATTTTTTTTTTGTTCATTAAAACTAAAAACTATGCCGAAATTTAGAATTCGAATAATTTGTTTAGATCAGATTTCAAATATTTAAAAAAAAAAATGAAAAAGAATTTGTTTTATAAATTTATTTATTGAAATTGATTTTTTATTTTATAAATATATAAAAATTATTAATAGGTAACTGTCGAACAATCAGCATTCGAAGAAATATTGAAATTTGGTGAATTCAGTTCAATGTTAAACAAATCTCAGGCAATGAAGGCAAAAAACAACGATAAAATAGAAACGAGAGGAAAATCTTGTACCAGTGATAATACAGAAACAACCACATTGAAAATGAAAGATAACTATGGTATGTTAAGAAACAAAAACTTCCTTCTTTTTTTTTCAAATGAGGAAAAATTGAAAGATAATTTTTTTAATTAAACATAATTAATAATTTTAATATTTTAATGCTCTTTACAGTGAATTTTGGCGCCTCTAAAGCAACAACACGGACAACAGACAAAGTTGATCGGCCCTTAAGCCGCTCTTGTACACCAAAGAATAAATAGTTGATGTAAATTTCGTCCACCATCTTAATGATAAAAATAAGAGCAAGGGTCTTTCTAACCATAAAGTCAGTGATTATTGATCATCATTAAGCGGCCTTGAAAACAACAAAAATTCAGGCTTAATTTATTTCTATAGATGTCTTAATACAATTTCCATTGGAAATTTTCCACAGTGGGTAGTTGATAATCCTAGCCTATTTTTTTAAAAATAAACTCAAAAAGTGTGTAATTAAATTTATATATATTAATTTAATATATTACGAATCAATGTAAATCTACTTTTGTTAATGATTTTTTTTTTTTGTTATTTGTTACAATCTAGATGTATTTTTTTTTTTAATTTATTACTTTATTTTTAATGTAGTATTTTTATTGTACCAAAGAATAATTAATTGACAATTCCTTTATCATTAACAAAATAAAAATATATATATAAATAAAAATAAACAATTATTTAAGCAATTATTAATTTTGTTATTGTCTGCTTCTAGGCTAAAAAAAATTTCCCTCACATATCCAGTTTTTCCAGGATATTTTTAATTTTCCTGAAATTTCTCTTTCTGTTTATAAGGTTAAAATTAAATGTTAAAAAATATTCATTAATAATACGGTTATTTTCTGTAATTATGAAAAAATATATTTTTAATGAATTTCAAATTTTGAATCTAGACAAAGAAAACTCATTGAATTATAATTATGCATTATTACAAAAGTATTACATTTAATACAGTAGGTAATACAATAAATAGGAAAATATTTATTTACAAGCATATTGCACTAATATAATTACACACAATATGAAAAAAATTAATTAAAAATTTAGTAAGAACATTTAATACTTTTCAATTTCAATTATTCTTACGTCCATGAATATAAATCATTTGAAAATTTCAAATTTTCAACAATTTCTATTCTATTAGGGTCAGGATTACAGAAGTGTTCCAGCAATTCTTTACTAAATCCACAATCACTTAGATTTTCCTGACCAAATACACTTTGTGGGAGTTTTTCATTTGTTTTTAATTCTTTTTCACCTGTAAGAAAATATTAAGAATAAATTTTAAAATAGAAAATAAAACAATTAAAAAAAAACAAAATGATTTCAATTAAATTTTTTTAATTAATCTATTTTAAATCTCAATTTTTATGGATACTTTAAGAATTATAGACAATAATTTAATTTTACAGAATTTTTAATTAAAAAATGTTATTATTTTTTTTTTAATTTTCTTTTTACCTCGACCATGTTTAGCTTTAGAGAATGATGTTGTTGAACCCAATTGTGCACAACTTATTGAAAAATATTTACGTTCACTTGTCTTCATCAATGAACATAATGCTGGCATTACATGTGGCATTAAAGCACCTTTTAATTCTAAAGAAAAGAATTTATTGTTATCAATTAGCACTTGACTTTCACGAACCTAGGAAAAAATAGTAATTATACATTTTTTTTTGTTGATATAATTATGAATAGAAAATGAAGATGAAAATAATTTTAATTTAAATATAATCTGAAATAAAAACCTTTAATGACTTTAGAGTTGCGCCATTGAATGCCACTGGTGCCAAAAGTGTTGGTGGAATTCCTGCCATGTTTCCAATAGTTGTTGTTGCAGATTTACAATTGATTAAAAAATTAAATAAAGCTTGTGCTTCCACTCCTACCACAAAAATTAATGATTGTTTCTCGTTATCTATTTCGCTTTCTTTTTCAGAAGCCAATCTATACTGTGAAAAAAAATTTTCTTTCTTATATCCAATAATGTTTACTAAAATACTTTCTCATTATGATGAGAATGTAAAAAATAATAATTTTACAACAAATTTTTGTTAATACCTGTGAATTATGAATTTTTTTAATTACAGATTCCTCCACTCCAAGACTTTGCAACCATTTATCATCCAATTCATCTTCTTCATCACAAGTAGCATTTTGATTTCCTGTTTCAGCAGTATTATCATTTCCCTTCGTCTCATCAAAACTTTTGCACATTACGCCAGAATGCATTCTTTTTTGTAAAGGCATGCTGTATTCTATTTCTAAAATGTATTTATTTACTAAATTCCCATGATTACCGAAGATTTAATTTATTTCAGGCCTCGGATCGACTTTAAGGCACAAAAAAAAGTCGTTTTAGTCAATTTACATTTTGAAAAAGACGATTTTTTCATTTTAACAAAATTTAATTAGTTATCGAATATTTCAATTATAACTCTTCTAAAATTCAATTATTAAAAAAAAAATTATCTTAAATTAATTTTTAAATTATCAACCAAAATTTTTTATTAAATTATTTAAAAATATTTTTAATTAAAAATTCTGTAAAATTTAAATATTGTCTGAAATTAAAAAAAAAATTTGCAGCAATTTAAATGTGCAAAAAATTGTTTTCAATTTAAAATTTTCGGAAATTCAATTATTTAAAAAAAATTTCAATTCAAATGATTTGCTTAAATTAGATTTTCAGTCTTGAAAATTTGTCTTAATTCGGTTCTGAAATATTCAAAATAAATTTTCTTGATATTATTCCTATAGAATTATTCTTATTAAGAAATTAATAAAATTAATTTAATATCCAATAACAATAGTTTTTTGAAATAAAATATTTATTATCTAATTTAAATTTATTAGAAATAAAAAATCCACTTTTTTTTAAATGTAAAATGGACTAAAACGTTAAAGTTGAAATTTTTAGAAATAATTGAATTTCTAATTTGAATTTAATTTAATTTTTAATGTTTTAAATTTCAGACAGTAATTAAATTTTACAGAACTTTTTTAAAAGTAATTGAATTTTCAAAGATTTACAATTCAGATTTTTGAAAATAATTGTACTTCAAGTGATTTAATTGAACTTCATGTGATTTTTAATTAAAATTTTTTTTTGATGATTTCTGTTACTGAAAAATTTATTAGAAATTGCAGACAAAAAAAGAATTTGAAAATTTTTTATGTGAAAAATGGTTTTAGATAATTGAATTTTCAAAGAATATTATAAAAATCATTAAAAAAAATAATTATATTTGGAACGAGTTATAATTAAAAATGTTAATTTTCCAAAAGTTTTAGATGGAAAATTTTAGAAGTTGTTAAATTAAAATATTTAAAAATAATTGAATTCTCCAAGTGATTTTGAATTAAAATTTTTAATAATATTTGTTGCTGATTTTTATAAAATTTTGAATAATTATTAAATTTCATAAATTCTTTAATTCGACAAATAGTTTAAGATAATTGAACTTGTGAAGAATTTCATTAAAATTATTAAAAATAATTAATATAGTGATGAATTTTAGTTAAAAATTGATTAATAATTAAAATAAAAAAGATTTTCATTCTATACTAAAAAAAGACGCATTTTATTAAATATTTTGTAAAAAAAAATGTAAAAAAAAAAGTTGCATCTTATTAAAATAAGTCGAAAAAAGTCGTATAATCCGAGGCTATTTTTTTGAATTAAAGAAAAATGATTTATAAAATTAAAACCTTCTTGCTTGAGAGCTTTCCTGAATCCTCGAGTTGTTGGAGTTAAAAGTGCATGAAGTTCAGATAATCCACATATTCCAGCAGCACGAAAAAGTGCTGTAAATGAATTAGCGCATACATAGAAATATGGACACTGTCTTGCTCTCAATAAATGAAATAAAGATCTAAAACTTTCATTCCATTCTTTGTATAAAGCATCTTTTATAATTGGATTTGCTGCAATAGATGCACTATTACCAATCGATCCAATTGTTTTATCAATTCGAGGATATAATTCCATCCAAGGTAATGATGGATGTTGCCAAACTAAACAATGTCGATGAAACCTGAAGATTCATTAAAAACAAAAGATCATTACAAAAGGACAGACCAAGCATTTTATTATTATATAATTTTTATAGGAAATTGAACGTTTTATTTTTCAAAAAATTAAAGAAACAAGTGAATAAAAAAAATAATCCAACCTTGCATTTAGAGTAGTATCTAATGTTGTTTCTTTTTCACCAATATCCAAACATCTTACAAAACCAGTGGTACTAGATGCTTCTTCACTTGTTTTTAATTTAACACTCCAAGCAAATGGTTTGTCTGACATTAATCGTATTTTTTTATGCAAAGTCCAATCCATTGGTATATATTTTTCACCATTCAATTCTTCTCGTTCAGGAATTGTCTCAAATGCATCAAATTTATCCAATATATTTTCAAATGTCGAATTCCTTAAGGGACTTGGTTTCTTTGTAATTGGCGGTTTTAAATTGAGTAATTCAAATAAAGTTGAATCACATGTTGTTTCTAAATCCAAATTATTATCTTTCGTTTTTTTATTTTGTTCATTCTTTGCAAAAGGATTTTTACGTTTTGCTGATGGAACATTTCTTGAATTTGATCTAAGATTACTTTGATTACATTGATTTATTAATGATCCTGTATTTTTATTGTCACATCCATTCATTCGAGCCTGAAGAGCATTTTTTTTCAATCTGAGACTATGAATTTCTATAATTTGATTTGAATTTGTTAATTTAAATGATTCAGATTCATTTGTATTATCCATTTTAAGGTTTCTAAAACAAATTTTTTTTTTCTTCTATATAACAATTTTCAAAAGTTTATGTTTTATTAAAAATTATTATTTTTGGATTATATTTCACTTGAAAAACCTTAGGGCTTTTTTTTATGTTCACTATTTTATAAATTATTTAGATTTTAACGTACGATAATTTTTGTTCATATAAAAATTTAGATTCAATAAAATTAGAATTGGTTGAAATTTGAAAAAATTAAAATTTACATAGTTTAAAATTTTGACTCAAAGAAAATTTTAACCAATGAATATTTTGATTATTTAATTAATTATTAATTAAAATAAAAATTTATTAAAATTTAAAACAATTAAAATTAATTAACATCGTTTTAGATTATTATTCCACAAGGTAAATTAAAAAAAAATTATTTAATTTGATCTAATTTACATTAATCATCAATTACTTGCAATTATTTTATTTTAAAGGGATAAGGAATATTTCGTTAAAAAAAAGGAAAATTGTAATAATTTCTTTAATTAAATTCTAAATTTTACAATAATTTATATTTTTGTAATTAAATTTATTTTTAATTCATTATTTAGAAATTGAATTTATCAAACAAATTAATGTCTAAAATATAGTTTAAAATAATAATAGTTATCAAAAAGAATATAGAACAAATTTTGAAATTAAATTAAAATTAATTTAAATCTAAATGAAATTAAAATACATACCTTCTTGAACATTAAAACAGTGACTATAGAATTGTGAAATTATTATTTACCCATAACTTTATATATAAATTATTTAAATTATAAACTGAAAATTGTACAAAATAGTTTTCAGCTCCAAAAAAAAGCTTTCTACTTGGTTAGCATTTAAAAAAAAAATAAACTAAAAACAAAATTAATTATTTTAAACATTTGACAAAATAATATTACTTTTTGTTGATGTCAGCACATGACAAGTGTTTTACAATTAATTAAAAAATACAATAATTGACACAAAAACAGTTGAAGATTTATAAACACATGTCAGTTGTATCCCAAGGATGTGAAGGTAGTAGACATAAAGAAATTAATATGGAAAGTTCGTAATGTGAAACTTTTCTAAAGAGAAATCTCCCATATGTGACACCTGCAATAAGGGGGCGTTCATATCCTTGCAACGCAGTATTCGGTTGGTTTCCAAGCCATTTGACATAGCTTTCGTCAACTACTAGTGAATATTTAATGACTTTATTGTTATGGAGCATTCACACCTTCGGCAAAAAAAGTTTCTTCACTTTGCATTTTCCGAAATACACTTACCTGATTGGTTGTTCAGAATCTGATACATTGTGGATAACCAATTAAATTCAATGATTCTGCGTGAAAATGGATCAAAAACAAAAAAGGTATGTAAACACCTTTATGATTCGTTATCACAACTTTTGTCCCATAAAAAGGCACTTTCAAGTGTTCAACAAAATCGACTATTGATTTTTTTAGTGAAGTAAAAAAAGACAAAAATATATCTCTATTTTTCTTACTTAAATTAAATTTCTGTCTGCGCAAAACCATCGTGAGATTGTGACAGTACCATTATTTCCATTGTTGCATCATGTTGTGGTAGTAGTGGTGGTAAATGTATTTTGTGTCCAAACCCTGATCGAATGGTAAAAAATACCACGTCGGCAGTTTTTATACATACATGGATCCGTTCTATATGGTTTATGCTTTTTTGGGAAAAAAAATTGATAGGAAATTTGGCGAAATTCCATCTCAAGTGTTTATTATACCGATCAAAGTGAATTTTAAAAAGTGAGGTTTTCGGCGAATTTTGTTTTTAAAAAGTGATTTATCATTGACACATTGGGGGAAATTATTGACATCTCACGTAGGGCATTAAGTTTATTATTATAAGGTGGTATATACTTTTACTGGAGAAAATTAAAAGTAGCCAGTCATCTAGGAATTCAAGATGGCAGAAAGTCAGGACACTAAAAAGAAAATCAACGTTAATATTAAAACGCCGAAAGATAAACAAACCGTTGAAATTGAAGAAGATGCGTCAATTAAAGATGTAAGTGTCATTTATATTGATTACTTTAAAAATTTTGTTAATTCTACTTTACATATAAATTTGAATATTTTTTTTATCATTTTTTTTTTTTTTTGTAATATACTTTCAATTTACTATTAGTTTTTATTTTTTTGAAATTGTACAGTTTAAAGAAGCAGTTGCTAAAAAATTCGATGCTCAGCCCGATCAATTGTGTCTAATTTTTGCTGGAAAGATAATGAAGGATCATGAAACTCTTGCAACACATAATATTAAAGATGGTCTCACTGTACATCTTGTAATAAAAACACCGCGTACTGCTGGTAATCAATCAAATCAAGAGCAATTACCGAGTCCACAGAGAAATCAGGGTAAGTGAAAAATTATTTTTATTGTCACGCAATTAATATTTATAAATGTCAAAAAACAAATTTCTTTACTAATATATCTAATCAAATTTTTAAATTCATCTTTTATAATGCTTTTCGTTTTATTTTTTCGTGAAAAAAAAATACAATATTTACTTATTTTTAACTTTACTATGTATTTAATTATCTTTATCTAAATGATATTAGATAAAAAGAGCATTTATCTAACCTGAAAAAATTGGAACAAATTTTAACGAGACCCAAATTTTTCTTTTATATATTTAGTTATTAAAAAAGTAATTTTTTAATCTTAATATACACAATGAGTGATATTCTTATTATAGTTGATATATATATATATATATATATATATATATATATATATATGGGTAATTTTCCGCGTAGCAAACAATTTCATGTCCCTCTTTTTTTTTTTTTTTTTTAAATTGCACATATGGTAATAAATCCAACGTAAAAAACTAATTTCCAGGCCTCGGATTATTAAACTTTTTCCAACTTTTTTCGACTAATTTACGAAGCTGAAGTACGCAACGTTTATGATAAGCGATTTTTGAAGAAATAATTTTTTGCCTAAAAAATATTTTTTTTAATAATTTCTTGATTAATGAAAGCTACAAGAATTATTTTTTAGACAAATAATTATAGAATTTTTATAGAATCATTCAAAATTTTATTTTGGAATTATTGACTTTTTAAAAATCGAAAATTTAAAAAAAAAACATAAATTGCTTGTTGGACAATTTTAATTTACAATTCAAAAATTTTATTATGGTTATCTTAATCCATTTAATTTTACATGTATTAAAAAAATAATTTTTGTTATGCTTATGAAGTTTTGAAGTTGTGTTTTAATAGTTGTGTATTTAACACCATAAAATAGAATAATATAAAGTTTTTAAATTATTTCGTGGATTTTTCGGAACAAAAATACCTTTTTTTTTCATTGAAAGGCAAAAAACAAAAAATGAATCGTAAAAATTATTTATATTTATACACGGGCAACGCCCTTTATTACAAAAAATAATTAGAATAAACGTAGAAAATACATAAATTAATCATGCACGCAGAAAAATTTTTTTAAAAAAAATATTAATAAAAACCATAAGCACTTTATTTGAAAATAATTCAATAAATTTGAAATTCGAATATTGAAATTTTACTCAAAAATTTATATTTATTAAAACGATAATTTTTTATTTAAATTAACATTTTTTTGGGTTAAATAAATCAATCAAAAAGAAATTTTTAAAATTATTTTAAGAGAAGAAGTTATAGAATTAACGTGAAAAATTTATAAATATTAATAAATGTTTTTTAAACTATTACTAAATTCAAATTTAAAAAGCAAAAAATAATTATAATAAATATAATAAGAATGTTGATTTTTATAATTGAAAACAATACACAAAATTGGTTTATTATTTTTGGGTCAAAATTTCTTAAGCGGATCAAAATTTTCAAAAAATTAAATAATTTTCAATGCTAAATCACTTTTTTATTTCTATTGCAATGAAAATAAATTTCGGAAAATAAATGAAAATTTTTTTTGTTAAACTTCGATTACAATAGTAAAAAAAAAAATTATTTAACATTGAAAATTAATAACTCTGGAAATTTTTATGTAATTTTGAATTTCATTTAATAAATTTTATAACTTTAAAATAAATTACTGCTGCATAAAGTTCGGTTCTAATTGAATTAAAAGGAAAATTTTTTTTTTCAACAATTATTTTAAAAAAACATTTTAACTGTGATTTGATCTTTCAGACATGTTTAGGTCAAATTATAAGTAAAACGACCTCACGCATTATATTAAATAAGCATTAAATGTATATTCATAACCGAATTGACAATATATAACATTCTTGTGAAGCGACAAAATGTTTTTTACCGCTTTACGTCAAAACTTGATGAAATTAAAAATAATTTATTTAATTTAAATAATCAGATATTTAATTATTATTTCAGTCAATTAAATCGCATTTGTTTCAAATACAAAAGTTATTGGTTCAAATACAGTTTATTTAATTTAAATAAAAATTATTTGGTTCAACTATAAATATTTATTAGATAACAGTCAAGTAATCGATTATTTGAATCAAATAAATTTTTTTTTCATTGTAGACGCTTTGAAAAAAATTCAATATTTTTTTATGAAATTAATGATTAAATATAAAAATTTTGCCAAAAAAGAAAGTAAAATTTGTCCAATTCGAGGAGTTATGATCATTTCAAAATTACATAATCTAATTTTCCAAAAATTCATGTCTCTTGAATTGAAAAATTCAAAAAAATCATGGCGGCTAGTCTCAGTATAACAATACAAAAAAAATTAATTTTTTTATTTTTATCATTTATAAAAAAAAGTCTATGAACTGTATTTACGAACATATCGATCGAACGTATTATTCGCATTTGAATATTTCATAGGCATTGTCCTTATTTGATGAAGGAAAATGTTATTTTTATCTTTCTCTAATTTACGCATTAATGTATGAAAATATTTTTTATACATATCTAAATTAAAAATAATGAAGAAATGAAGCTAAATGAAAGAACAAAAAAAAATTGTCCTATAAAATGCTAAAGGTTTTACAAATTGGTTCTGCAATTCTTTCTATAATTTTTTAAATAACAAGAAATAATTGTTCAAAAAAATGGTTAAATTAATAAAAAAAATATGGTCTTAAAAAACACTGACATTCGTTTAAAAAAAGTACTTCCTGAAATATACGAACAACTATTTTAATACTTGCGATCGATATGTTTCTGAACAATATAGTTCATATAAGTTTCTTTTACATATTATACAAAACTTTTTTATACAATCAATACTAATCTCTATAAATAAATTTTCAACTAAGGAAATTGAAAACAAAACATTTTTGTAGCAAAACAGAAAATTCAGAAATTTTTTTTGAAACTTGTGATTCAGGGATTTTTGAAATAGATTAACAATTTCGAGTTCAGGCCTCGGATTTTACTTTTTCCATTTTTTTCTTTTTCAAAAATGCTACTTTTATCGATTTATTTTAATAAAATGCAACTTTTTTTTTTAGTATGCAATGCAGTTTTTACAAAAATTTAATTACTTAACAAATTTTTAACTAAAATTGTTCGATAAAATTAATTATTTTCTATAATTTAAATAAAATTTTTCAAAAATTCAATTATCTGAAAGTATTTTACAATTAAATAATATTAAATAATAATTATTTGATATTTAAAAAAAATAATAATAATTTTAGCGAATAAATTAACGAAAATTTTCAATTCAAAATCACATGAAATTCAATTATTTCCAATAATCTAAACTTAATAATTAATAATAATTTCTATCAAGTTCTTCAAAAAAAAAAAAAAAAAAATCAATTATTTAAAACACAATTTTCAATTAAAAAATCTGTAAAATTTTTTTGTATTTACAAAAATTAAGAAAAAATTTTCATCAAATACAATGTTTAAAAATTTCAATTTGAAATTCTTTTGAAATTCAATGACTTTTAAAAATTTTATTTCAAAACCTTATAAAATTTTCAATATAAAGCTTTCTAGAATTTAATTATTTCTAAAAATTTCATTTATAACTCTTCTAAAATTTAATTATGTAAAATTGAATTATTTTCTGAAATTTAAAAAAAATTCTAATTTTTAAAAACTAAAAATTTTTTGAAATTTAATAATTATTTCTAAAAATTTCTACTGTATTTCTTCTAAAATTCAATTATTTCTGTTTTCTTCCACAATTTTTTTTTTATTTCTTATCGGCAATTTTGTTTTGAGTCTTTTTTTAATGATTCTGAACAATTTTAAATTTATTGTTGAAATTTTCAATTGGTAAATAACTAATGAATTTTACAGGATCATCTAATATAGGTAATTCACCTTTTGGTTTGGGAAACTTGGGAGGTCTTGTTGGCTTAGAGAGTTTAGGAATGGGATCTAGTAATTTTATTGAATTACAACAGCGAATGCAACGCGAATTACTTTCAAATCCAGAAACAATGAGACAAGTGCTTGACAATCCATTGGTGCAAAGATTAATGAATGACCCAGAAAATATGCGTGCTTTAGTAACCGCAAATCCACAAATGCAAGAACTTATGCAACGAAATCCGGAAATAAGTCATATGTTAAATAATCCTGAACTTTTACGGTAAATATGTTTTTAAACAAATTTTTTTATTTTTATATTCAATGAATTATTAGTTGTTTTTTTTACAGAATGTTTTAAAAACATTGCATTTCATTAGTTGAAATAATTTTAAAATAAATTTTTGTTTTGCAAATCTATGCAAAGAGCAATTATAAAAAAAAAAAAATGTTAAGAATGATTTTTTTGTGTTGAAAACTAATATAACTTTACTAAAAATACTCTTAGCATGTTCTTTGAAATTAGTGTTTATAATCATTATCAGGGTGGCCGAATCGTGATTGTGATTTCGAACAATCGTCGAAATCTTTCTGTTGATCATTTGTTCGGCCCTTTGCAATTTTGGAAGAATAAAAATAAAAAATAAAAAGTCTAAAAAAGTGGCCAACCTGATTATAAAATGAATATTTTTTTTGAAAAAATAATAATTGTCAATGAAATTATTGTATTGAATATTTATTTATTTGACAGTCAAACAATGGAACTGGCTAGAAATCCGTCAATGCTACAGGAATTGATGCGTTCACATGATAGGGCACTATCTAATTTAGAGAGCATTCCAGGTGGTTACAGCGCTCTTCGTCGCATGTATCGAGACATACAGGAGCCAATGTTAGCCGCAGCGGCAAATGAAAGAAATCCTTTTGCAGCATTAGTTGAAAACAGTAATGCAGACAATCAACCAAATCCACAGCAGGGACAAGAGAATAGAGATCCATTGCCAAATCCATGGGGCAGTGATGGCAGTGAAAATAATTCAACAACATCACCACCACCAACATCAACACCGGCTGCTGGCGAAGGTGGTCAAGGAAGAGGTCTCTTTGATTCACCTGGAATACAAAGTCTCACAACACAAATAATGGAGAATCCAACATTGATGAGAAATTTGCTTAATGCTCCATACACACGTTCAATGCTAGAAGCATTGTCTGCCGATCCAGCAATGGCAAATAGACTTATTTCTTCAAATCCATTTCTCAGATTAAATTCACAAACACAAGAACAAATGAGATCAATGTTGCCAACATTATTACAACAAATGCAAAATCCACAAATACAAAATGTTTTCGCTAATCCAAATGCACTCGCGGCAATAATGCAAATTCAACAAGGCGTGGAACAATTGAGAACTGTCGCTCCTGAACTCGTTAACAAGTAAGATTATTATTTTTTCATTTCATTATTTAGATAGGAACATTATACGTGTAAAACTGAGACAGTAATTTGCGTTTATAAATTCTATAAACAATGTAATAGATATAAATTTTGTTAAATTTTAAAATAATGTAAATTGTAATAACAGGGTTACTACAGGACTTGGAAAAGTCATGAAATAATTTTTTTTTGTCACTGTATTATCAAAGAAATTCATTAACATTTTTTAAAATGATAAAATTTACAAAGAGCATTCCTTTTTTAAATTAAATTTGATATGTAATTATTATTATAATTATTTTAGTATGGGTTTAACACCACCACAGCCTACGGCAGCATCGACCGAATCAACGAGGACAACTTCACCAAGTCCTACCACAGCTCCGGCAACAGATCCAGATCAAAGTTTTTCTCAATTTATGGCTCGAATGGTTTGTTTATTTAAAAATCATACCAAAAATAAAATTTTAACTAATATTATTAATTTTAATTATTTTTTTTTTCTTTTTTTGTTAAATCGTTTAATTGTATTAATTTTGAAATGATAAAGTATTAGGCCTTATGATTTTTTTTTTTTTATTTTTAGGTATCGGCAATGGCACTGAATCAAGGAGGTGAAGTAGATGGTCAGGTAGCTCCACCAGAGGAACGTTACAGAGCACAACTTGAACAGCTTACAGCAATGGGTTTTGTAAACAGAGACGCAAATCTTCAAGGTAAAAAAACTGACATTTTTATATGTCTTTCAATTTTTATTTAAAAATTTATTTGAGTCACAATATTTCAAAAATTATTATTCAAAAAAGATTATTATAATTTGTATAATAATAAAATTCTTACAATAATTTTTTTCCAGATTAAAATAGTAACGGAAATTTTTTTTTTTGTATTAATGAACGATTGCAATATTATAGGTCCGTTAATTTTAAAATAAGGGAAATAAATTGATATAATTATGATAAATGATTATTTTTTAGCATTAATTGCAACATTTGGAGATGTTAATGCTGCTGTTGAAAGATTGCTGGCCAACGGACAAGTTTCCATGAGCTAACCACCAATGATTAACACCAATACCAACACTATAATTAATAATTTACTCTCGGTATACTTCTTGCCTCATGAGGAGAGGTGTCAAATAATTGAGGTAATGTTAACTCGAAAAATTTTAATTCTTATTATTCTGGCTCTAGGTAAAAGTACATGCTACAGACTCGTTTATTGTGAACTTTCTTTTATAATTGATGCAGTACTTACCCGGTTCAGCTAGCTGAGTAGGTACAACGAGAAAAAAAAATAATAAAAGGAACATATTGAGTATCTTGTTAATATTTCATCTCTATCTCTATATATTAATTGATGTATTATAAAGAATGTGTAATACTTGTACCAGCATTATATACTTGAGTGCACAATGATTGACTGTTTAGTTATGTTATTAATACATCACTTAGCTTATAGTTTCAAAACTGTATCTTCTTAAAAATTATACAAATTGATTAGAACATTTGTCGAATATTTTTAATTAGACCTCCATTGACAAAATTCTTATGTGGAGTAAAATTCAAATTCTTTAAGGAGGTTCTATAGTAAAGAGAATTAATATTACCATTTTAATCAAAGTTGGTTTTTTTTTAGACCTATAGATACTCAGGGTTGACAGAAAAATATTATTTTGTTTTTCCCTGATTTCCAGTCAAAATTAAAATTTTTTCCCTAGCCCTAATGAAAATATTTCAAGAGGTTTTCAAATAACAGGCCTCGACTTTTTTTTTTTTATTTTTTTAAATTGAGTTATTAAAAAAATATATTAACTTGAATTGCTTGCAAAATCAATTATTTTCAAGAATTTAAAACAAATTCTTTGAAAATTACACGATTTAAAACAATTTTCAATTGAAAATTCAATTATTCTCTAAAATTTAAAAAAAATTTCACCAATTCCAAAATGAAAGTTTCAATTAATTATCTCCTGAAATTCAATTATTATTTTTCAAAAATTTAACTCAAACTCGAACTTCTAAAATACAATTATTTCTAAATGTTCTATTTAAAATTGAAATTGTTGAATAATTTAATTTTAATACTTTTAATCAAGATTTTCGAAATTCAATTATTTTAAACATTTTCCAATTCAAAATTCTCCAAAGTTCAATTATTATTTAAAGCTTATAAAATATCTACAGAAAATTCTAATTACGAAAATTTTAATTAATAATCTCCTGAAATTCAATTAGATCCAAAAATTTGAACTATTACTCTTCCAAAACTCAATTATTTCTCAAATTTTTAACATCAATTTCTTTTTCAATTAATTATTTTTAATAATTTTAATTAAGTTTTTCAAATATTCAATTACATAAAACTTTTTTTAATTATTAATTCTTTAAAATTAAATTTTTGTTTATATATAATTTTTAAAAAATTTCAATAATTCAAGTTTATTAAAATTTTAATTGATAATTTCAAAAATTCAAATTTTTAAAACATTTTTCAATTGAAAATTTACTCAAATTCTCTATAATTCAATTATTTCTAAAACTTTTATTTAAAATTGTTCGCTAAATTAATTTTTTAAATTACTTTAATACAGTTCTTCAACAATTCAGGAAAATAAATTTTTTTTTAATTCTACATTTTATATGTTTGTTTTGTGTCTCAATTCTGATTATTTATTTATGTTGATGTATATTTTATAAGCTTGTGGGAAAAAAAAATTGTAAAACTTTGTAAAAGTACACAATGGAGAAATAAATCTAATCTAATCTATAATCTAAAAAGTTTTTTAATTAAAAATACTCTAAAATTTTACTATTCTTTAAAGTTTGTAAAAAAAAAAAAATTATCAATTAAAATTTATGAAAGTTTCAAATTTAACATCTTCTGATATTTTATTACTTCCAAAAAAATTTTAACTCGAACTCTTTCAAACTCAATTCGTAATTGAATAATAATTAATTAATTGAATGTTAATTGAGATGAAAATTTTTTTCCCAAATTTTTATCTATATATTTCTTTGTTTAATGAATTATTTCAACAGTTTTAATCCAATTTTTCAAAAATTCAATTATTTAAATCGTTTTTTAATTAATGTTTATATTTACAACAAAATTATAATTTTTGAACTCTTAAAAAATGCAATTATTTCTAAAATTTTTTACTGTAACTCTATTAAATTTCAATTATTTGGAACACTATTTTAGTTGAAAATTCTCTAAAATTCAATTATTGTCAGAAATTTGTAAACAAAATTTCATTAATTCAAATTTATAAAAATTTCAATTGAAATTCAATTATTCAATTATTTTGCAAATTTTAATTTAAAATTAATTTTTTTCCAAATAATATTTTAATGAAATTCTTGGAAAATTTAATTATTTTAAATATTTTTCGAATAATTTGTACATGACCTTAATTTTTTGGAAAAAGATTTTAGCACAATGAGTAAAATTACAAAGTAATGATTTCTGTTTTGACTAGTTCAGTCAAGCGATAGAACCTCCTTAAGGCCATGTGAAAAAAATATATTTTTTAGAATTCTCATACTTTTTCTAAAATGAAAAATGATTTGGTGTTAAATTTTTTTAAAAATTACTAGAAAAGGGTTTAAAAATATAACATGGCCTTAAACTATAATGAAATATACTTTTAAAACAACATGTTTCGATTCTCAAAAGAAATCCTCAACAGGTTTATCTTTTAGAAGAGATATATATTAATTAAAAAGAGTAATTTTAGCCCAAAATCTTTTCTTATTTTAGAGAAAGTTTGGATTTGCAAAACATATTTTCCCCCACTAGATTACGCGGGAATTTTCTACATGACCTTAAAGAAATTTTTGTTATAAAAAAATTACTATTTTAATATTATATTTTATCTTTTTCCGATATTTTATTTTTATTTTATTTTATATCCAGATGAGTTCAAAGAACAAGACGGAATTAATGAAGGAGAAATACAATAAACTGAAATTTAAAAAAAAGAAAATTTTTTACTTAATTAATTTTATAAACTATACCTAATTTTATGCATTTGAAATAATTTCTAAAATAGAAGTAATACTTCAGAAATTACAAATTCAGGTTGTGTCGTTACGTAGAAAAAAAATTCGATTTATCGATCGGAGATTGAACGGTAAGAAACATACACAAAACATTTTAATCCATCTAATAAAGTTTATTTTCATAAATATTTTGTACATATATAGCTTTCCAATTTATATAATATAATATATCTCAACTAGGTTGTGATTTTTTTTTTAAACAATTTTATAACAAACATACAGCAAAATGTGAAAAAAAAAAATGTTTACATAAAAAATAATCTTCGCAAAATGAGTAAAATAATTGCAGAAACTAGAAAAATAATTGAAACACTCCAAAATAATTCATTTTTAGAACGTGTTATAACTATTTCCGTTGTTTCTCGAAATTCAGGTTGCTCTTCCTGAAATTCTGTCTGATAATCAACATTACGTTGTCTTAATTCATTTTCCATATCTGATGTAAAATTATCTGCTGTCACTTCCTCAGCCTGAAAATTAAATATTGACGATTTATAAATATTATATTGTGTTTGTATAGTTTCGAAGAATTTTATAATAAAGCTCATACCTTTATATTCGAAAGTAAATTTAAAAAAAAAAAAAAAAACACACACACAAACCTTTAGTGCAATTGTATTCAACATCTGTTTCTCCTCTTCTGTAATTGGTCTTTTTCTTATGACAGTAGATAATAAATTCACTATTTGTCCACAAGTTTCACAATGCCATGTGAGCGATCTATTAATTAAAATTTTGATAACTTTAAAAAAAAAAACAAAACTTTGAATAATAAATAAATAAACAGGATTAAAATAATGAATACCTTTTCCTTGTTTTTCTCAATGGAAAAACTGTAATTTAAATCAAAAATAAAAAGAAACTACCTTTTAGCAAGTTTTTGTCTTTCTTCGGCATTATAATCTAAAGATCCAATTTTTCCATTTCCAGGAGTTGGCATAAATGCAATAAGAGCAAGTAATGCCGTTCTTATGCTCCATGATGGTTGCCATGTTTCCGGATGATGACCGGAGATGCTCAAGCATATTTTTTTATTGATTTCAAATCGACCGTTGGGCTGTGTTATAAGAGCAATATTTTTTTTTTTTTTTTTTTTTTTTTTTTTTTTTGCTTTATCGATTAAAATCATAAGAATAAAAATTATCCTCGAAACAACTCACGGTCAGTAAAATAATATTTGGTGGCTTCATAGGATACTCTGGTGGCAGTAATATTCTCCCATGATAAACACCGCCTTCAAAATCCGAGGACGGTGGACCTTGTATAGTGAAGTGCCATTCAAAAAGATTATCTTCCAATGGATATGCACAGTACTCTTCAGTAGGCTCGTGCAATTCCAAAGCTTCTCGCATCAATCTCTTGACAGCTGAAATTTTTGCAATCATAAAATTATTATTAGTAATTAAGTCAAAATTTCTTAACCACCTAAAAAAGACTTTTTAAATTTAAAAAATAGAATGTCCAGTTATTTTTGAAAAACAAATCCAAAGAATTTTCAAATGTTTTTCATGATCTACATTTAAGTAATTTATTCGAATTAAAAATTTTGTCATAATTTTTAGTTTTGATGGTCAAAAAAAATTTTACAGATTTTTAAATAATTGAATTGCAAAAAACTTTTTAATTTTGGTAGAGTTAAAGTTGAAATTTTTAGAAATAATTGAATTTTTGAAAAATATTATAAAAATCATTAAAAAAAATAATTATATTTGGGAAGAGTTATAATTAAAATTATTAAATTTCCGAAAGTTTTACATGGAAAATTTTAGAAAGTGTTAAATTGAAATATTTAAAAATAATTGAATTCCAAGTGATTTTGAATTGAAATTTTTGATAATTTTCGTTGCTGATTTTTTTTTAAATTTCAAACAATTTTTGAATTTCTTCAATTCTTTAATTTGATAAATAGTTTAAGATAATTGAATTTGTGAAGAATTTAATTAAAATTATTAATAATAATTAATTTAGTGATGAATTTTAGTTAAAAATTTATTAAATAGTTGAAATAAAGAAGATCTGCATTGTATACTAAAAAAAGACGCATTTTTTTTTTAAATATTTTGTAAAAAAATGTAAAAAAAAAGTGAAAAAAGTCGCATCTTATTAAAATAAATTGAAAAAAAGTCGAAAAAGTCATATAATCCGAGGCCTGGAAAAAGTCAATTTTTTTATTTTTGATAAATTTAATTAGCTAATAAATATTTTATTATTTAGATTAGATTAGATTTTATTTTTCTCCATTGTATACTTATTACAAAGTTTTACAATTTTTTTTTTAAATATCTTATTATTATTAAATATTATTCGAAATTGCTATAAATTTCTTCAAAAGGTAAGTTCTTTAAAATATAATTTTTTTAAAAAAAATTGTTTAAAGTTTAATTGTCTAAGGTAAATGTTTAGAAAATTGTTAAGTTCAATAAGATAAAGAAATTTTTTATTTATGAGAAATTCCAAAGATTTGAATTCATAAAATTTTTTTAAAAATTCTAATGTTTAAATTATTAAATCTTTTTTAGTTAACTAATTTTTTTAATTAAATCAAATTAAAAATTGGATAAATTCAATTTAAAATTTTTAAATAACAATTTTGAAATGAATTTTTTAATTAGAAAAATTCTCGAAATTTGAATTTTTAAATTTAAAAAAAAAAATCAAACTCAAAACTAAATTTTCAAAAAAATTATTGTTTCTTTTAGATTTCAATATATAAAGATTAAATGAAAAAATATACTACATTGAATTAAAATGTTCTTGTATTAAAAATGTAAATTTCAATTCTGATAAGAATATCAAATATTTATCATAATTACGTACACTCCTAATACCAGGTTTTGAAAACAATTCAAATTTTTAACTCATTTCTATTATCATTAACAGTTATCTTTTACTGATAATATTAATATTATTATAACTTGCACATTCAATACAGAAATAAAATATGTCTAATTTACATTTTAAAATTATTAAAAAATTATAAGACATTTAAAATGCGTACATAATAAATGTTTAATTATTTATTGTGAAAGCAAAAAAAAAAAAAAAAAGCATTTTTATATAATAATTTTAAATACCTGGACTTTTAGCGTTATATTTTCCTTCAAATGGCATGTTTGTTGAATTTAAAATACAATATTGAAGATAAACATTAAATTTTATAAACCTTGAAACACTTGTTTCTTTAAAACAAGATTATGTTTTGAAATATACCATTTCTCCATATATAAAAATTATTGTGGTTCAATGAAATTTAGGTAACATTTAGATATATGTAAATAATTAAATGACCGAATAGTTAAAAAATTTTTTTTTTAAATCTGTAAATGTCAATTCCTATGTTACATTATAGGACAAAAATCGAATAAAAAGTGACACTAGTACAATCATTCAACAATAATTACAAAAATCAACAAACATTAATGCATGAAGTATAAAAATATTAGAAGTGTAACATGTATTGTTAATTCATAAAAAATTATAAGGGTGCGTTCACATCTGGTTTTTTCTACAATAGATTTTCATTTGTTTCATCGATTTTCACCTATTCCAAAAAATTGGAATACTGGAAATGGAATCTATTGGAAAGAAAATCAAATTCAGTGACACGATCGTGAAAATTCATTGTATCGATTCGATACACAAAATACCGGAGGGTTGGTTTCCATTGTTCCCACTAGTCGCCATTTATCATAATTCTCGTCACTGCAGCACTCTGCTCTAGTAAAAATTTAGTAACTTTGTAGTAACTTTTAATTTTAACAATACAGTTACTAAATTTTTACTAGAGCAGGGTACGGTAGTTGGCTAGAATTATGACAAGAGTGAGGACAATTGAAACCAACTTAAGGCCTTAGCACAATAGAAATGTAACCGCAATCGCAAACGGAAGAATTAGTAAGAGAAGAACAACAATATATGACTATCCTTCTCTAACCCATTCTTATGTTTACGATTACGATTACGGTTACGTTTCTATTCTGCTCAGGCTTTTACTTAATGAGCAGAAAGAAACGTAACCGTAAAGGCCTGAGCAGAATAGAAACGTAACTGGAGTCGTAATCGCAAACGCAACCAGAAGAATGAATTAGAGAAGGATAGATAGATTGTTTGTCCTTTTTTAACTTATTCTTCCGGTTGCGTTTACGATTACGATACCGGTTACGTTTCTATTCTGCTCAGGCCTTAAGCACCTTTATAGTCACAAATTTTGACCTATGAAAATGCACCTTTAAGTATAGAAAAAGAAGGATAGGTCGTCTGTTATTCCGTCTCACAAACCGTGCACTTGGCAATGATAGAATCCAATCTAGTTAACATAGTTCATTGCCTAGTCAAGGTTTGACAATTTCTCTTGGACAATGTCAATGATTGGATAAAATTACTTACCCTAAGGATGGGCATAGGGGGTCACGTTTATGTTTAAAGCTTAATTTATCTACTGTCAGTTTTGCTCATCTTATATTCTTCGAGTTCAATATTTATTAAAAAAAATCGTTCCACACTAAACTAAAAATGTAAGAAACAATTATTAGTGAAAAAATTAAGCTTCTGTTTATTATACAGATGTCAAAGTATAGTAGATTTCTAGGCAACTTCGTGTGTACTCGAGTTCCCACTAAGTGTGTGAAAAAGGTCGTGAATTTGATAGAATATCGATTAGTTGGCGAATTTGCTGTTGCTGTTGCTTCTGCTTTTTTAATTATTATTCATTATTAAAAAAGAAAAAGATTGTTGAAATGCAAAATATTTCTTATAAACGGAATCACACATGTTTTGTCATTTTTATTTTATGACGATTAAATGGCAAAAGCAACACAAGTATAAATATAAAGTTCCGTCTGACTCCATGAGTATTCAAGAGGCTGAGAGATGCCAATTTCTAGAATTTTATAGGTGTTCAATTAAATTTAATTGAAGGTTGGTATTTATTTCATTATTTGCTTTTTTTCTTAATGTTTATTAACAAAAAAAAATTTTAACGCAGCATTTTTATACTAATCACTATTATTGTACAATCATGTTCTTTGTGAGTTTATCTTATGTTGCTTGTAACCAAATTGTGCATTCATTTTTTTTTTTTTTAAATTTACTTTTATGTTGGATATATTAAAACAATTTAATTCATTATTTGTTTGCTTTAAATATTTTTATAGATAAAATAATTTTGTAGTTAAAAATAAAAAAGAGAAATGAAAATTGGTTCTTTGTGTTTTGTTGTAATATTTGTATGTGCATAACAAAAAAAAAAAAAAAAAAACTAATATTAAGTTAAGGTAAATAATGATTATGGGAAATTATTAAAAATAAAACTAATTATTTCTTCTTCCTTATTAAATAACATATTTTAAAATATCACTAATATGGCGATTATACATCCCCCCTCATCCCACTTTTTCCCCCTTCATGTTGGTAATTTTTTTTTTTATAATAACTTTTATTTTTTTTACCACTTATTTTTCGTGACTAAATAATTAACTAGTTTAAATAATAATAATTATTTAAATAATTCGAAAAATTTCTATAACAGTTTTTTTTCTATTTTTAACATGAGTTTTTTTTTTTTTTAAATATATTTAAAAACAGATTTTTGTTCCAAAAAAGTGAAAATCACAAATTATTAATATGAAAGAAAAAAATTGTTAGTTAATATTTTTAAAAATTTTTAAATTAAAATTAAAGAAAAATTTAATAAATTCAAATGTTGAAAATGAAAAAAAAAATGAAAAAATAATTAAATTTAAATAAATAGAATTTTTTTTTGATAAAATTGATTAATAATTAATAATAAAAACAATAAAGTGATAACAGTATAAAATTAGTAAGAAAAATTGAAATTAAAATTAACAAAAAAAAAATAAATAATAAATAATTTAATAATATTTGATAATTTAAATCTTCATTGATGTTGTGTCCCAATTAATAATAAATTTTAATTTCTTTTAAAATTTTGGCAATTTTTTTGGGACAGGAAAGATATATCAAAAAACATCTTTAACGTTAAAGATGTTTTTTGATATACAATCTTTCCTGTCCTAAAAAATTGCTAAAATTTTAAAAGAAATTATAATTTTATAATTTAATTAAATATTCAAATGTAATTTCCATTATTTTAATAATTAATAATTTTATTTAATGATTAGCAACAAGCCGTTGGAAAAATATATTTTTCATTACTCAATTAAAAAATTAATTGAAGATATTTCAAATTATTTGATTAAATAATTAAAAAGTAATATTAATAATCTAATTATTAAATCATATTGTATATTGTAAGATAATTTAAATAATTTAATTTATTTTTCGCAGATAATTTCAATTATTTCATTTAATAATTAAGGATTATTTTTGATAATTTTAGAGTGTCCAACGAATATTGAATTATCCTTGAATCTAGTATTTAAAAATTTTGAATTTACTTTAAATGTTAAAAATCGTGAATTATGAAATTTTCTAAAATTTATGTTTTTATCATTTTTACAATATAATAATTTCAATCTACTTTGCCATGTACTATACTAGTATTTCGTAAGGTAATGGCGGAAAATACATTGGGTCATCCTAACCTAAAGTAAAAAGATATACATGAGCGACATTTTGGTCAAAATTAAATTTTTCATATCATAGAATATTCATGTAGGAAAACTGCACCTAACTGTAGAAAAAAAAAAAGAATTAAATATTTTAATTATTTATTACAAAATTAGATTGTTCAAAAAAAATGAGAAAAATTAAAAGAATACACAAAACATTATTTTTGTAGGAAATTTTCCCTAAAATAAAAATGTGGCATTTATTATCAATTTTTAAGTTGAGAAATCAAAGAAAATTTGAAAAACTGTGAAAACAGAAAACAAGGTCACAGGGGCTTTTTCAAATTTTTCAAGTTTTCTTTATTGAATTTTTAAAAATGTAAAAACAATTTAAAATACTGCGAAAAATTTTTAACAAAAAAAAAAAAAATATATTTCAACTTTGACATTTTTTTCATGATTAATAGTTTAATTATACTTATAAAATCTTTAATTTAACGATTTTTTATCCTAAAAATTTTCATTAAAGAGATATCGAAAAATCGTTAATACCGTTTTAGCTCTCGGATTACACGAATTTTTTTTGCCTTTTTCCGACTTTTTTTGACTTATTTAATAAAATGTGACTTTTTCGACTTTTTTTTTTTAATTTTTAAACAAAATACGTTTTTTTAGTATACAATGTAGATCTTCTTTAGATTTATATATAAATCAATTATTTTTAATAAATTTCATGAAATTCTTCACAAATTCAATTATCCTTAACTATTTGTTAAATTACAGAATTTATGAAATTCAATAATTATTTATAATTTAAAAAAAATTAGCAAATAAAATTATCAAAAAATTTTAATTCAAAATCACTTGAAATTAAATTATTTTTAAAAATTTCTATTATTTTTAATGATTTTTATAATATTCTTCGAAAATTCAATTAGCGGAAAGCATTTTTTAATTAAAAACTTTTTGGTTTTTCAAATAAACTTGATTTTTAATAAATTCTTCATTAACAAAAATCACTAAAAATTTCTCTTATAATTATTGTCTGAAATTGAACACAATCTTTTGAAATTCAATTATTTTCAAAAATTTCAATTTAAGAGCATCTAAAATTTAATTATTTCTAAAAATTGCATCTTTAACTCTTCCAAAATTATTAATTAAACAAAAATTTTAAATAAAAATCTGTAAAATTTGATTAAAATTGCCTGAAATTTGTCCTACTTAAATAAAATTTTGTAAATGTTTCTTACAATTAATTCGATTCTAAAATATTTGAAATAAATTTTCTTGATAATATTTTTATAAAATTATTCTCATTATAGAATTAATAAAATTAATTTAATATCTAATAACATTAGTTATAATATTTAAAGTAAAATATTCATTAACCAATAAAATTTTGTTAAAAAATTTAAAATTGGAATTTTTCGTAAATTTGAATTGCTGAAGGTATTCTTTTTTTTACTTTCAGACAAAAATTAAATTTTAATAAATTTTTAATGCAAATATTTTGAAAATATTTAATTAAATTTTCGAAATACATTGTTAACCCTAGAACGGATATATATATATATATATTTTTTTGCCCTCTAAAGGAAAAACTAAAATAGTTTGTCATCCCATATTTAAAAAATTTGTGAAATGTTTCTATTTTTCTGAAAAAGAGGTTTAGTATAGTGATTTTTTTCATTTTTCAGTAAGGATGACGATGGTACGATTAATTTTTAAAAGAGTGAAAAAAAAATGTGCGAAAATGTTAAAATTAATTGATTTGGCGAAGAGTTTAAGATAAAAAAAAATTAATTGAAATTTTTTTAATAAATCAGTTTTTGAAGAATTTATTCAAAATATTGAAAAAAATTAGGTTTCTATAAAAATTTGAATTACAATTTTGAAAATTGATTAAAATGAGTAATAGTGAAAATGGAGTTACGACGAAATGAACTTTACTTTTACAATATTAGAACGACGTGAACAATCTGGTAATTAGGTGTGAAATCGAGGGCACAAAATCATCTAATCAATCGTGTAATTTTCCTCCTTAATTTAAAAATAAAATTTTCTTGCAGATTCTGAAAAAGAGGACTCAAATACGTAAGAAATACGTACTCAATGCCGATTTTTCTCAAATGATTAACTTTTAAAACAATGAACGTGACATTCAACAACAAAAACGGACATTTGGGACTAAATAGTTTAAGAGGTAAGGGAATTAATTTTTTTTTAATAACCAATATAATTGGATCCTAGAGGCGATATTTTGGAAAAAAATTAAGAAAAAAGGGTTGTCACAAGTCAAAAAAATGTTCTGAAAAAATGTTGTAAACCTAGATTTTCTATTATAAGGTAACATGTTCATATTTTAAAATTTTAATTGTACAGCGATCCTTAAAAACATTGAAATCTCCTTGAATTTAAATTTTTTACCTTGATAATATTTAAATCATTTTTGAATTTTAAAATAAAACCTTGAATTATTAAAAATTTTATAAAAACTAATATTTATAGTTTAAAACACTGCTACATTTGATAGAAAAAGAACATAAAATTCGAAAATGTCTGAAATTCAGGGGGGAAATTATAATAAAAATTTTTTTCGGCAACCCTGTAGAATACTAATGAATATTTTTTTATTTTAGGCAGATACTTAAGTATGGAATAACTATCTAAACTTGAAGAAAATAGAATTGCAATAAATAGAAATTAAAAATGGATTACGGGAGCAGCATGGGGCCTGTAGCATGTCCAGTTTGTACCCTCTTTCTACGAGAGGGAATCAGTTTACAAAAACATTTAGATACACATCCAAAAGAGCAAGTGATTGAGGCTCTTATAAAAGCAAGTGCTTCCGTCCCAAATCAAATACAGGATTCACAAAATCAGATATCACCATTACCAAGTCAAATATCACCATTACCAAGTCAGATATCGCCATTACCAAATCAAATTACATCTCCGTCACCAGTAAATTCAGCCTCTCATGTATCGTCTCCGTCTCCTTATCCAGTGGGTCCTGTTTTTGAATGCCCATCAACATTAAATGCAGTACTCTCGCCTCCACAATTTTCATCGTTTAGTTATCAACAGTTTGTTAATAATGGAACTGTTATGATACCTCAATATGCGATGGCACCACAGAATAATCATATGATGCAAATGCTTTATTCTCCCTATGGCATGTATCATCAACAGCCAATTTCAACAATGCAAATGATTTCACCTGTTGCTCACAATGCAGCTGCTGCAGCAGCAGCAGCAGCAGCCGCCGCCGCCGCTGCAACCGCTACTGCTTCTTCATCCGATACAAATTCACCAATAAGATTTAAACCCACAAATGATACCGTTAAATTGAATTCTTCAACTGAAAAATCATACAATTGTCCTGAATCAAGACCTGTTATACCTGAAATTTTAGAGGATAATGAATTACTCTCAAATACTGAAATAGCTTCAAAAGATCAACAGGACAAATGTGATCGAACCAACAATCAAAGAGTCGAATATCGTGAACAACAAACACAAGCATCAAATGAAGAAGAACGCAATGACGAATCACCCACTGATGATGAAATTATGAGAGAAAATAATACAAATTTAGAACAAAAAGAAATAGTAACACCTGAATTAATAATCGATGATAGTGTCATTGATGATAAAACATCTGATGATTCTGATGTTGAAGCAACTGATCCACTTGACAAACTTGAACCAGAAAAACCCGAAGAAGAAGAAGAAGAAGAGGAAGAAGAAGAAGATGAGGAGGAGGAAGAAGAAGAAGAAGAAGAGGAGGAGTCAAATAAAACATGGAAACCCGATCAAAGAAAATCGCCGGAAGTTGAACAATTGGAACACCTTTTGATAACAATTATAGAATCAGATTACAACGATACTAATAATGAAAAAATTCCAATGGATAGTGATGACAGTGATACATCATCTGATTTAAATAAATCAACAAATAATTTAAATTTAAATGAAAAAACTTATCACTATAAACATAGTTTGTCAGCGCCGTCGTCTCCAATTTTCTTTAAAAAATCACACAGAACACATTCACGTTTATCATTGAGAGCTGATTTTCGTTCAAATGAAAATATATCCACATATCCTCTTGGATTTGAAGCGACAGCTTTAGAAAATTTTGCCGATAGAAAAAATGAAGAGGATCCAGATGCTGATATGGAGGAAATTGCATCAACTGTTCTATTTAAAGAATGTCATGAGGACGAACCAATGAGATCATATTCACCATCATCAATTGGTAGCAATAATTCAATTCTTCGTGTGCGTACAGATCTTAATAATGCCACTCCTCTTTTATCGAATCTACATATTGATAATTTTCAACAATTCGACACATCAATAACAGATGATAATCTACCTAAAAATATTCAAGAAGAAAATTTCAATAATGAATTAGAATCTCCAATAGTGGAGAAAAAAATAAAAGATGAGAAACGAAAGGAAAATAATCAAATGGACAATATTAATATTGAAAATACATCATTGTTGACAAAAAATTTAGATGCAGATGAATCGACAAATTCAAAGACTGTGGAATCAAATAAAATAGTCTTTCAAAAGCCATCAACGGAAGTTTTTAATATTAATGAAGACGCTCATAGTGGTCCTATGAATGTTTTTGAATTTGATGGTTTACAAATATTGGTACCAAGCACATTTATAAGTGAACCATCTGATAAGGCCATTAGTGGTACAAGTCAACAATCATTGTCAAGCAGTGAAGGAGGAACTTGCATTGATGAAGAAATAAAAAGTATTAATATGCGAGCCGATGAAAGTATGCCACCAAGAGGGGAATTATCAGAACAAGAAAGCAATGAATGTACTGATCAATCCACATGGCAGGTTAGTTCAAATTATTATATTTTTTTTGAGTTTTTATTTATTTATGATTATAAACTTAGCTAGGAGTAAATTTAATTCTATTCGAAATTAAAAGAAAATTTAACGAGAATCCACAATCGTATTAAATAATAAAAACAATATCGTCAGATTAATTGTTTATTTTAAAATCTAAAAAAATATAATTTTTTTATTTATTATTATTTTCTTTAGCATCAAATTCTTCGAAACGATAAACAATCAATTGTTTAAACAAGTCGAAGATTTTTTTGAAAAGTTAATAACAAAAGCTAAAAAACTAAATAATAAAGCTGCCGGCACAAAGAAGGGCACATAACTAATTAATTTTTAGATGCACTTTCATTTTTCGAATTAACATTTGTCAGAATTTCTTAATTAAAGAATTTTTAATTAACCGAATTTTTAATTGGTAAAATTCTTAAAACGCCGAATTTTTTATTTGTCCGAAATTGCAAATGGCCGAACAAAGAATCGACATAAAAATTTCGGCGCGATTTTTAAAATCCACCAATCTCGATTTCTTGCCGAAATGTTTCTGTCGATTCTTTGTTCGGTCATTTGCAATTTCGGACAAATAAAAAATTCGGCGTTTTAAGAGTTCTGTAAAATAAACATTTGATATATATAAGAATTTTGTTAAATAAAAATTTGTTTAAAAAAGAAATTCTGTCAAATGTAAATTCGGAAAATGAAAATTCGTCTAAAAAGTAATTATTTCTAATAAAATTCTTTAAAATGAAAATTTTAACTAATGTTTTTTATGGGATTATTATTATTTTTTTTTGAAAAATAAATTTTGTACTGAATTCTGTTAATCAATCACAAAAAGAAACAATCATAATAGTTAAGAAAAATTAAAAATTTGCAAAATAATTCAATTTTAAAATTTAAAAAAAAAAACCTTTTTTTATCCGGAACTATTATTTTTCAAAAACAAATTTTGTGCTGAATTCTGTAAGTCGAGGAAAAAAAAAGAAACAATTACAACATTTACGAAAAATTAAAACTTTTTGGAAATTAATTCAATTTTAAAATTAAAAAGTATTTTTTTTTTTTATTTAGAAATATTTAACAACTGATTCTATTTACATTAACAAATAATTTTACAATAAATTGTCTTTAATGTTTTAATCATTTTGTCGTCATCGATAGACTCAAATACGTAAGTATATCAAGATTCAATTTCATACAGATTTGTATGAAATACGATTATTTATGTTTTGAAATTCAATGGAATTAAAAAATTTTTGTCCATTATTATTCAATTTTTTTTTTGGAAATAATTATTTTTTAAACAAAATTTCATTCTTGGTATCATTTCTTTTTGAATTTGTACTTACCAAATTTTTGTTTGTCAAAATTGTTAATTTACAGTCATTTTCTTTTACATGACATTTTATTTAAAAAAAAATTTTTTAATTTAACACAATTCTCATTAAATTTAATGTTATGTGATTCAAATTTTTAAATGACAGAATTTCAAATTCACTGAATTTTAATTTGTAAAAATTTTTAATTGACAAAATTCTTAAGATGCAGAATTTTCATTTATGCGAACAAACAATTGACAAAAAGATTTCGGCGCAATTTTTAAATTTCATCAATTAGAAATTATCAAGAAAATCGTAATTCGTCAATTTTAAAAATTACGTCGAAATCTTTCTGTCGACTGTTTGTTCGGTCATTTTTGTAATTACGAACAAATGAATGTTCGGCGTCTTAAGAATTCTATTAATTAAAAATTGGGACAAATTAAAATTCTGTGAATTGAAATTTTTGTGATTTAAAAATTTCTGTAAAGAGAAACTGTAAAAATTGAAATTATTGAGAAATATTTTATAATAATGAAATAAATAATTGTGATATAAATAAAAATTAACAATTTCCAGAAGCAGATACAAGATCTGCGATATTTATTAACAGATGAAATTAATTACTTTTATAAGACATCTAAAATTTCTCTCATTAATTAGGACTATTCAGTATTGATTGGAATTAGTCTAGTATAGACGAAAAAAAAAATTCTAATCGAAATTAAAACTGTTTTTCTTTTATGTTAAACAGATTTACATTGGCCAAGAAGCTTCACGTATGTCAACATCATATGATCTCATGGCACGTGAAACCTGGGAAGAATCAGAGGGTTCAGACAATGAAATTGGAGGATCACTTTTAGATTCTAGATCACTAGCCACTCATTTTACATCAAGTTTGTTTTTAGATCGTGATCGTAAGACGCCGACGCGTCGAATTTTTAAATGTGCATATTGCACAGAAGGTTTTGAATGTCCTAAAGAACGTCGAGTTCATATGACAACAATTCATAAAAATGCCGGTGCCAGTAACAGTCAAGAACCAATTCAACAAACGGAAATAAAGGACATTAAATTATTGGAGGGACGCATGAATATGTTTGAAGATATTTTCGTTGCTGGATTACATGTTCCACAAACATATCATCAACCATTGTTACATCAATTACAACCACCGCAACAACTTGATCAAGGACGTGTTGACACTGACATAAAAGTAGATAATTTAAGAGTTTCAAATGCAATTGAAATAACATGCAATATTTGTAACCAAAGTTTTTCCGGTGAAAAGTCATTGCAAATACATCAACGACGAATGCACATTAAAGATTCAGTTAAACGCGTTAGGGAAAATGCAAAATGTCAAATTTGTAATCAAGAATTTCCCTCAGTTATTTTATTTAATGCACATTTAAAAATTCATCCCCTTGAATGTGGCCAGTGTGGTAAGTATTTTTATAGAAAACAAAATTTCAAATTACACGTAAAACGTCATCTTGGAATAAAACCATTCCCATGTACAGTTTGTGACAAAGCATTTTTAACAAAACAAAAACTTGATGAACACACAAATGGCCACACTGGCAATGCACCAGTTAAATGCAATTTATGTAATGAAACATTTAGACGTTATTCAAATTTAACGCAACACAAAAATCGTCATCATTTGCATGTGAAGAAAAAGTTAAAGGACTATATTTGTCATTGTGGGGAAATATTTCACACTAAAAAGAAATTAGCATGGCATAAGGAGACACACGATGAAAAACCAAAAGCATGTACATACTGTAACGAAAGATTCATTCATATGGCAAGTTTAACTCGTCATATGAGACGCGCTCATAATCGAAGATTTGTTCCTGATGCTCAAAGAGAAAGTGAAAATGTTGAATGTCCAATATGTAAATGCATTTATTTACGATCATCATTAGCTGTACATATGAGAGTTCATAATGGAGAGCGACCCTATGAATGTCAAGTTTGTTCTAAAGCGTTTAGTACAAAATGGAATTTACAGCTGCATAAATGGACGCATGCAGCAAGAAGTACTAAACCATTTAAGTGCAATCAATGTAATGCTGCTTTTTATCGACATAGTGATTATACAGCACATATGAATTCTCACAGGAATGTTCGTCCATATACGTGCAATTACTGTGGGGCTCAATTTATTAGAAAATACAATTGCCTTAGGCATGTTAAAGAACACGAAGAAAATAAAGCTTATACATGTGATGTTTGTAACAAAACTTTTCATAGATCATATTACCTCAAAGAACATTTACGTGTGCATTCTGGTGCAAGACCATATTCCTGTCATATTTGTGGTAAATCAAGTAGCACTAAATCCAATCACAATAAGCATGTGAGAATTCATCATGCACGTGAACCTGTAAATACCGAAAATTAATCTCTGCTTCGTGTGTATGTTCATTTTTAATCATTTTTTTTTCTTCGTTTTTTTAAGCGGCTTTTAAATCAGTGTATGCCTCTTAAAAAAAAATTTTTAGTAAAAATAAAAATTGACTTTATTGTCAAGTGTGCCTGTGCGGCTAAAAAAAATTTTAATGTAATTTTTATTATTAAATTCTTGAAATATTTTTTTCTTATGTTACTTTATTTCCCTATATATATAAAAATAAAAATTAAATATACCGATATAAGTACAAAGTTCCTTCTCCCTCTTTATTTTTTAGCCATATATTAATCACTTAATAATAAAGGAAAATTGTAGGAGTGCACTTAATTTATTTTGTAATTTAGTTTTTTTTTCATAAATATTTAAAATGGACCCTGATCAAAATGAAAAAAGTGAAACAACAAAGTTTATTTCAGATCAAGATAATGCTATGTCTTTGAATCCAAATAAAGATAATTTTAATGTAACAGGTACAATACCTAAAAAAACCGAGTAATGATATAGGATTTATGGAAATTTTTGATGAAACGAGAATTCATATTTCTCTAATAGTGACAAAGAATTAGATTCAAATAAAGAGGAACAAGAGACTTTAAATAGAACTGAAAAAGACTTTGATGAATTCATGCAAGAACCATTGGATGAAGTATAGGTAGTAAAATTCATAATATGGATAGCATAATTAATGAATTACATTTGAGTAAAGAAGAAAATACAATTTTAAACAATGAAAATAAAATTAAAACAATTCAAGAAAATCAAGTAAATTTTGAACAATGAATAAGTAGATTAACAAATAATGATAATTCTAGAAATTCAATTATTTGTCAAATTTTCAATTTACAATCAAATAAAATTCAATTATTTTCAAAAATTCCAATTCAAAATCAACTACAATTCAATTATGTTCAAAATTTCCAATTCAAAATCAAATAATATTCAATTCTCCTCAAAAATTTCAATTTAAAATTAATTATTATTGATTCATCTTATTCTCTTGCAATTCAGGTTCAATTGGTAGGTTTTTTTGAAGGTTTTAGGTGTTGTTTTAAGGTAAACAAAAAATAGAGACATACTGATTAATTTTATTTGAATTTGTAAGGAATTTTTTCATTTTCCAGGAAAACATTCTATTCAAAAAAATGGAATAAAATTGATTATTCTCAGTCTACTGCAATTTAGGTTCAATTGGTAGGTTTTTTTGAAGGTTTTAGGTGTTGTTTTAAGGTAAAAAAAATAATAGAGACATGGTAAATGATTTTATTTAAATTTGTGAGGAATTTTTTCATTTTCCAGGAAAACATTCTATTCAAAAAAATGGAATAAAATTGATTATTCTTAGTCTACTGCAATTTAGGTTCAATTGGTAGGTTCTTTTTAAGGTTTTAGGTGTTTTTTTAAGATAAAAAAATAATAGAGACATGCTTAATGATTTTATTTGAATTTGTAATGAATTTTTACATTTTCCAGGAAAACATTCTATTCAAAAAAATGGAATAAAATTGATTATTCTTAGTCTATAATTTTGATATTTCTTTAAAAATTCAATTATATTTAAAAGTTTTTCAAATTAAAATTCTAAAATTGAATTGTTATCAAACATTAAGAAATATAGCAGTTTAAATTTGGAGAAATTTTATTTTTAAATATAGGTATATTTAAAAAATTTTGTTTTAAATATTCGAAATTTTCAATTAAAATTTTAAAAAACTTGAATTGAAATTTGTTAAAAATTATATAAAAAAAATTTTAATTTTAAAGAATTAATAATTAAAAAACATTTTATATAATTGAATTTTTGAAAAACTTGATTAAAATTATTAGAAATAATTAATTGAAAAAGAAATTGAAGTTAAAAATTTGAGAAATAATTGAGTTTTGGAAGAGCAATGTTAAAATTTTTTGAACTACTTAATTGAATTTCAAGATATTTTGAATTAAAATTTTCGTAAATTGGAATTTCTGTAGATATTTTATAAGCTTTAAACAATAAAAATACTTTGGATTTTATATTTTTGATATCGATTAAGGTCATAGATTATAAATTTCTGTTAATTTTGAAACACCTATATATAAACAATAAAAACTAGAAACAGTTACTTCAGCGTCTAGTATTTTTTATTAAAAAAAACATTTTTAATTTATTCTAAGTTATTATTAAGAAATAGACGCAATAGATACTATATTATTGTTAACTTATTCCAAAAAAGTTCTATTGATTTAATACTAACTGATAATAAAAAGTATGTCTATTTTTACACCTATGTAAACTGAAAAAAATATATAAAAAGTAAAAGTTAACTAATTTTTTATCAATGTTGTTAAAGTAACCAGTGAAATAGTAAATCATGATTTCGTTAATATTCATAAAATTGCTTCTAATATTTGTGTCGAGTACAATTTCACAGCCAACACTGCAATCGAATTCGAATGTAAGTTTTTAAAATATTAATTAAAAGATAAATCTGCCTCATCACCACATGAATTTTACATATAATTATAAATTCATCTTTTAGATAACTACAAGAGATGTCGAGCTTTTGGATCCATCACAAATTGCACAAAAAATAAATAATAGTTTAATATATTCATTCGATGCTTTAGGTCTTGCTGATAACGTATTTTTAAAAATATTTATAAATTACAAGACAAAGACAATAGAATTACAACAATTGCTCATATATATTCATCCGTATTTTGATTTATATTTTTCGATCCGTTTAGAAAGAAATGGTTCTTCTATTTTTGAATATAAATTCTTTGGTTCATCACAAAATGCTCAAAAGCTAATTAATGTTGTAGAGAAGTTTCAGTACAATGATATAATTCATATTTATCATGCCGAACCATATCGCTTAATATCAGTTTTCGAAGGATTAAATAATAAAGAAGAAAATAATACTTTTCTTTTGTCAGATACAGGTTTGAAGACCATTAAATAGAATGGAACAGAAATAATTTTAGGTATTCATTTTCCTTGATGATAACGTATTTTTAAAAATCTTTGTAAATTACAAGACTATGACAATAGAATTACAACAATTACTCAATATTATTCATCCTTATTTTGATTTATACTTTTCGATCAGTTTGAAACGAAATGGTTCTTCTAATTTTGATTATAAATTCTTTGGTTCATCACAAAATGCTCAAAAGCTAATTAATGTGGTAGAGAAATTTCAGTACAATGATATAATTCATATTTATCATACTGAACCATATCGCTTAAAATTAAATTTGAAAGGTTTCACATCACGAAATAATAATTTTCTACTTGCGGATAATGGTTTGCAGACCATTAATTAACTAAAATCATAAATAATTTAAAATATTCATTTGATGCGTTGTGTTCTTATGTATTTTTAAAAATCTAAATTGTTTCTATTAAACAATATTAATAATATAATTGTTAATTTATGTTTTATGTCTATATGTGAAATTTATAATTTGCAATAACATTAATGTCGAAATATCTGATTGTTTATTGTTAATAAAATTAAATCATTTTCATCCAGTATAATTATGTGTTTTTACTCAATTCTATATTAGTTTTTCCGAATAAATTAAATATTAATAGAAATTTTATATTCTCTGACGTTAATCGATGATGAAAATATTAAATCAATAGAATATTTTTTATCTATAAGTCAACAAGAATATATTTTATTCGATCGAATCTGAGTCTTTTCTTTAGAGTGCTCAAAAAATAGATTTTTATTTTTTTAAAGATAAGTTTCGTTTTTACGTATTTAAATAATCAAATTAATCATCAAAACGAAAATTTTGATGTTTAGTAAAATAATTTGTAAATTAAATACAGCAAAAACACTTATAAAAATTGATATATATATATATATATTTAAATACACATTATTTCACTTGAAAATAGTGAAAATACAATAAATAAATATTTTTAAAATATTGATTATACAAAACAGATCTTAAATATTTTTCTTTCTAATTTACATATATATTTACGAATAACATTTATTATCAATTTGGAGTGAATAAAATTTCACAGAACGAGATCAACATTGAGACTATATGTGAAAATCATGACTATATATAGGTAACATATTAACAGCAAACAACTCAATATAGTTCAGTTTCTAAAAGAATTAATTCAATTTTCAATGTATATTAATGACACACTATATAATGAAACACCATAATTGATAATGAGTTAACAATTAAACTAATAATATATAAATAAATGGCACAGTAAAATTTTATAGTCTTTTCCAAAGGTTCAAGATAAAATTCGTAAATTAAAAATATTTTTTTTTTTTGATTCGTACAAAAAATTGTATATATACAAATAAAAGTAATGAGTATTAAATGAAAAATAACTATTTTAATTTAATATTTGGCAAAGAAACTTAAAATAAAGACTTATTTTATAAATCTAATTTGTACTTAAGGAATATATTTATTATTATAAAAACCAAAAGAATGTATATGTTTAATTCTTTAATGGAAGTAATATTCGAAACTTGTGTATGAATAACTTCTGCTCCAGTTAGGGCACTTAATGGTACTTCCATCATAATTGAAGGACTCTTTTGATGTATTAATGTTGTTAATCTTTCAGTTTCCAATATGCACATACGTAATTGAACACTGGATGGTGTTATATTAATTGGTATAATTACTATAACAATATCTCCATCTAGCGTCACCATTCCTTTAAGAGAGCATTCTTTAACTGAAATATGCCTTTCTAAGGCATTCAATAGTGCCGTCAAGGTGATTGTATCCTTATCCTTCTCGTTGTCCATCATGTATAATATTCTGTCTAACTGTTTAACAAAATAATAATATTACATTGTTTATTATAATTGATAAGGGTTGATACAAAAATATTATTTTCTCTTTCCCTGACTTTCAGTAAAGATTAAAATTTTTTCCCTAAATTTAATGAAAATATTTCAAGAGATTTTCAATTTTGGATTGCACGACTTTTTTCTATTTTTTAAAATTATTAAAAAAAAATATTAAATTAAATTGTTTGCAAAATCAATTATTTTCAATAATTTAAAATAAATTCTTTGAAAATTACATGATTTAAAACAGTTTTCAATTGAAAATTCAATTATTGTCTAAAGTTTTTCAAAAAAAATTTCACCAATTCAAAATGAAAGTTTCAATTAATAATCTCCTGAAATTCAATTATTATTGCCAAAAATTTTAACTCGAACTCTTCTAAAATACAATTATTTCTAAATTTTTGTGTCTAAAATAGGAAATTGTTGAATAATTTAATTTTAATCAACATTTTCGAAAATACAATTTAAAACTTTTTTTTAATTCAAAATTCTCCAAAGTTTTTTTTATTGTTTAAAGCTTATAAAATATCTACAGAAATTTCAATTTACGAAAATTTTAATTAAAAATATTCTGAAATTCAATTAAGTAGTTCCACAAATTTTAACTATTGTTCTTCCAAAACTCAATTATTTCTCAAATTCTTAACTTCAATTTCTTTTTCAATTAATTATTTCTAATAATTTGAATCAAGTTTTTCAAAAATTCAATTATATAAAATGTTTTTTAATTATCAATTCTTTAAAATTAAATTTTTTTTAATATAATTTTTAAAAAATTTCAATTCAACTTTATTAAAATTTTAATTGAAAATTTCGAAGATTAAAAATACAATTTTTTAAATAATTAAATTGCATACCTATATTTAAAAATAAAATTTCTCCAAATTTAAACTGCTATATTTCTTAATGTTTGATAACAATTCAATTTTAGAATTTTTATTTGAAAAACTTTTAAATATAATTGAATTTTTAAAGAAATATCAAAATTATAAAAGTAATTGAATTTTGTTACATATAGTTGAAATTTTTAGAAATGATTGAATTTCCAAAGATTTTTGTAAATTTCAAACAATAATTAAATTTTACAGAATTAAAAATAATTTATCAAATAATTTTAAATAATATTTTTTCAAAGCAATTAAATTTTAAATAAGATTTAAAGGTAATTCATATTTTTGAAAATAATTGAACTTCAAATGTTTTTTAATGGAAATTTTTGGTAATTTCTGTTGTTAAAGAATTTATAAAGAATTACAAACAAAAATTGAATCTCATAAATTTTTAATTGAAAAATAGTTTAAAATAATTGAATTTGTAAAAAATTTCATTAAAATTATTTAAAATAATTGAATATCGGAAGAGTTATATTGGAAATTATTAAATTTCAGAAAGTTTTAGATAAAATTTTTTAAAAATAATTCAATTTTAAATCATTTTTAATTGAAATTATAGGTAATTTTATTTGCTGATTTAAAAATATTTTAAGCAATTATTAAATTTCAAATGTTTTAAATTAAAAAATAGTTTAAGATCATTGAATTTGTAAAGAATTTTATTACAGTTATTGAAAATAATTGAATTTGAGAAAATTATTAATTCAGATTATTTGAAAATAATTGAACTTCAAGTGTTTTTTATTTGGTATTTTTGGTAATTTATGTTAATGAAAAATTTAAAAGAAATTACAGAAAAAATTGAATTTCAAAAGGTTATAATTTGAAAAATAATTTAAGATAATTGAATTTTTGAACAATTTCAATCTAAATTGTTAAAAATAATTGAATTTTATAAGAATTAGAGTAGAAATTTTTAAAAATAATTGAATTTCAAAGAGATTTTGTTAAATTTTAGACAATAATTAAACACAGAATTAAAAATAATTTATCAAATAATTTTAAATGACATTTTTTTCAAAAATTCACGATTAAAATAATTGAAAAAAAATCATAAAATCCAATGCCTGAAAATTTAATCTAAATTACCTGTTTTCTTGAGTAATAAATTCTTGCGGCACCTCCACAAATTGGACAGCATGCACCTGGAGGAGTAACTCCAATACAATGTGGACTAATCAATTCCGGACATGAAACAACATTTGTGCAACGAGGTTTTGCTTTATCATTAATTAATCCAACCGTAACACATGGTCCCAAATAATCAACAATAGTTTTGTCGGCTAATGCTGCACATTCATTGGAATAAGTTTCGCCATTAATTCCGCACACTGATTTATCAAGTTTACAATTTTTTAAACACACTCCTCTATAACCTAATGATTTTCCAGCTTTTATCATACTGCAAAGTGATTTGTGTTGATGATTATTTTTATCGCAAACAATCTCCAATGTTTCATTATTTTCATTACAATTCATTGAAACGCATTCATATTGTCGACAAGGTTTATAAATTGATGACAAGCATATACGACTTTTTCTAATACATTTCTCATTGGAATTACATGGATTTGACATGCAATGATCTTTAGATGAACAACTGCCAAATTCAATTTCATCGCTCATAAATCCAGCACATTTGGCTAAACACGATGATGCATAAGTGATACCCAATCGACTACAAGTTGGAATATAATGTGTTGGACAATCACAAGGTAATGCAGGTGTACGATTGTCAACACAATTTTTTCTAAAACATTGAAGTTCACCCATAAAGCAACGGCATTTATTGCATTCTAAAAAAAATGCAGTATTATGAGAAATAAAACGATCTTGCACCCAGCATGATTTAAATGTAAAACAATTTAAAATTTTACATTTTTCAATTCCATTTAATGTGCATTGGCATATTTTATAACATCCTTGTCTTTCAAAGCGAGGAATTTGAATCCATGAGCCAAGAGTGACAAGTTGTTTAGACATTTCACCTAAAGTGCAAGCGGGTTGACAATTAATAATTTCCGTTTTATTCCAAGATGATAAACATATTTGATTACTTGCGCAAGTATTATTTTTACATGGTTCATGAATATCAATTATTGTCTGATTATTCAAATGATGATAATCTTTTAAAAAATATTTCATTGAAATACAAGAATTTGTTGTCAATGGCAAAAATTTTGAACATAAAGATTCAGCTGATTCAAATTTTGATGTTGTTGTCCAATCTACACATGTTGTAATAATTTCTAAACAATCATTATAGCAAAGACTAGTCTCATGTGTACTGAAGTCACAAGGTTGTAAATGTAAAATACAAGCAAGAATATGCAATTTTTCTTTTGAACACATTGAAGTTGTTCTAAGTGATACTTTCAAATTATGAACCACTTCACTTTTAATCCAGTTGTCATATTCTCGTCTTGCTGCTTCATCTGCAGCAATTGAACACGATCTAAAGAAAAAAAAATTATTTGTTTATATAATATATAAAACATTTAATTGTTTTAATAATTGTTTTAATAAAATGCGTCTTCTTTTAGTATACAATGCGGATCATCTTTATTTCAATTATTTAATAAATTTTAAACTAAAAATTAATCACTAAATTAATTATTTTTAATAATTTTAATGAAATTCTTTACAAATTCGATTATCTTAAACTATTTGTCGAATTAAAGAATTTATCAAATTAAATAATTGTTTGGAATTAAAAAAAAATCACCAACGGAAATTATCAAATATTTCAATTCAAAATCACTTGGAATTCAATTATTTTCAAATATTTCAATTTAACACCTTCTAGAATTTTCCATCCAAAACTTTTTGAAATTTAATATTTTTAATTATAACTCTTCCGAAATATAATTATTTTTTTAATGAATTTTATAATATTTTTCGAAAATTTCAATTGTATCTTTTCCAAAATTCAATTATTTTCAATAATTTTAATGAAATTTGTCGAATTAAAGAATTTATGAAATTCAATTATTGTTTAAATTTAAAAAAAAATCATCAAATAACATTATCAAAAATTTTCAATTCAAAATCACTTCTAAAATTTAATTATTTGTAAAATTTTCTATCTAAAACTTTTTTAAATTTAATAATTTCAACTATAACTCTTTTGATATTCAATTATTTTTAATAATCGAAAAATTCGAATTATCAAAAAAATGATAAATTCAATTATCTAAAACCATTTTTCACTTAACAAATTTTCAAATTCTATTTTTGTCTGGAATTTCTAATAAATTTTTCGGTAACAGAAATCATCAAAAAAATTTTAATTAAAAATCACTTAAAGTTTAATTAAATCACTTGGGAGTACAAATTATTTTCAAAAATCTGAATTGAAAATCTTTGAAAATTCAATTACTTTTCAAAAAATTTTCTAAAATTATTTGATAAATTATTTTTGTAAATTTTTTATTTATTTAAATTTAATAAAGTACTTTAATAAATATGCCAAACTTAAAAATTAATTATTAGAAATTCTTCCAAATTTTAAATTGAAAATTCAATTAATCTAACTTTTAATCCACTATAAATTTAATTATTCCACATTGTAATCATTTGAAATTCAATTATTTCGCATTCAAATTAATTTTTGTAAATTAAATTATTCTAATTTTAACCAATAATTCAATTACTTAAAATTATAATCGATTATAAATTCCATTATTCCACATTCCAATCAATTAAAAATAAAATAATTAAATTTAGAGAATTTTCAACTGAAATATGTTTTAAATAATTAAATTTTTATGGAGTTAGAACTAAGATTTTTCAAAATAATTGCATTTTTTGAAATTTCAAAAAATTATAATTTTGTTGTAAATATAAATATTAATTTGAAAAATGATTTAAATAATTGAATTTTTGAAAAATTGGATTAAAACTGTTGAAATAATTAATTAAACAAAGAATTATTATAGATAAATATTTGTGAAAAAATTTTTTAATTGAAGTTAAAAATTTCAGAAATAAATGAGTTTTTTTTAAGGGCAATAGTAAAATTTTTTTGGAAAATTAATTGAATTTCAGGTGATTTTTAATTAAAATTTTCTTCTTCAAGTTAGGATAGAAGGACAGACCAAGCATTTTATTATTATATAATTAATATAGATGATACCTGAATGTTGTATAAATATTATTGTTGAAAATTGAGCAAAATGAAAGGCCTGTACAACCAAATTTGCATGTATTTGCTGCATCTTCAATGCAAATTTTCAATTCATTTTCTTCTTTAGATGCTAGACATTCATTTTCAAATTGTGTCCATGATAATTGCCAATCAGTATAATATGTTCTTCGACATAAATTTTCACAAGCAGCACTTTTTGCTTTTGCACAACATGAAAGTTTACCTCCATCCAATGGAAGTCGATTTAATTTAGAAGGTACCAATTTCAATAGACAACTCCACATTGGTGAATGAGGTTTTACAGGACCACATTTTATTTCTAAAGCGTCTAAAATTTCTTTTTCCGTTTTTGTTGAACGAAGAACTCTGCGGCAAGTTTCCAAACATTCTCGATTATCAACCTGCTCACAACAATCAGTATCTGTCAACAAAAAAATAAATAAATTAAAAATAATTTTATTATTAATTAAAACATGCATCAAGAAATTCAAAAATTTCTTTATGGATTCACAAAAAAAATTAACTTTTTTTTTATATTTAATATTTTTTATTAGGATTTATTTTATATAAATTATAAATTTTTGTACACATTATTTTAAATTTTCATTATTTATTTTGTTTAACAAAATACTTCAAATTTTATAGAAAAAAAAATGCAGTTCTTATAATTTTAAAAAATTGTTTAATTTCAAAACTGAAATGAAATTCTTTTATTTTTTCCATTTTTTCACTAAAAATAAATTCTCCTTTGTCTTTCATTTTCTTATGATTTTAGCAATTGAGGGTAAACCTCAAAGTTTCTTTTTAATTAAAATATTTTCTATATTACAAAAATTAAGAATTAAAATTTATTTTATAGTAATTTTTTTTGTTAATATAATTCTGTACCCTTTCTTCGTCATTTTGTGTACCGCGCCAAAAATACAAAAAAAAATTTTCATTTAAAAAACTTAATTTATCATAGAAAAAAAATTGCAAAATACCTTCTTTTATGCTTGGTAATAAACAAATCGCAAAATATAAATGCAACGTAAGAAGCACTGTTATTAATATCCACATTTTTTACAACTGTTTATTAAGATTTCACTAATAAAATGGTAAAACATTTTTTCTATTTTATCTCATCTTCTAACATTATTATTAAATATTAATTTAAATGTAATAAAATTTAAATTATTAAAAAAAAAAGAACAGTTCTTTGGTATTTAAAAGTTATTTTTTTTAAAAAGTTTTCACAGTAACTATAAAGCTTTTGATGAGTAATAGAATGAGGAGATGGAGAAACGTGGAAAGAATGAAAGAGGGGAGAGAAATTGATGTCTGAGAAAAGCATGAAGAAAAGAAAATATAAGAAAGAGACAGTAGTAGAATATTTATCTTGAAAGAGGCAAAGGAGGAGAAATATATATATATATACATACATGAAACAACCCACAGAATTTTAACGTCATGAATTAGTTTTGCTTTTTTACAAGATATATTTACTGTGCGCGCACATGGTACTATAATTGCGAACGGCGAAAATATATATTTAAATAGTTTCTTTTTTTCTTTATTAATTAATATTAATACTTTTTTTTAAATAAAATAAAAATATTTTTTTTGTCAAAAATAAAATTAAAAATAATAAGCTTTTATTATACACAAATTTAGAAAATTAATTGTAAAAAGTTTCTCTAAAATTTTTATAAAGTAAAGAAAAAAAATCTAGTTTCTTCAAAAAGTGATAAATATTTAAAAATACATATTCAATTTTCTTCAAAATATTAAATTTCTTCGAAGATTGATAATTTTTTTTTATTTTTACAAAAATTTTCAAGATTTAAAAAAATTTTAATATTTCAAAATATAGTTTTTTCTAAACATTCACTAATTCAAATTTTAATTGACTCTTTACTCATTCAAATTTTAAGCAAACTAAATTAATTAATTCTACTTTCAATCTCAAATTTTTTATTTAAATTTCAATTTCAATCGATTTAAATTCATATATTAATCGAAATTTCGAATTAATTTTTATTTTGATTAGTCTAAAATTTTTATTGTCAAAATTTGAAATTATTTCTATACTTAATTTGTTAAAATTGTTATATTTTATTTCAATTCTTTTAAATATTTGATGAGTATCAAATTTAATTATTCTAACTTCGATTTATCGAATTTGTAAAATCGATTTACGTTTTAATTTATTTAAATTTCAATTGGTACGAAAATTTCAGTAATTCATTTTTATTGATGAAAATGGTAGAAATTTCAATTGATTTTATTTATTTCTTCCTGTACACAAAGGGCAGAAAAAAAGTCCTACGAACAAAAAAAGACAATAATTAATATAAAGATAAATTTAATTTCAATTGATTATAATAAATTTTAATTCACTTAAATTTCAATTAAATACAAAATCTCAATAGGTACAAATTTTTTATAATTATTATTATTATTTAAATATTATTAGACATTTATTAAAATTATTTATTTCTTAAAAATAAATTTTTTAGAACTGTAATTATAATGAAATTTTATAATTTTATTGTGTAAAAAAATATTAAACACTAACCTGAACTTATATAGTAATTAGATCCTTTATTACCTGAAGTTGAAAATTCGATCCAATAAATAAATTTGATATTCAAATTACGGCACAATGTTTCAATGGAAATTTATCATCATTTTCAGACGTAATTTTGCAAATAAAGTCCGCCATATTCAGTCCACCATTTTGAATTTGATATTTCACACTTCCAAAATTAAATATTTAGTTGAAAGAACATAATTTTCTTCAGACAATTCAAATATATGTATTATTTATTATTTTTTCTAAATTGAAACACAGAAATTATTATATTTAATTATTATTATTATTTACTTCATTAATTAATTATTAATTAATTAATTAATTAATTAATTAATAATTAATTATTATTAAACATATCAATTTATACGCCAAGATTGCCTTTTTGTCTATAAACGTATAAACTTATACAGAAATAAAAAAAAATGTTTTTTTGGCCTTTTTAAAGAAATAAATTTTTGTAACATATGTAAGTTTCATTATTGCAGATCGCATACAGCATATAATAAAGACAACATTTTTTAAAAATACAATTGGTTTATTTTTTTCATTCTAAAGCATCATTTTCTGAAGTAATTTATAAAAACTATTGTTTTACAAAAGTCAATTTTTAATTCAAATTATTGAAATAGTTTATTATATAACAATATAATAATACCATTATATTTATTTTTTATTTCGTCTTAAAATATTTTGGTTATAATGCTCAGTCTATAGTAGTCGATATTCATTCTCATTAGAGAAATTGTGGAAAACAAATGTAACAATATAAGATTCTAAAATTTTTATATTGTAAAAGGCACTTATGTTTAGTTATATAAATATATATATACTTAAATAGAATTTATTTAACAAGATTTCTTATCCCCATTATATAAGTATAATTTTTTAATAACATTTATAGAATAGTTTTTATATATAATAATAAATTTTGTTTCCAAAAATATTTATTTAAAAAAAAAAAAATATTTATTAATTTACTTTCATATCTAAATAAATTTATCATTAAAGATTTTTTCGCAAAAAAGTGATTGTTTTTATTGTCCCTTAAATAATTTATTAAAACAACATATAGAATAAAATATAATAGAGAAAAAACGGCCTTTATATGGAATATCAATTATGTGTACTGTTTTAAAAAAATCAGACAAAACGTGATAAAAAAATTTATTTTTTTAATAATGTTTACTAGTAATAATTATTTTTAAAAATTTTCTTTTGTATATGTTTTAAATTCTTAAAATTTAATCTAAATTCTTAAAATTTTACCAAATACAAATAATTTATTAATAATCTTTTTTTTTTTTAAAATTAAAATTATAGTTCGCAAACTTATTTCATATTTTGGGCCGTTCCTTACATAAAATTAATTACTTCATATTATCTGAACATACTTGATGTTACTTTTCAATTCTATATTAAATATTATTTTTTTATTAAATAAAGTTTAATTAAAGACAAAGAATCTATATGATTAATACATTTGAAGTTCAAGAAACTATATTTATTGAGATAACATAGGTTTCCTCAAAATTTCCGTCTCCCTTCAAGGGATTATTTATTATTATTATTATTATTATCATTATAATTATTATTAATGATAATAATAATAATAATCGATTTAATTTAAATTTTTGAATAACAATTGAAGCGCTCTGAAGAATAGAATTCCTGTCATCAAAATTTTATTTTTTTTTTTGTTATTAAAACCTAGTTAGTGACATACTTAATAAAATGTCTATTCTAAGTTTAATTAACTGTAATTAAATAAATTAGTATTAAATTAGTTTTTATAATAAAATTTTTTAAAAATTTAGAGAAAAACGTATTTCAAAACAAATACAGATAATAACTATTTCAAATGGAGGGACCAATGAAATTTCAGCTGATCAAAAATTACTCAAGTTAAAAAACGCCAATTATTTATGTCATTCTATTTATTATGACATATCAAGATTTATAAAAAAAAATCATATTTTTCACCGTATTTGGAATTTATTTTCTTTCAAAAATTAAATTTTTTTTTAAAAATCATACGAATTTTTTTCCAAAAATCCGAGAAAAGACGCGTTAAAATATTTAGTAATAAAAAAATTATGAAAAATCTCTTCATTTTTTTGGTTTTTTCTATATATATTTTTTAAAAGAAAAATTTTCCCATACTTAAATTGTTTTTAAAATTTATTTTAGATTCTCAATATAATGTTAGAAAACAAATTAAAATCACTATATTCATAAAGAATGTAAATTTCAATGAGTTGTAATTTCATTGATATTAATTCATTGAAATGAAAATTTGAAAATGATAAATAAATTCATTAAATAGTTTTTAAACAATCTGATACTAAAAACCCGTTAACTGATGATACTTATATAACTGTTATTTGGTTAATAATATATCATTCTTTTTTTCTTTTTTTTTGGTAATCCAAAGCAACTGTTTCAATGAATTTAACTATATAAAAAATCTTCACTTAACGTAATGAAAAAAATTTTGTCTGAATTCAAATTTGACAGTTGTTGTGTCTAAAAAAATATATATATATATATTGTAACATTTAAAAATACATATACGTAATTTTTATGATCAATTTAGTACTTTTTACCAAAAAAAAAAAAAAAATATATTCTAAAATGTTTAATTCTCATTAATGTAATGTTTTAGTCATTGTTTTTGATTTATATATATATACATTTCTTTTCGAAAATATATTTTCCTAAAATTATAATACATATTACTAAAAAATAGTGCTGTACTAGACAATTAAGTATAAGAAAACAGTTTTGTATGACTTCAGCTGAAGTTTTAAGTTCACAATTTAAGAATTGTGAATTTGCAAGAATTAATAAAAACTTATCGCAAAGTTAATAAAAATTAACAAATTGAATAGTTTTTACAACAAGAAGAGGCTCTAAAATTAATTTATTACAATTTTTATTTAACAGAATTTAATTACCTATAGAATTTATTTTTGGCAGAATTTTTATGCGGCGCATAATTATCCCACAAAAATCATTAGTTAAAATTTTTATTTTAAAGAATTTTATTAGATATAATTATTTTTTTAGACGAATTTTTATTTTTTGAATTAACATTTGACAGAATTTCTTTTTAAACAAATTTCTTATGCATCGAATTTTTTTTTTTTGGTAGAATAAAACGCCGAATTTTGATTCCTCCGAAATTACGAATGACCGAACAAACAATCGATTTTGGCGCGATTTTTAAAATTCACCAATCAAAAGTTATCAAGAAAATTGTGATTGGTGGATTTTAAAAATCGCGCCAAAATCGATTGTTTGTTCGGTGATTTGCAAATTCGGACAAATAAAAATTCGGCGTTTTTCAGAATTCTACCAAATAAAAAATACCTAAAAATTCTTTTAAAAAGAAATTCTGTATATGTAACGTCATGTACATAAAGTTTAAAAAAAGTAACTGTAATAATTTATTTTTAATTTTTCTGAATATAATTTCAGCTGAAAACATCTAAAACTCTTAACAGTTGCATGTGTTCGTCGTAGTAAAAGCGTTTTTTTTTTATTATTAAAAAAAGCGGGGAGTAAAGTCTTGGATATTAGGTAGAAAGTGACTAAGATATAAGGTGAAAATTGAGATTGAGAAAAATTTATTTTTTCCGGACCCTGCACCTATAGAGAAAAGATTTCTTTGATTTAAAGAAATCAATTTTTTTGACTTGTTTTCTTTCATTCAAAATAAAATTTTCTTTGAAACAAAAAAAAAAAATTCTTAGTTTTAAAGAAAATTTTCTTTGATTCAAAGAAATGATCAAAACTCTCGTTGTTGAAAATTTTATTTAACCTGTCTATTGTTTTTTATATTTTATTATACCAGTCACTTTTTTCCTTCTATCAATTAAAGAATTTAAACCCCGTTTTTTTCTCTTTTGAAAATAATCCGATATAAAAAAATAAATATGTTTAGCGAAATTTTAAGTTAAAATATAACATGTATATTACATTCAGTATATCTGTGATTTACATACCTAAATATACTTATTTTCTAAATTTATTATTACTAATCCTCTCTGAAAATTAACAACTGGTATCAATATACTGATAAATTAGAGTATAAAATGTATTTTTTTTTTAAATTGTCTTTAGCAAAGACAATAAGTACTTATTCTTTTTTTTAATGCGTATTCAACGCATCTATTATAAGTTTTTCAAAACAATGGCAAGTTTAAAATTTTTATATCAAAAACTGTATATAGAACGAAAGTAAATACATTATTGTCATTTTTATAAAACTAATACTAATAATAAATATTAAGATTAAGGGGAAAATATTATATAGTTATAATAATTATTAGAAAGTAAATTTTTAAAAGTTATTTTATAATAAGTATAGCAACAGTGCAGTCTTGGCAAGAATCAAATAAATGATCTAGTTTAATTTATTAAAAATTAAAGCGTTCTATGTAAGGGGGAAAAACGTATGTTTTTCATATTTATAATTTACAAATATTTTGTAAGAGCAATATAGAAAGTAATCCGATAATTACCGACGTTGTGGAGATATATTAATTTTTTTTTAAAATATACTTGATCTTTATAAGAATGTGAAAAGGATCTTCTACTTTAGAATTCAAAAAAATATTAGTCGTTTGAAGATATAATATCGTTAATCGTTTGGAGAATTTTTTTTTTAAATTTAAATTGAAAACTTGGTAAATAATTAAATTTTAAATTGAAAATTTTTGATAATTATTGGATTTCTAATTGATTTTGAATTAAAATTTTGGGTAATAATTGAATTTTAGTTTATTTTGAATTGAAATTTTTGAAAAATAATTTAATTTTATTGTGATATTTTTTTTTAATTATAAACAATTGTTAAATTTCATAAAAATTTTAATTGAAAAAATAATTTTGATATAATTGAATTTGTGATGTATTTCATTAAAATTATTAAAAATAATTAATTTAGTGAAGAATCATTTTAGTTCAAAATTTGTTAAATAATTGAATTGAAGAAGATCTGAAGAAGATCTACATTTTATACTAAAAAAATGTATTTTATTTACATTTTTTTTTCAAATTAAAAAAAAAAAAAAATGTCGCATTTTATTAAAATAAGTCGATAAAAGTCGTATTTTTGAAAAAAGTCGGAAAAAGTCGTATAATCCGAGGCGCGTTTAATTTTGGTAGTTTAACAATAAATGATTAATTTTTCATAAAACTTCAATAGATTTACCTCTGAAAAACCCCTACTAGATAATTAATTAATTAATTAATATCCTGAATTAACTAATTTATTTTAGGTTTATTGGGGTCATTTCTATAGTTTGATCTTTCAAATTGTCATGTGAATGAAATGTAAAATGTAATCATCGAAGAAAGTCAAGTTTTGATTTGTAAAACTTGAAAAATTCTAAAGTAGAAGATCATCATGTAAAAAATGATTTAAATATTAAAATTGAAAAAAAACATAACTTACGTATAATTATCGTTGTATATGTTTTCTTCTCACACGAGTGTAGAAAGTTCATGTGGACTGTTTGTATTGGCTGCACTACTAAGATCTAATGTGGCATTGGGAATACCTGGACTGACACTGCCTGTTATTTCTCGGGGAAAATTTTGTGGCGATCTAATATGTTTGTTAACGGGACTTGTCGGCGAATGATTACTAGGGGATGCAGGTGGTGTTGTTGGAATACTTCTATGTGAAGATATATTAAGATTATTGTAATTTGTCGTCATACCGCTTGGTGACGACATGGAAGTATGCCGAAGATGAGATGGTTGCTGTGGACAATGAGAACCTCTTGAATTAGAAACAACTGAATGTACGGTATTCATGTTTTCAATTTTTGAAGGACAAGACGGATGTATTGTAAGAATTGAACGTTGTTGTTGAAGTTGTTGTTGCTGCAAATTTTGTTGATGACGTTGTAATTGTGCTGCTGCTTCGCATTGTTCGCGCGCTATATTTTTCATAGCACTCGTCTTCTCCTAAAATTATTAATCATGAATAATAATTAAAAAATGATAATTAATTAAAAATTATTATTATTAATAATACCCTTTGCCACACGAAGACATTATGCACCATTGCGCATCCACAAAATACGATTCCAAGAGCGATGAAAATTGATGTTACAATTGCCGGTGTTGTGTGAAATTGCGTGAATGTATATAAGATCATTCCTAAAAAAAAAAAATTTTTAAATTCAAATTACGATTTTAAAAATAGTTACATATAAAAATTTAAAAGAAAATTAACTTACCCGTTAAAAATACGGGAATACTAATGAAAAATCCACCAACTGCACAAATACGACTGACTGAAGATTTCTCCAAGTATTTATTTGTTCTAAAATAAAAAAGAATTTTAAAGAATTTATAATTTAAAATTAAAAAAAAAAACGAAGAGATAAGTTGATGGGGTGCGTGATTATCCCATAAAAATCATTAATTAGAATTTTTATTTTAAATTATTTTATTAAAAATAATTATTTTTTCAACGAATTTCCAATTTTCGAATTAAAATTTAATATATTTTCTTTTCATACAAATTTTTTTAATAAAATTTTAAGCTATCGAATTTTTGTATAAATTTTTATTATACAGTCATTTTCTTTACATGACTTTTTATTTAAGAGAATTTTAATTAAACAGAATCTCAACTGAGACTTCAATTCCGCCTAATCTGGCAACCCTGATCGTTCCCGAGTTATTGAATGAGAATCCAGATTCAAAAATCTATTTCTATAATAGAAAATTGAATTTTAAAACTTACCGATGTCCTTGATAAGAAGACCTTACGAGTTTAACTGCGAAGAGAAATTGAATGGCGCATACGAGAAGGCAACAGAGATTTAGTGACAGCGCCAAAGCACATAGTGCTAATGTAACTTGATAAACAACAGCATATTCCTCGGGACTAATTAATGTACTAGTTGCTGCAGTAATAGGTGAAACTTTAAGTAAAAACGTTAGTGCTAGTAAAGCTAAAAGTAGAGAAACAAGACACAATAATCCCAAACTTGTTAGCATTTCTTTAATTCCCGATTCTTGTATTTTGCTTCTAGATAATGTAGTTGACCAAGAATTATTTAATGGCACAATATTTGGACTCGATGAAACTTGCATAATTGGTTGAACTTGAATAAGTCCCGGCGATGGTGTTGGTTGATTATGAATTCTTGATAACCTAGAAATATCCAGTCCTCCATTGATTTTAGGTCTTTCTTGATTGACATTTGCCGTTAATGTATGACCACCATTATTATTGTTACCAACAACTGGACTAACACTATTAACGGAATGTTTTGAAGTTGAAAGTGTTGATAAATTTAATGCATGTGAATTTTGTGCATTCACTTTTTGTAAAATATTATTTACACTCAATTGAGAATGATTTAGAGGATGATGATGTCCAGATGATGGAGTTGTTGCCATTGGCTGATGATGTCCAATTGAACGATGTGAAGATGGAAGAATTACTGAATCATAAACATCATGTCCATTACGTTTATTGCGACCACTGTAATTATAATGATCCGCATGATGATGATGGTGATGATGTTGCTGTAAATTATTAGACGAAGGCATTGTCCCAGACGCTTGACAGTCATTATGATGATGACTGATGCCCGTTGACGGCGGACCAGTCAAAATATGCTTCAGCATTACTTGATGCTGAATCTTCAATAATCTTTACGCATTTGTTACATTATAATTATTATATTTATTAATAAAAATAATTACTGGTTTCAAAAAAAACCTCTAACTGGTATTAGAAATCAATCCACGAATCCATTGTTCAAATAGTTTTTTTTTTTTAAATAATACTGCTTTTAAATTTCAATAATCTTTGATAATAATTCTTTCTTTAAAAACCGAAATTCGGTTGATAATTATTTCAGAACTGTGCCTGGACTCAATGAGTTGCTACACACTAGTTCTATCATTTCAAGAATCATCAATTATCGTTGATGCAAAAAAAATTACATTGATTAATGTAAATCTCATTAAAATTATTTTAATTTATTTTTTATTGAAAATTTGAAAAAATATTTTTATCATTCTAATTTTTTCAATTTATTATTCCTGTCATTTTCCTCTTAATTAATGAATAATTATTCGTCAATAAATAATTTCCAGGCAAATACTTAATTGTCAACATTGTTGTCAGAATACTGTAAATTGATCTGAAATTTAAAGGACTAATATAAAATAAATATTAATTTCATTAAATTTTGAAAGATCTAGTTAAGAATTCAGAAAAAATTATGAGTCATAATTTTGGGTTAAATTATTATTTTTTTTAACCTTTTTGATTTTTTTCTTGCAGCTGAGAAATTAATAAAAAAAATATAAAATGTCCTTACCTCTCCCACTTCGTTGTTTTCGACCAATCATCGCATAATTGTGCCCCGTGCCTATAATTCTTAGGCCTGCTTAGGTCCATGTAAAAGCTATGAGAAAAAAATCCCAATTAAAACTGTTTTAAAAATAAAATTTAATCAAATTTGATTTTTTTTTAAAATGAATCAGGTATTTCTTATTTCATAAAAAATTTAAAAAAAAATTTTTTTCTTCTATTCAGAAATAATATTTTAACAGATTTGTAAGAGATAATTTTTTTAATTTTTGAAAAATATAAATAAAACTCTTAATGTTAGAGCAGAAGTGTAAAAAGTTTGTTATTTATTAATAAATAAATTCACAAAAAATTAAAGTAAAATAATTATTTTAAATGAAGTTTTAACTAAATGAATCATAATTTTAATCAAATTAAAAAGAAATAATTTTAGGAATAAATAATTAAATGAATAATATATTATAATGGAAGAAATGAATCAGGAGACAAATAAAAATTATGATAAAGAATTAAATAGAAAATAAAATACCGTTACAGTTGATGAAATAACTTCCTTAAAGTTAATTAAAAGCAAAAAATTTTCTAAAATAATGAATTTTTCAAAAGATTGATCATTATTATTAATAACTTTAATTGCATCTTTTTGAAACATTAATATTATGTTGAAAAATTTAAATTAAATTTTTTTTTGTGTAAAATTTTTCATTCAAATATTTAAAATAAAATCTCCATTAAAAAACCCTGTAAAATTTTATTTTTTTCACAAAAATTAACTTCTAAAATGTAATTATTTAGAAAATTTTAACTAAAATTCTTTGCCAAATTAATTAATTTATCAAAATTCAAAATTTAAAATCATCTAAAATATAATTCATTCTAAAAATTTTAATTGTAATAAAAAATTTAATTTTTTATAAATTTATTTATTTTTATAAATATATAACATTAATGTTAATTAATATTTATAAAATAATAATTTTAATATCATGTACGTAAAATATTTTCTCAAACTATAATTAATATTATTATAATATGATTTAATATTTATTAAATATATTTAATATAAATTTATGACAACACAAAAAAAAATAATTAAAGTTTCCTCTTTCAAAGTGCGACGTTTTTTTTATAGGTTATGTTGAAAAATTCAATAGAGATTATATATTTAAAGTGTTTTATGTTATTTTACATTTGAAGTAAGAATAATTATAACTCACTTTTAATGTGTTATGTAGAAAAAAGTTTTATAAATAAACCAAATTAAAAAAAAAATGTAATTTTAAAAATAGTAAATTTACATGATTTTTTTGCTTTGACATTTGGAAAATATTTTTATAACGACGTGATTCAATAAAAGTTTTGTGACCACAATTCAAGCATTGAAACCTAACCAAAAAACTTTTAATTGTAATAACTATATATGTAAAAAGGTGATGCTATAAAATTACAATGAAATAGTACTAGAAAAATGAAAAAAAAATTTAAAAGAAAAGTTAAAATATCCGTGGCATTAAGGCATGGAAAAGCGATTGATATATCTATATACATTGAAACATTAACTCACCTCTTGCCATACTCCAATTATTTTAATCCATTCTTACTTGAAAATATAATTTATAAATTCTTAAGAAAATAGACACTATTTCATTTTCAACAGTTCCAAACAAAAATCATTGAGCATTGTTTTCAAAATTTCTATTTCCACTGTATAATCAACCACTAATATAATTATAATCACTTTCTGGTCTTCTTTTACAAAACCTTCTGCTTTGTAATTATTTTCAGGCTTCGATCTATTTTAAGTGAAATTAATTAAAAAAACTATTTTACACCCGTGTTAATAAACTTAAACTATAGAATATTAAATGGATCCATACACCGTGATCCATAGGTAAAAATCGATAATTAGTGTATATTATGTGTTTTTAGTTAAATCGAATCCTTCCATCAGGCAGTGTTTACATGACTGCGTTTTAAATGAGTATAACAAGGATAAAAGTATATATCTGTCTTTCTTTCTCTCATTATTCAACGTAAAACGCAGCGTCGAACGTAATAATAAGAGAGAAAAGAATAGTAATATAATCTTTCCTTTTCTACCTTATGTAAAAGTTGTCTTACGATTTCATTGTGCATTCGCCTTTACACTGCTTAAAATAATTCTTTAACAACCCAACTCTGCAATAAAGGGTGTGTACACACTGGAGTGCAAATTAATTATACAGAGAATGTGGTAGTGTATTTTGTGTGTTTGTGAGATAGCAAAACAATTTTCTATTTTGTAACAGAGCCGCACAGTTGTCAAGAATGACAAACAGATTTGATTAAATGAATTCAAATTAATAATAATTATCGTTTCAAATAGATTTTAACTTATTATAAATAATTGGAAAAGTTTTATTATTTGCCAAAAGTTGATTGCGTCTTTTTGCACAAAAATGGCCGCACATATATGGCTCTTGACTATTTAATTTTTTTTTTTACTGTTCAATATAATGTCATAAAATGATTTCTTTGATATTTATTTTTATTTCTTTTCGCTATTAATATTTTGAATGTAAAAAAAAAAATTTTTTCTTTAAAATTTTTTTTAAAAAGAACATGAAGCAATTGTATATTAGAAACTGTCAATTAATGACGGAGTGTAAAAAAAACTGTGACCGGTGTGTTTTTACATTGAATCGAATATATTTATTCGTCTGTTCTATGAAGTCAATATCGTTGACATGATAAAATCCAAGTTTTACTTTTAATATTATTATGTATTAAAAAAAATTTGATTCTTCACTATTAAGTGATTGTTGCTAATTTTCTATTAAAGTGAAGAGCAAAAGAGAGAGAGAAAAAATGAGATTTTGCTGGGAAAAAAGAAGTTTACTAACTTTAGGGCTTCTATGTTTACTACATATTCCTCTATTTATCAACGGTAAGTTAATATATTTTCTTTAAAAAATTAAAATTATATAAACAAAAGGATTATCAGACCCACTCCAAAACTTATTACAAAATTTTTCTTATTATTTTCATGTGTATAAAAATAAAAAAAAAATCGCGCACAAATTTAAAAAAAATTTAATTTGTTTATAAAAAATCGTTATTTTTTCTAAACAAATTCAAAATTCTTTTTTTCGTTAAAATATTTTGAAAGTCGATGAAAAACTGAAACTTTTTTGTATTTTGGTCATAATTTCTAAATTCAATATTTTTAGAGTTAGATATCATTGAAATTAGGTGTATTTTTTAAAAAAAAAACTCGATAAAATCAGATTTTTAAAAATTCATAACACAAAAATTTGAGCACTTATAAAGAAATAAAAAAAAACGTAAACTTTTTTTTTCTATATAAAGATCGAAAAAAAAAATATTTACCGAATTTAAAATGTCATAGGTAAATTTCACATGGAATCGCTCATATATTAAATATATTTAAAATCAGATTACTTATTTTAATAAAATAATAAATTTATTCTTGTAAAATAAATTCCTTTGTTTTTTAAAAACACATAAATTTATGGACGATGAAAAAATTTATAATTATTTTTACTTTTTTTTTTGAAAAAAAACAATTATTTGATTGATTAAAGATAATTTCTAGATTGAAGATAATTTTATTTATGTGATCAAAAATTGATAGATATTTTTTATTATTTTATTAAATATTTGAAGATAATTTCAATCATGTTTTTAATTACTTTGAGATAATTTCAATTTTGTTATAAAATTTTTCATAAACTTCATTATTTAATTAAATAAGAAAAGATAATTTAAATATTATTTGATTTATATTAATTAAAAATTTTATGATTTAGTAATTGAAAATAATTAAAATTATTTTATTAAATATTCGAAGATAATTTAAATTATTTTATTAATTTTTTAAAAACTCTTTCAATTATTTTATTGATAATAATTTCGAGATAATTTCAAATAATTAATTAAATATTTGAAACTATTTTTCAATATTTATTTAATTAAATATTAATAAATTTGATTAAATATTTTAAGTTAATTTCAAAATATTATTTTTTCTTAAATTTTTGTAGATAATTTATTTTTTAAATTATTTAATTAAATAATTAAAGATAAATTTGTTTAATAAATTACGAGTTTTAAAACAAATTATAAAACTAATTAATTAATTTAATATTTAATAGTAAAGTTCCATAATAAATAATATAATAATAATTATGAAATATTGAATCTAATAAAGATATAGGGTAAGTGCACCAATTACGGCGCGGTCATAAAAAATAGATATTTTTACTATTATATTTAATATAACTGTTGCAAAATGATTTAAAAAAATTATTTTAATCTTTTTTTTTATACAATTACTAATAAAGATGAACATTTAAACGATTATTAATTTAATTATTTGAGATCAAATTTTTTCACTCACGGTAATTGAAACATTTTTAATATTTATATTGGCTTCAATTATGGTGAGTAAAGTATTTTCAAAATACACGTAATTTTGGTCACCGTGATTGATACACCGAAACTGATACAGTTAAAATTTTTTAAATATCTAAATAACAAGCTTTTAATTAAATAAGTCGTAAATTGACTAATTTACACAATAGAAATGTCGAATTTTCTATTTTAAAGGTGTTTTAACTCGAATCGCGCCGTAATTAATGCATTTACCCTACATAAAAATAATATATTTTAGTTAAAAAAATTTTTTTTTATTTATTTATATTTTTTTAGGATTAAAGTGCCATTGTGACATATGCACTGAGAGTAATCATACGTGTATAACAGATGGTTACTGCTTTGCCAGCACGACTTTGGATCATGAGGTTGTTACACATGCCTACAGGTAAATTTTTCTAAATAAGAATAATAGATTTAAAAAAATTTATTTAATAATTATTTTTAATTTTTTTTTTTTTTTTGTTATTCACTATTGATTTCTATGCTGCAAGAGGTATAAAATTTGAAAAATAATTGATATTTATTATCAGTTCGTTAAAAATGAATAATATATTGAACTTTTATATGAATTAAGGGCAGGTCAAAGTCGATGCGATTTTTCCATTGAAACTCTATGTAAAAATTGCATCGACTTTGACCTACCCTTAAGGAATAAATAATACAAGAGACGCGCACTGAAGAAAGGGCACTAAAAAAATTTTGGTGCAATCAGCTACCCGAAACGAAAAATTTCTATATTCACTTAACTTAATTCATATAAAAACTCATGGCAAATATATTAAGTATGAAGTTAATTAAATATAGAAATTTTTCGTTTGGGACAGCTATTGCAAATTATTGGTTATATTTATGATAGTTTGAAGTGAAATTACATAACGATGTAAAACTATCATAAACATAACCTACAATTTTTTGCTTATTAGGTCCCTTTGTTGATAGTATGTCATATATGTATTATATTCTTAGTTCTCACTGTTTATTTTATATCGAATTTGAAAATTAATTAATAAGTTAAAAGATTTTTAATTAGTGAAATTAGAAATTGAGTTCAGTGGGGTCCAGTAGTACATTGCGCATTAGTTTACTGCGCAACTCAATCACACTTCATCAGGGGGCGGTGCAATAAAATTTGGCGCCCTTGGCTACGAATTTGTCCTTTGAATTTAGAATGATTAGTTTTCTTTTTTTATTGAAATACAAAATTTACGGTTCCTCTAATTTTCGATTATTGAAAAACGTAAGGTGAATTCAATTTTTCATATTTAGAGGATGTTATGACAGAAAAAATTGGTTTCCACCGGAAGGGCCTAAACCTGATGATTCGACTGCATATTGTGATGATACAAATTACTGCAACAAAAATTTAAAACATCCCGATACAGGTATTAATTAACATTAAAAAGTTGAAATTGTTTTTGTGTGATTGAATTTCAGCTTCTTTTTGATAAATTTTATTTTTATTAAATTAAATTTTTCTTTTCATTTTTAAATTAAATGAACACCGTTAAGAAATTAAATTAAGGGTTTTTGAAATTTATAATACATTTTTCAAAATCAGAAAAAATGTAAATAGTAAAAGAATTTATCTGATAGAACTTTTATTAAGTTTCTACTGTTTTTTTGTAAATTTAAAAAAAATATATATTTAATGAATCAAAACAGCAAAATAGGGAAAACAAAATTTTCAATTTATCAAATATTTTTAGTGTGAAATTTTAACATTAAAATACAAAAGTTTTCTGTTTTGCAGTGTTGTTTATAGAGTGATAACTAACAGACTTTATGTGATGCCGTTTTAAAGTATATTAACCTTGTTTAAAGATTTTATCTAATTTTTTTTATAACAAGTCTCCCTTTTCTAACAAAATAATTTTAAAAAAAACTACTGATTACATATTTTACCACAATCAAAGAGAGTCTTGTGTCTATAAAGTCAAAAAAAAAATTCATCCAAAAAGTAACACATGATTTTTTTATATATAAAAGGCAAGAAAATTTATGCCTTTTATTTTCATTCCAAGAATAACGAAAAAATTATTCAATTCGGTTTTATTTTAAAATGAGGTTAATTATATGTTGCACCCCATTTGTTAACTGCCCTAACTGAACTCTAGGTCCCATTCACAATTGTAAAAAATTGTGTCCGAAAATTTTTTTATTTTTTTTAAAATACTGCTTTCGAATATTCTTTCGAAATTAATTAATACATTTTTGTAATGAAAAATTTAAACCATTTAATAAATGGAACATTTGATAAACGTGGATAAATGACGATATTTAAAAAATTCGAGTTTTTCTGATTGTTTGTGAATTTGTGTTTCTGTTAAAAATATTAGGAATTTTTAATTCGATATTAATTCGAAATTTTAACAAAATTAAAAAAATATTTTTTCTAATAATCTAATTTTTTTTTTTATAAATTTATTTAAATATATATCAGAGAAATTATTCTGATTTACAAAATGAAAATTTCACGAATTAAATACAATAGAACTCGGCAAAAATCTCTTTTCCATGTTAGATACGACTTAACGCCTTTTTTTTATGAATTTGAAAAACAATGTCGTTTTAATTCTTTTTTTTCTCGCTCCAATACGAGAATGTATTTTTTATCTAAATATGCTACTTGGAATAAACTTGAAGGTGCGTGAAGAAACAGCTCTCTCCGTCGCAGCCTGAGCCGTTGATCTTCTGTATGACGAGCGACTCAATGAATACGACTTTCGTCATCAAATGCTGCAAAGAGGATTTTTGTAATCGTGGTTTGAGACCTCAGCTTCAGCCTCGCATCAAAGAAGGTACAGTTACTGTCCTGTAACTAAATGTCAAAGGTGGCACGCGTTTTTAATTTTCTTTTTTATATTAAAATTATTTACAAAAACACCTCTCAATATATTATTCGAATTTTATAAATAAAAAATTTAAAAAAAAGTATGCTAACTTCCGAAAATTTAAATTCTTCTATTCGATTTAATAGTTTTGAAGCTTTAAAAAGTCTATTGCAAAAGTTCTTTTGAAGATAACAAAATGCTTCCATTCTTGTAAATTGAAATATTCAATATTCAATATTGAATATTGAAATTTGAATTTTTTTAGAATTGATTAGCTTAAGACAAACATTGACATAAATTTTGAAATGAGACATTGAGACCGTTTTCACCGTGTGGATGAATTTAATCCTCTGAGAGGTTAAAGGCGGATATATTCTGCGTCTGCGCAGAAGTTGTATACAAACATTCTGCGCAGACGCAAAACTGCTGCCTTTAACCTCTCGGATAATTAAATTTATCCACACGGTGAAAACGGCCTCATAAGATTTTAGTTTTATTTGAGAAGAACTCGCTTCTAGAGTTTTTAATATAAATAACGATCTTTGGATTAATTTTTGTAAATAAATTTAAATATTAGTTTCTTTATTAATGTTTCATTGTATAGGATTTGCCAACTTCATTAGGCTTAAGTGTCATCTAAATTGAATTTAAAAAAACAAGCAAATGATTTTTTAAAGTTTTCAGTTATGCTAGTAAATCGGATTTTATTTCTTTCCAGTAAATAATTTCTGAAGTTAGTTGGGTTCAAATATTTAATATGTGAAATTGAGTTTAAATTTGGAGAAGGGACTTCAACAATTCGGTTTACGGAAGGGAAGATCGTTAGTTATTTGTGTATAGTCACATTTGTCGCGGACGTCACCAACGGTTTCGTAGACTCGTTCCATACGTTGGCGATATCAATTGATATTAAAAGATCATTCAACAATGTTAGGCCTGATTCCAAATGCGATATTGATTAAACTTGATATTCACCCTAACATTACAAACTTCATTATACTCAGAAGATTTGTCTGGAAGTCGCGTGTAACGTGAAGAACTTCCACATTACTTGCATTGATTGTTTACCGTAACTTCATACGTGTGAATCTGGATTGGGGTTGGGAATCTGAAATGGAAGTCACCCTAATCCACAACGATTTGATGATCACTTTCTAATTAGGAGGGTGGAAAATGCAACCCACTCTGAGAATTTTGTCTAATATGATGAAAATTCTGTATAAAAGGTCCACATATGCCAGGAGAGTTCAGTTCAGATTTTGGTACCAGCACGTCTTCTTCGCATACGAAATCTTGTAGAAGTACTGTTACTCTGCCCGATTTTATACTCAAGTTCAACTTAGAAGAATTTCCAAGTCCAAATAAGTACAAAGAATTAGATGAAATGAGGATTAGTCAAAGTGAAAATTAGGTTACATTAAGATTAGGCCAATTAAGCATTAAGTTAGATTAATATTAGAACTAGTAACAATTAGGATATAGTACGATTAGGCCAAATGCGAATTAGGTAAAATAAAATTTAGATCGCATAAGAATTAGGCCAAAGAAAGAATAGGCCAAATAAAAAGTAACAATTATGTTATAGAATTAGATGGCGTAAAGATTAGATCAGATGAAAATTAGCTTAAGCAGCAATTATTATTATTATTTAAACCAATTGTTTTATCAAAAAAGTTCATAGAAAAAAAAGATGCGCCTCTTTATTTCCTATAAGGTAGCACTTTTCAAAACTCAAAATTTTTAATTTTAATGGCATTTGGACAATAGATGTTCGGCAATACATAGTCCAGCCGAACGCCTCAGCGAGTTCTTCTTCCCCTCCGCTCAATTGAGGAAAAATTGTTGGAATTGCATTTTTCTTTAAACATAGTACTTCTCGTACAATCAACTGAATTTTTCCTGTCTCATAATAACGAAAAATATAGTCCTCTGCGAAATGCAATATACAAATACGTTTTTTTCATTCGCCTCGTTTGGAGCGCGTCTTAAATTCGTTTCCTGGTATTGGAAGTAAAATGAAATCATTTCTATGCTTATTTTAAAAGAAAATTTTCGAATTGGTTTCCTTGAAGGAGCTGGATTACAGTTATTTTATATTTGAACCTGTATAACAAAAATAAAACCAAAGATTATTTTATGGAGTATATTTTAAATTTTGTTAAACTATTTTTATAAAATCTTACTTATTAATGAAATAAATAAGCTATATATGCATGACCGTGCCACCTACAGAGATGTTTTAGAATTTCGTTCTTCGTTGTTCAATATTTTGCATAATCGAAATTTTTACGATGTATTAAATCTAAGCCATAAAAGAGAGAGAGAGAGAGAGAGAGAGAGAGAGAGAGAGAGAGAGAGAGAGAGAGAGAAAGAGAGCGAGAGAAAGAGGCACATAGCATGTTATGCACTTATAAAAAGTAGATGACCATGCAAACGCACTGTACACCAATATTTAAAGCAAATGGTCGCCTTTAATATAAATATTATTGTAAATAGGTAGATTTCTTGTTTCTTTCGACACTACTTGTTTCTATTATTAATTTTCATAATTAAGAATTTTACAGGGTAATATATCAAATTATTTATACTCCCAATATTTTATGTTGGACTGTAGACGCAATATTTTCAATGTGCTGAAACTGAAAAAAAAATATCAGGTATCACTGTTTTTTTGTATTCTCTTTCTTTTAAATGTTAAAATAACATTTTTTGAATGGAATTATTTTTTTTTTTTTGAGAATATTGCGCCAATTACATCCCCTGTTTCATATTATACTATTATTCTTCGCATTTCTCGAAGCTTTCTCTACGCATGTCCTTCTACCCTGACTAATTATTATTTATTTATGTCAATCTTTATTTTTATCATCGAATGAAATTATTTATAAATATCTCGTAATTGTGAAATTAATTTTTTTAAATAACACAAGAATGAGAATGATATAAACTATCAAATTCTTTTAAGTTTATCATTATCAGTTATTTTATTTTCTGTTCTGACCTAATTCTTTACCAAAAAAAAAATTACAATAGGTTGAATAAATAATCACATTCATTTAACTACATTAGTTGTATATTAATAAATTGTAAGTCTTAACTGTAAAAAATATTTTTTTGTGTATATGTGTCAAAAGAAGTGATTGCGAGAAGCTCATATTTTGTCGGGCTTTGTTAAATGTAAATATATTCTTAGTACTAGTATTCTAAGTAGTTATTATTAAACTCTTTGTCAGTCATTTACTATAGAAAATTAAAAATCACGCAAGAAATATTTGTGACACACTCTGAAGAAAGAAGACTAAGCAAAAAATTATAGGTTATGTTTATGATGGTTTGAAGTGAACTATCATAAACATAACCTATAATTTTTTGCTACTTACATCCTTTTTTCAGTGCTCATCACATTTAATTAAAATCATTATAAAATCTTTGATTTTTACTGCAGTTGGTTTGCAATTGATACTGAAAAATGTATTAAACTAAAAATTAATTTTTAGTTACACATTTAATGGGATTTAAAATTACTCACTGGAAAATATACTAAATATTTTTCAAATCAAAATTAATGTTATTTAATCTTTCTAATTGTTGTCCTAATTATAAATTTCATGTATTTCTTTTAACACGGTATTCCTTGAGATATTTTGATCTCAACAATTTTTCTGTGATTAATTACTCGTATATATATATATATAATAGAGCAATAGTTTTGGTTTAATTAGTCACAAAAATTTTTGTCGGTAAATTATCTATGGACTCATGTAGTACTTATAATTTCTAATCTATTATCTTTTACTTTCTTTTCTTTCTATATAGTTTATATAAAACTTAATTTTAAATCTAATTTACTTTCTTTATAGTTAATAGCTTGCAGCGGAAGTCGGTATAATTTTTTCTACTCCTGGAATTAAATTCCTGTGCTTCATTGTTAAGGGGCGTTTTTTTTTTTTTTTTGCTTTAAGAAAGAATAAAATATAAATAAATAGAACCCTCTTAATTATGAGCTTTTCCTGTAAAGTGTGATTTCTTTCTTTTTAAATAACTGCTCAAATTTATATTTGTACCATAATTTTTCACAATGAAAAATAAATTAAATTCATTTTCATAATAAAAAAAAAAAAAAAATATGAAAAGAAGAAAAAAATGAAACTTTACTTGTTCCCATCTATTTTTATTTTTCGCTAACCGATGAGAAGTCCGAGAGAAATATTAATTCCTAAAAAGCCTTGTCTTTTGAGTATAAAAAAAAATTGTTCTCAGGTGTTACAATAAGACGCGGTTCTTTCCAAGCTCTGAGTATTCAATTTGGTGCAAGACAAATGAGACACTACGTGGTCCAGAAGGCAATGAATATGTGATAGCTTGTTGTAATCACATTGATTACTGCAACCGTTCTTTAAGGCCTTCATTTCCTAAGTTCTCAGCAGAGCGCACTTCTCGTGGTACGCACCAAATTAAATTTATTTCGACATTAAAAAAAAACAGTCTTTGTGCTAAAAGAAAAAAATAGTGCAATATTTCATACATTCAAAAAACTTACGAGAAAAAAAATGATTCAATCGTCATAAAATAGTGCTTTTGTGAAGCGCTTGGGTTCACTATTTGTTCTTTTCATTATTCACTTGTTTTTATCATTTTGAAAATGTTTATACATTCCATTAAAAAAAATTTAAACTGATGAGAAAAATATTTGTATTACTTTACATACAAAATACTACTAATCTAAATAATCTAAAATTAAATAATTTTTATTCTATTTAATAACATAAAATGTTTTTTAAAAAAATTATACAAAATCAAGTATATGTTCTCGTCAGTAAAAAATACATTAAATAATTTGTTTTACACATATATTTATTATTAAGTTTTGTATGTTGAAAAGGGCCTGAAAATACAAATGAAAACTTCAAACACAGCAATCTCAGTTTTTTTGGGTAATGTTTTGTTATATTTTGTTTTTTTTGAGGTGGACAAAGAAGTGCCTGACTGCATTGCTTATTATTCAGATCAAATGAAAATTATTATCGAAGTTTCTGTTACGAAACGGATATGCTATTTAAAATAAATATCGAACATATATGCTTGGAGCAATTTTTAAAAAATGCAACATTCTGAATTTGACATTGTTTCATGGTTAATATATTTATTTCTTGGAATTTAATTTTTCTTATCTGCAAAAAGTTAATATAAGTCATTTATATTTAATCTTAAGTTTGTTGTGAAAAGTCAATTTCCGAAATAATGTATGATTCAACGAACGACATCCACATGCTCGTTTTGTTTAATAGCTAACATTTTATGTGTGGTTTTTTTCTCAAATTAACAATATCCTTAAAAATACTGCTCAAAATATCAAGATATATATTATTGTCATCAAAAAAGCACGAAAAGGGGAAAATGAATATTCGACGACACAAAATCAACATATTATGTATCGCATTAATTTTTTATCATATAAGTCTTTACGAAAATCCAGAGAATTTAGATCTATTGAATGTGATAAGTTAATTAACAAAAAATTTATCTTATAGAATTGAATTTATGGACTTTCTCATATCTTATAGAATCCTACCTTCATCCTCAACTGATTGCATGTAAATGTCTGCTTTGTATAATACTTTTTATTCTTATTAACAGTACTTTTAGAATTCTTCAATTTGCTTAAATTAAACTAGATTCCTAAACGGGATCGAGCTTTTCTTTAATATTTGAAAATAGAAAAATAAAGCGTCAACTGTAAATGCTTTACGTTATCGTCTTACTGCTTGTTTGGCCTTTTATTGCTTGTTGCTTATAAGGAATTATTTTTTCTGTGCCATATTTGTATTGTATTTTAATAAATTTAATGATTTTTTGATATTTTTCAATGGTATTAAATTGAATTTTATTGTCTAAGTATTAACAAACGGAGGTAGGACAACGTGGGAGACATGGCAAACGGCATTGGCAATAGCTTTGCCAATTTGTGCGATGTGCCTTGTCGTTATGGCTATTTATCACGTTCATATGTTAAGAAAAAGACCAGCCAGACATTTCCCAGATGATTCTATGGAAGCTCCAGATAGACCAATTCTTGGTGGTGTCACTATTAGAGATATGTTAGAAATGACAACAAGTGGTAGTGGCTCTGGTAAGTAAAATAAAAAGTATGCCTTCTTTGACGTGAATTTTCTCAACATTTAAATTGGTCTACATTCGAATGTCACAATTTGGTTTAACCGTCACTTGGTCTAACTCTTATGTTGCCTAAAGTTCTGCTCCTTTAATAGAGCTGGAACATTTGTTTGAAGCTCTAAATGGCTTTGTCCGTCCTTTCAGAGAAGGAAGAGAGTCAGTAAATAATTTTGTTTATGTAACTTTAGGTCTTCTGTTTAGGGATTAAAATTATTTTGTGCTGCAGTTTTGGACACCTTGGGTACTGCAGCATTCAATGCCATAATGAGGATTGACCATGAGGGTATCCAATTTCTTAAGGTTCCTCAGGTCCGTTTGGAAAGACTTGGAAGTAGAAGAAGAAGCGCTTTAAGCGTTTCTAGTGTCAGCAGTGGAAGAAGTTTAATTCCGTCTGACCTAGACAACGAGACAATTGAAGCAGAACGCGAGAAGTGTTTAAAGATTACGTAGGAGAAAACTGAGTGTTTTTAGAGGGTCGAAGAGAAGATCACCAAGATGGTAAAGTCTTGCGAAGTACAGAAGAATGTCAACATGACTATTAAGGACGGACTTAAGACTCTTCAGAAATTTGTCAGTTAGTCGAAGACAAAACACGCCCTAGCAGATAATGGCGATAGCAACCTTGGTCATAGAGGGTCAGAAACGAAAAAAAGCTGTGTCAGTCTGGATTGGACTGAAGAAGAAGAAAAAGCAAAAGGAGGCACCTTTTGTCAAAAAGATAGCAAAGCTGGCGGTAACACCGAATCCTAAGCAAACCAGTAAGAAAGCAACAACAATGGTGATCCGAGTCGCAACAGGAACAACGTATGCCGGTGTAACGAGCAAACTTCGAATGGAAGTGAATCCGGACATCAGCCACACGCAGGTTGTCGGCGCTAGGTCTACTAGAAGGGGATATCTCCTGATTAAAATCGGAGACTACAATTAGGAGGCATTCACTACTGAGGTCATAAAAGCGGTTGGAAGTATAGGGAAGGTGCAGAACGGAATCGACAGGTCACTGGAGATCCGCGACCTGAATTGGCTTACCCAATAAGAAGAGGTCCAACAGGCTTTTGGCGGAAGTACTCAAGAAGCTAGGAAGCAAGAGAGTGACGGTCCTAGGACCTAACCGACGAGGAATAAAGCTCGCGGTTGTTGTCACCAACCAAGAGGAGGCGGACAGGCTGGATAAAGTGGGACGCATAAGGATTGGTTATATGTGCTGCCCAATAAAAATAATGGTCGTTCTGTGCACCCGGTGCCTGTCGTAAGGTTACATAGGAAGAGTTTGTAAGGCAGCGGACAGATCGACTGCGTGCTTCAAGTGCGATAAAGTCGATCATAAGTTTGCAAACTGCAGTAGAAGTCCAAGCTATTTTTTATGTAGAGAAAAGTGTCCCAGGGACCTTCACCTACGAAGTTTAAAGTTTGACGGCAGTTCCGTAATGTAACGATTAGTCCAGCCAAAGGGTGTGGTTTTTCAACAAGAACAAGAACGGTTATTAGGTAATTAGGAGAAGGCACATAAGAAAAAAGTTACAGTTAGATTAGGCCAAATTAAATTAGGCGAAGTGAAAATAAGGTTCATTGTGACATTCAAATTTAGGCGCATTTAAAGTACAAAATTCATGCGCCTCTAATTTTGATATTCAATTATATAAATCAAAATTTCTTATAATTGAAGTACTTTCATGTAAACCTGTAGAATTTCAATATGTATTCTAAGTCATAAATTTAATTACTAAATATAAATATTAAAATCAGAACACCGAATCTAAATCATGAAAGAATATTTCAAATCTATAGTTGTTCTGTAGTTCGATTATCTGAAAACTAAATTAAGTCTCATTTTACGGATAATTTCAAAAAATGAAATGTATACTGAAAGTAGCGTTTTGTTGTTTCTTTTTTAAAGTAGGTCTACCACTTTTGGTTCAAAGAAGTATTGCCCGCCAGATTCAATTAGTTGAAACTATTGGCAAAGGTCGATTTGGCGAGGTCTGGCGTGGTCGATGGCGAGGTGAAAATGTCGCTGTTAAAATATTTAGTTCACGTGAAGAAAGATCATGGTTCAGGGAAGCTGAAATTTATCAAACAGTAATGCTTCGACATGATAATATTCTTGGATTTATCGCTGCGGATAATAAAGGTAAATTTGTAATAACAGTAATTGTTTAATATTAAATAGACTTCCGGTACAATAGGCAATAATTGAAGGGTGGTTAGTGAATGTGGTTATATTACAAATAGAGAAACTTATTATATTTGCATTGTAGACAATGGAACATGGACACAGCTCTGGCTTATAACTGATTATCATGAGAAAGGTTCACTCTTCGATTACCTTAATAGGTCAACTGTCGATACAAATGGAATGATTAGAATGGCTTTATCTATAGCTACTGGTTTGGCGCATCTTCATATGGAAATAGTTGGTACCCAAGGAAAGCCAGCGATAGCTCATCGTGATTTGAAGTCAAAAAATATTTTAGTCAAAACTAATGGAACATGTGCAATCGGTGATCTTGGTCTTGCTGTTAGACATGATGTTATTACCGACACTGTTGACATTCAACTTAATAATAGAGTTGGAACAAAGCGGTATATGGCACCAGAGGTATATTTTTTAGACTAAAAGTGTAACCTTCTTTCTTTTTTTTGGCTTTGTAGAAAAATAATTATTATTTTCTTCATTAGGTCCTCGAGGAGACAATAAATATGAATCATTTCGATTCTTTCAAGCGTGCAGACGTTTATGCTTTAGGTTTAATTTTATGGGAAATTGCAAGAAGATGCAATGTTGGTGGTATCCATGATGATTATCAACTTCCATTTTATGATTTAGTTCCTTCCGATCCAACAATTGAAGAAATGCGCAAGGTCGTATGCACTGATAGACAACGGCCTTCAATACCAAATCGATGGCAATCAATTGATGTGAGTGTTTGGGAAACTTTACATAAAATTAATTTTATTTTATATTTATTCGTTTAAAAAATAAATTCCATTAAATGCTAATTTCAAAAATGAAAATTCGTCTTAAAAATAAATAATAATCTTAGTTACTTGATTGACGTAAGTAGTTTTTTAGTTTCTCAACGGAAATTAGTCGAATTTTTGGACAAAATTTAATTTTGGATTAAAAATTTGAATTATAATTAAATCTTTTAAAATTAATAAATTTCTTTTACTAATTATTTTGATCATTAAAAAAAAGTATTATTTATTTTTTTAATTCTTGAATTTTTTTACTCAGGCCCTGCAAGTGATGTCCAAGGTCATGAAAGAATGTTGGTATCACAATGCTGCTGCAAGACTAACTGCCTTAAGAATAAAAAAATCTCTTGCTAACTACGGAGCAATGGATGATCTAAAGATTTAGATCATTTTCGTTTTTTATAAAAATGCTACATCTTCAATTAAATATTATATTTTGATAATATACAAAAAAATTCAGTTCAAATGTAGTATAATTAATTTATTTTTTGTTCTGATAGACAAAATTAAATTTGATCAATGAAATTGATTTAAAAAAAAATTTTTTTCAAGTTTTTATAGAAATTATCAGAAATTATTTACAATATTTGTCCAGCTAGAGCATGATACCATTTATTGTAAAATATATCATTAATGTTCGATTGTGCCGCAAAATAATTACAATTTTTTAACATTTTATTACCAGGGACCTACAAAAAAAAGCTACAAATAAATATAATGAAGTTCAGAATAATGAATCGCAAAGACTGACATAAAAATGATTTTTTTTTATATAACATTTTCTAAGTTTATCATTTGATAAATGAACGGATAATAAGCACAATGTTATTTTAAATCAAGGAGTAACAATTTTTTGAAATTTTTTAATTATAGAAAAAAACTATTATGTTAAAAAATAGGACACGTATTTTTTTTTTATTTAATATGATCTTGCTGGAGATAAAACTTTCATAACTAATACGAAACTATTTTTAAATTTAAGAAATAAAATTAATTTTAATAAACTTTGTGTAATAGAGTATATTTAAAAACAGAAGTAACGACATTATTTCTATAAAAGGTATCGATAATAAAATAACGTTACTTTCAGTTAGTAACGTACTAAACATTTGAGTTTCTTTTATTATTTAAAAAAAATTAAATTTTGGACTTGGATTAATTATAATTTATTTTTTGTATTGTAAAACAATAAATGGTCCTTGATTTTAATAAATTTAATTTTAATATATAATGTGCATTATGTAGAATGTGAAAAATAGCATGCCTTTCAAAACATATCTAAAATTGTAAAATAATAACACAAAACATTATAATAGAGAATAACATTATATTACTATATTCGATAATTTTATAAAAAGTTAATTTTGTCCTTTTATTCTAGAGATTTTATTTTATCCGCTCTTTTTTTTCTTTTTCTACCCTTTTTTTTGTCTATTCATTGTATATTATTTGTATAATTATTATATGAAATAATTAAAGGGATACATTTCGTCAGTATATAAATATTTACAAAAAAAAAGTTACTGAAATAAAAGAACGTACCCGTTTAATTGTATTTCATTAACATTTGAAGACATTTTCTGTTTATAATAAAAGTCATTTTAAATATTTAAGTTCTAAATTTTGAAAAAAGTTCGATTGCGACAAAAATGACAAATTAAAAAGATGCGTATTCTATATTTTAACATCAAAAAAGAAAAAAAAACCATTAAATTAAAAATTAGATTACACATTAATAATAAATAATATAATCTACAAAAATGGTTTTCTGATTTATGTTTATTTATATTAAAATAACAACAATGTTTCTAAAAAAAATTATTATCTGTTTAAAATATTCGGAACAAAATAAATAGAATCAAAAAACCATTTTAAAATTTGTTTGTAACATAAAATACAAAATATGATTTATTCGTTCATCAAAAACATGAAAATCTGATTTTTTCATTGTTCTCTGAATATATTAATTAATTATTAAAAGGTGTTGGATTGTTCAACGAGGCACATTGACCTAAGAAATATTTGCATCTAAAAAATAATTTTTATTTCTCTAAATTTATCCAATTTCTAATTTTAAAAAAAAACAATATTTTGTACATTTTTTTTAATCACACAGCATTGTCAAAAATGATCTAAGGTCAATTTGACTTGTGTAAAAGAATATTGTTTATTGAAAATAAAATGTGCCATCGAAGGGCATTATTATTACAAAAAACCTGATAATTATTGTAAAAAAAAAATATAAATGTACGATGCGACCAAAATTTTGTACACTATTAAATTTTTACTCCATAAGTGACATATTTAATAAAAAAAAAAATGAAAAATGTGCTTCTTAAATGTTAATAGCTTTGACAAACGAGGGTAAAAAATATATTCAAAATATAAACACTATATATATAATATAATAGTTATGAAATATATATTTAAAGCATATAAAAATTTATTTAACCGCTATATAATCCGACAATCTCCATTAGAGAATATCATTTTTTTTGTGAATTAATTTTTCTATATTTTAAAGGGAAAAAAAATTTTATAATAATTTTTTGAACACATGCAATTTGTCTTATTTTATATATATAAAAAAAATATATAATAATGAATGTTCACGAAATTTTTTGTAAGCCTCAATATTAGCATACACCTGAATGTTTTGCTCAAAATGAATAATTCTTCAGACAATTTTCTAAACGATCATACCGACGCATAAAGTTAAAAAAAATAAAACACCCTCCCCTTCATCTTTCTGCTGCAAGACAGAAGAATTGTATAATGACATTAAAAGTAGTGTTGAGCGATTAAATGTATCATATAAATGTAAGCGTGCCTTAAAAAACGTTTACACTAGAATATTATCTGTCAGGAAAATTGTACTAATTTTATTCGTATTATAAAACAAGACAATTTTTTTTTAATTCTATACAATTTTATAAAAAATGATTTTCTGTAAAAACGTATCCATATTGAAAATTTCTATCTAGATTCCTTATCCTATGTTAATTAATTAATTATTAATTTAATTAACTAATAAACAATAATAACAACAAATTATTCTTTATATGATTCTATGTAGAAATTATCATTATGAATATGACACGCTCTGAAGAAAGGTAAGAAGCAAAAAATTATAGGCTATATGTTTATGATTGCTTGAAGTGAAAATATACATCGACTCTTGAAATAATTATGATTCAGTTTTCAATACATAGAAAATATTCAATAAAAACTACTTTTAATTACATAATTAAAAAAAATTCTTAATAAAGGCAAAACTATCATAAACATAAGCGATAATCTTTTGATTCTAAGGGTTCAGTGCCATGAAACGCAGAATGCAAAATAGAAAATTATAAGTGCAAGAGAACTATTTTTTATTATTTTTCTAGAAAAAATTGTTAAATAATTTTTTTTTTCATTTTTTAATAAAATTTGAATTTAGAAAACATTTTTTTAATAAACCACAACGGCTTCAAGATTTAATTAAAATGATTTTATTCTGTATGGAAAATTCATTTTGAGAATGAAGAAAAGTAGAAAGAAATACTTTATAATATCGTAAAATCCTGTCTAACAATATAAGTATATCCTTGATATATTTATCAACGACTAAATGAACCATAGCTATATATATATTTGTATAATAATATTTAAAATTTAGCTTCTTTAATTAATTAGGCTGTATGTGATCACTTTATATAAACCTATATATTATTAATAGAATTTTATATATTAAAATCGTTCTTATATATATATATATACATTATTTATACTTCTTTTGTAAAAAAATAGTCTGCCTTTATTCACTAATTAAAAGAATAAAAAATAATGTATCTTTAAAAAAAAAAGTGCCAAAATCTTATATCCTGTACTTATAATCGATATGCCATGGCCAATAATTTTTATGCGCACTTCATTTCACTTATATGTATATGTATATTATACGAATATTGAATTTAATTTCTGTAATATAATGGAAAATGTAAAATGATTTTAAGTAATAAAAAGAAATATCCAATTAATTTTATTGCTTTGTTTAAAAAAAATATTCCATTTTATGTCAAAATTAATTAAATAATTTTTTGCAGTAAATATGTTTTCAAGAATATCGCTATCATTTTTAATGATGACATATTAACAGCATCATCACTAATTTTTGTTTTCAAGAATATCGCTTTCATTTTTAATGACGCCATAACCAATAAAAAAAGTACTGATATTAGTACTGATTTTTTGTTATTATTTTTTTTGAGGCCCACGTTGGTATTATTAATTACTTTCTGTGACTTTACCGACCGAGGTGACGTAAACGTTAGACATTTATATGGCCATTTACTGGAGAGCAAACAAACCGGCTAAATTATTAATGGCAGTTATTAATAATTAGTTCATTAATGATATTTATAATAATAAATATGGTTTTATTTTGTTGTATTGTTGGATGTCGACAGCGAGGTTATAACCCTGATAAAAAAGTGTCATTTTATAGAATTCCAGCTGTAATCAGTGAAAATAATAGAAAATACAGAGCAGTTTATCTAAAGCAAAAATATAGAGTTAGTGATTTTTTTAGTCAAACTGCAGAACAATATATTCAATTGTCAAAACTCAGACAGGAAAAATGGATAGAAGTAATAAAACGTGGTGAATTGAGTGATTCACAGCTTAAATCGTATCGAGTATGCTCAAGACATTTTATAACAGGTAAAAATACATATTATTAAAAAAACGTAAAAAATGACCTATAAATGTATCACTTTCCGATACATAACCTCTAAATAATATTTACTAATAACAATGTAAATTCGCTAATTTTTTTTTATAAAAGTATTATATAAAACCATTGTTTATAAATTTGAGGTTATGTTAGAGAGGATAAATATATTTTTAATTGTATAATTATAAAAATATATTAATAAATCAATTTTATATCGGAATTATAAAAGAAAATTTTTAATATTTATTTTTTCAATTTAAATAAACAATTTTTTATTTTATCAAATTTTTTATTTGTACTTAATATTTTACTGTATTAAAATATTTAAATTAGTATGTATATAGTAAAAACTAAAGTTAAATTATAAATTTAGATAAAAATTTCAATATTTCGAATATTATTTGAAATAAATAATTTTGTTTAGGACGTCCAGCTGAATTAGCCGATATTGAAAATCCAGATTGGGTTCCATGTAAGGATCTTGATCTTAAAACTAAAAAAAAGATATCTAAAAAAACTAAAAAAAAGGTTTGTTGAATTGTCTCCAATTTAAATTATTATTTATTTACTTTTTTATAATTAAAGTAAATCAGGAATCATAGAATTTTAAAACATTTATTGATTGCAATTTTAATCGTACTTCAATTAAATCCTTTTAAAAATTTTACACCATCTGAATTACAATTCACACTGAATTGAATCAACATTGAATTCATATAATCTATGTCTATTTTAAGTTATGGAAATTGTAATTAACATTTCTTATTCATCAACAAAAATTCATTGGTTCTAATTAGTCTTAAATTTAATCGATCTATTAAAATTTTAATAAATCCTAATTTTTATAGGTAAAAATTTTTTTAAATATTTTTTAAATTTAATTTATCAAAATTACAAAATCAGTTCAATTAATTTTAATTTTAAACAACCTTAAATTGAAAAAATCTATGCTTTAATTTATGAAAATTTTAATCTATTAAATTCTAATCGATTTGAATTTCATTTTTTTGTATTGATACAAAATTATTGATAGAAATTTTGATAGATTTCTAAATTGAATTTAAAGAAATTTCTAATCTTTAATGAATTCAATTTAAATTTCAATAAAGACAAATTTTAGTAGATGCAAATTAGTTATTTTTTTATTTTTATACGTTTTTGTCATTTATTTGGCACATATTTTTGGAAAATAATTCACCTTTTTAATTATTAATTATTCCCTCTGTTATAGGGAAAGGAAATAATTATCTTACACGATGGTGATCACCTTTACAGTAAAAGAGTACGTTTAAAAATTATTTATATTTCAATCCAATCTTCAATTTTATCAAAAATAATCTAAAATAATTAAAAAATAACCAATCATTTCATCCTATGTAATCTAAATTAATTAAAATTAAATTTTTCAAAATTTTTTAATTGAAATAAAAATTCCAATTTACTTTTAATTTTAATTATAACTTTAAATTTAATCAAATAAAATTTGAATAAATTTCTATTTTAATTATTATAATTAAAATATCAATCAATTTAATTTTTAATCGACTCAAAAATGAATTCATTTAAATTTCAATTTAACGAATTTTTTCGATTAAATAATTTGTTCAATTAATTTAATTTTTAATAATTAATTTAAATCATTGTTAATTTTTATTGATAAATATCGTAAAAATTTCAATGTTCAATTATTCATCCAAAAATGTAAAGATTTTAATTTTTAAAAAAAATTAATGTAAAATAATCTCTTATGTTTTTCAGGTTTATTTAACATTAGAAAATAATTTATATCATATAAATTATTATTTACATAATTTTCCAAAGATAAGTAAATTAATTTTTCGTAATTGAATTTTAAGTGCAGTGATCAGTGAAATTTTAATCCATCACAATTAATGTATTAGGAGCCAATTTCTTTTTTTTCTGAAATTATTTAGTCTCTAAAATTCTTATTTTATTAATTAAAATTTTTAAATCAATTATTTTTAAAAAATTTTAAATATTTAATATTTTATTTTTTGAAAAGTTACAAAAAATCTATATTGAGGTTTATTTAAAACAAAATTATTTGAAAAAATTGTATAAATTTATTAAATATAATATCAATTTTTTATGAAATAATATTTATTTCGTTTATTTATTTTTTTTTGATCTTATAATTGAGCTGTCGGATCAAAGAAGGGCACATAACTAATGTAATTTAAATGGATTATGTGCCCTTCTTTGATCCGGCAGCTCAATTAAAAATCAAAGTATGAATATTTAAAAATTTGCGTAAATTTTGTTTTTCTTGTTCAATTAAAGAAAACGTAAACAAAAATATTTTCTGTATTCATTAACTTTCAACGTGTAAGCTATAAAAAATATTAGCATATCATACATAAATTTCAATCAACGGAAAATTAGATATAAATTTAAATTAGGACATTTGGAGAAAATGTTTAATGAATTTAAAAAGTAGAAATATTTTTGCAAGTTAAATGAATATAAAAATACTAAAACGTTGTTCAAAATCCTGTTCTTTTTTTAATTTACAGTTAAAAAATAATTACACGTTATTTAGTAATACTGTTTTTATTTATTACTAATTTTTTATCTATGAAATTATATAAGTTTATTATCAAAAAATAAATAGAAATAGAAAGTTTAATAGAAATAAAAATAAAAGGTTTTTTAATCGCAAAATTGAAAGGAAATTTCCTTAACAGTTAAATTCTGTCGATTTTTGAAAATAAATATATACAGGGTGATTTTTATGTTCCAGACCCCCTAAAATTTTTATTTTTTTATTCCACTTTTTTTTTATTTAAAAAATGAAAAAAATGAGATTAAAATAAATTTTTAGGGTGTCAGGAACATAAAAAATCACCCTGTATATGCTGTGTTTATGTATTCTGCATTCTTTTGGAATAACTTAAGAGACGAGCCTCCAGAAACTTTATATCACGTAAATATCATTCGTTTATGTCGTGGTTTTCTCTTCATTGAACCGGTATTACAGGTTTATTATTGCGTTATAATTAATTTATTTATCATAGTCAAATGGAATTCAGATAAACAAACCTCCAACATTGACCAATCAGAATAGAGATATTTTTGATGTGCCTCTTATTTAAAGAACATCCAATTTCTAGACAAAAACAATTATATTTTGTTTGCATTAAAGTCAACATCAACGAGAGAAATTCATTTTTAATAAAAGAAATTAAGAATTATTTTTTAATTTTTTTTTTTTAATCGGAATTAAATACAAAAAAAAATGGTGAGATATAAAACACACCAAAAAAAATCGAACATTTTTTAATATTATTAAATAATATTATATTTATTATTCTTATATTTATTATATCTCATTTAGAAAAATGTTTATTTGCATCAATCATATTTTTTATTGAATTAAGCAAATGAATTGATAATGAAAGAACCAAATTTTTGTTTGGCTAAATTAAAAATCTGGTTCATTCAACCAAAATTCTTTTATTCGATGGAAAAATGTATTAAATTATTAACTATTTTTAACTAAATATTTATTTAAGTTAAATAAATTTTATTTAAAATAACCAAAAAATTGTATTTTAAAAAATAATATTTATTTCAAACATAATAATTATTTTTCAAGTGATCAAAATAGAAAATTTGAAAACTATAAATTAATTATTTTTTATATAGAAAATAAATTTATTGTTTTACGATTTTAATTCTAGATTTCTGTTTCTTTCGAAATAGTTTTTATAATTTTTGTTTATATTTTGTATAATAACTTATATTAAAAAAAATTAATTTTTTTTATTGAACCATTAACATAATTAAATTTTCAATTCCATTATAATTTATATAATATTTATATCAAATAACGATTTTTCATTTCTTTTTCAGACTACATACACCGATAAAGGACCAAAGGTATTATTTATATTTTGTATATTCATTTTTACATTAGAAAATAATAAAAGTCATTCATTATTATTGAATAAATATTTCGACCAAGATTCTTTTTTTATAATATTTTTTTTACACTCCTTTTCCATTTTTATTTAGGTATTTTTTTTACATGGCTTTAAACGACAATGAAATATAAATTTACAACATTCTTTTTTTTTTATTATTTGAAAATAATTTTATTTATGTATTTCATAATAAACCGGACAAGATTCTAAATTTATTTAAAATTATTAGAATTTTTTTTAAATACAAAGAAAATTAAGATCAAATTATTTACATGTAGTTTTTTTTAAATAATTTATTATTTTTTTAAAATATTTTTTATAAGTGCGTGTTTTTTGTATTAAAAAAAAATTTTTTATAAATATTTTAGCCTGAAGGTGGAAAATTTGTCTGCTTTGATCATATCAAATTCTGGGTTGGAAATGCCTTACAAGTAAGTAAATATATTAAATAATTTTTTTTATTCTACATCACTGTAATAATTAATAAAATGGATTTTTAATATCTAATAACATTAGATATTTAAAGTAAAATACTTATTAACTAATTAAATTTTGTAACAATAAAGAAATCGACTATTTTTTTTAATGTAAATCGACTAAAACGACTTTTTTTGCGCCTTAAAGTCGATCCGAGGCCTGATATTGTTTTTTTTTCAATTTTTTACATAAAATATAAAGAAGAATATTAATGCTTTTTTCTATATAAAAAAGAAAATTTAATTTTTTTTTAGGCCTCGAGCTTCTATTGCACCAGACTTGGTTTCCAACCATTGGCTTATCGGGGTTTGGAGACAGGATCGAGGAGTACGGCAGCCCACGCAATAAGACAAAATGACGTACGTTTTTTTTTTACTAGTTTAACTTGTTTTTAAAATTTGCTTTAGAAATTTAAATATTTTTTTTTTTAAAATAAACAATTTTTAATAATTGCGTAAATTCGAAAAATATATATATATATTTTTTTTAAATTTGTTATTATTTTCAAAATACTTAAATTTTTTTCTTCATCCAATTTATTGAAATAGACCAAAATATTTTTTAAATAAACTGAATTTTTATTTAATACAACTCAAAAGTATATATATTTTTTCAAAATAATAATACATTAAAAATAAGATTTTGCTGAATGAATAACACACACCAGAAAAAATTTCTCATTGCTTTCAATATTTAAATTAAAACTTTTTGTAATTATTAATAAATTTTTTTTTTTTTTTAGAAATTTCGACGAATTTTCATGGTAAATTTCAAAACAAAATTAAATAAAGATTAAATAAAGTTTCATTAAATTCATTTAAATAAATATATTCTGTTAAGTAAAAATTCGGATTACTATAAATTCTGCTGTATAAAATTTGCGTTAAATCAAAATTCAATTAACTAGAGAATCTGTTACAAATCATACGTATAAAATAACTGTAATTTAATTTTTTTTTAACATTTCGATAAGCTTAATTTTTTGGACGAAATATTTGAAATTTCTTCAGAACACAACTTTTTATATTTTTTTAAAAAAATTGTTAAGAAAAATCAAATTTTGACTGTTGTTTTAAATTTTGTATCTAAAATGAATTTTTTATTTTGTTGTTATAGATTATATTTGTATTTGAATCCCCTTACGAACCAGACCATGAGGAAATGGCAATACATCATTCTCAGCACGGCGATGGGGTCCGAGATGTTGCTTTCAGAGTAGAGGATATTCACTCAATTATAAGGGTAAGCATTTAAATTTCAATATGAATATATATGTATATGCATTCAATTTTTATTTTTCTGGCATTGCAAAAATATTTTGAAATTTTTACAAAAAATATTTACATAATAATTATTAAATTAAATTAAATAATTATTAAATTATTCTACATATATATTTTATTTTATAGATCGCAAAAGAAAAGGGAGCAAAAATTGTACAAGACATTACCGAAGAAACTGACGAATATGGAACAGTATTGCTTGCAACTATTCAAGTTGTATGTATATTAAATTTAAATTTTTTAAATTTCCTTTTTCAATATTTCATAATAATTATAGTCGATTTAAAATTTTAATTTTTCACACAATTTTTTTTTTTGGCTAAAATATTAATGAAGATTTTTCTTTTTTAAAAATTAAGTATGGAGACACTCTGCATACATTCATTGATAGAACAAATTATAATGGATTCTTTTTACCTGGATACAGAGAAGAAACAGCCAAGGATGAAATAGCAGAATTATTGTGAGTTTTAACAATTTATTTATATTTTATAATAAAATATTTTAAAACAGAATCAATTAGTTTATTATTTTTTAGTCGATGTAACACTTTATTTTAAAAAATAGTACTTTTTTTTAATTTTTAATTTTCAAAATGGAGAAAATTGAATATAAAAGAATCGTTATTTTTTTTGTAGACCACCAATCAATTTGAAATTCATAGATCATATTGTTGGAAATCAACCTGATAAGGGCATGGAACCTGTTGCTGATTGGTATGTAAAATTTAATCATTAAAAAATAAAATGAAAATTTTTCTAAGATAAAAAAAAATATAATTATATATTTATTTATAGTTGTATCGATTTTACAAAAACAAGTTGTATTAACTAATTTTTTTAATGCATTTTTCTTCAAAAAAAAGACCATTTTTTCTTTAAATTTTCTTTCCCAATTTAAAATGCATCTTAATAAATATAAAATTACAAAATATAAATTCATAAAATTTGATAAATTCAGGCCTCGGATTATATGACTTTTTCTGACTTTTTTCGACTTAGTTTAATACCAAATAAAAATATTTGAAGAAAAAATAATTAGAAAAAACGTTGAGAAACGTTAATTTAGTTTTTGTAAATTAAGAAATTTTTTTTATTTTTTTGTACTTGGAAAATACTTAGTTTTTTTTTTTGTTTTGAATTTAGAAAAATTGTAATTTTTTCTGAACTTGGAATTTTTTCTTCTTTTACTTTTTTTTTGAACATTTATTCAATGTTTTTGTTGCTTTTTTTTCATAGGTACGAAAAATGTTTACAATTTCATAGATTTTGGTCTGTTGATGATTCTCAATTACACACTGAATATTCAGCATTACGTTCTATTGTCATGACAAATTGGGAAGAAACTGTCAAATTACCAATTAATGAACCAGCACCTGGTTTAAAACGTTCACAAATTCAAGAATATGTCGAATATTATGGTGGTCCAGGAGTTCAACATATTGCTCTTAACACGAGTGATATTGTTACTGCAGTAAGTAAAAAATTACAAATTAAAATATAAAAAAAAATATTCTAAAAAACAAATATTTTACTAGATTGTAAATTTACGCAAAAGAGGAATGGAATTTCTTACTGTTCCCGATACATATTATGATTTGTTGAGGACACGTCTACAAGATTCTTCTACAAAAATAGCAGAAGATTTGAATATTTTGCAGGTAATAAAAAAAAAAAAAAACTAAAATTTAAATAAAAAATTTTCTACAATTCAATAGAACGTTCAAATTTATAACAAAATTAAGAAAACAGAGAAAACAAAATTACAGAAAAAAATATAGAAAATTTTATATAAATAATAAATTTAATAAGTATATTTTTTTTCTTCATTTTACAGAAATTAAAAATTTTAGTTGACTATGACGAAAATGGATATTTATTACAAATTTTCACAAAAAATATGCAGGATAGACCAACTTTATTTATAGAAGTTATACAACGACACAATCACAATGTAAGTAGTGAAATTTAATATTTCAATTAAATAAGAACTTTTCGTCATTTTTTATATTCTTCTTCGCCAGGGTTTTGGAGCTGGAAATTTCCAAGCATTATTTGAAGCTATTGAATTGGAGCAAGAAAAACGGGGAAATTTATAATTTTCAAACATCACGCGCAAAAAAAATTTTTTTTGTTTAAATTTTACTGAATAAATGACAAAAAAAAATATTATTAAGTGTAAAAAAAAATAATAATTCACAAGAACTAAATAAAAAGATTACAAATTTATTATAAATACTTGTACATAAAAATGTTAAATGTCTTTTTTTTTAATAACTGATGAAAATAAAAAAGTTATTTAAAAATTTGTTACTTTTAATTTCTTGATAACTTACGGAAAAAAATTTGTTTTTCTAAATCTTTAAAATTAAAAAAAAAAAAAGGAAACAGAATGCAGATAAATCCTAACGAAAAGTCTCGATTATTATATTAAAGTGAAAGAAATTCAATTTTAAAATTGAAAAATAAAAAGAATTTGTATTTTAGAAAAATTATAATTATAGTTTGATTGACAATAAAATTTGCTAAACAATTGTTGGAAGAAATTAAATTTTCTTTTTTTAAAAATAAAATTCTGAAAAAAATACATTTTTAATTTAATAATAATTTTACAAAAAATTTTTAATCTTTCGTCAATAATTTTTTTTTTTTATTAACTGAGGTAACTTTAAACATAAGATGTTTTATATCACTTAGTGGATAATTACTATTTCTTATTGCATCTAAAATTATATATAAGATTTTGATACCGTGGAACATATTACAAATTTTTGGTATATAAATTTACATAATTTTTTTTTTTTAAACGTTTACTTATTTACATTATAGGTCATAGATTAATTATTATTAAAAATTTTATAAATTAGCAACTGACTAGCATTTTTGCATCACTTCAGTCTGCTATTACAAATAATCTTAATGTAATTGCGCGCAAAGTGTTGTTCGCTATTAATTCCTATTAATATGAAATATAATTGAAAAATCGTTTTTTTTTACATATAAAACTGGAATTAATAACAAGGAATGACATTATATTATATTACATTGTTGTTTTGCACTTGACAATTATATATAGAAAATAAGTTGACTTAGCCGAGAGACTAGTTATTATTATTACTTAAAGAAACTGATTTATTTGTTGGAATTTCATCGATACTATGAGTTATTCCATATGGTCTCAAATGATAAATTAAATATTCAAGAACATACATCATATTCGGCGACACATAGTGAAATGATATGGCACTATCGGAACAACAATTTAAACCATTTTCAGTATCATAATAAATATAGTTCCAATACCAAAAGTTTGAATCACGTTGACTTGATATTAAATGTTGTTCGGGTATAAATGGAAAAAATCTTCCACGACCCAATGGATCACGTGAATCCATTGCAACTACATTTATATTTTCTAAACATTTACCCATTTCAACATCTTCAGCTCCGCCATTATCCTCGCGACATTTTGTTTTATTGGGTAATCCTTCAACGACAAATTTTCTAACAGCCTCTTTACTAAGTACATAACCCGCACCACCGCTCATATAACCTTGTTTCACGTATGGCTTAAATCTACATCCAAAATACAATGGAGACGCTGAACTATACGACGATAACATGTATCGTAAATTTTCTACTATTACATATCTGAAAACAATTAAATTACAATTAATAATTAATGCCGCGCATCATTATTCCATTAAAATTATTAATTATAATTTTAAACAATTTTACAGAATTGACACAAAAATATTTGAATTTATTTATTATTGAATAAATAATATAATAAATACAATTAATATAATTTATATATTAACTTGAATTGTTTACAAAATCAATTATTTTCAATAATTTAAAATAAATTCTTAAATTACATGATTTAAAGTCTAAAGTTTTTAAAAAAATTTTCAACAATTCAAAATTAAAGTTTCAATTAATAATCTCCTGATATTCAATTATTATTTTTCAAAATTTTAACTCGAACTCTTCTAAAATACAATCACTCCTAAATTTTCTATGTAAAATTGACATTGTGGAATTCTATAATAATAATTAATTAGAATTTTTATTTTAAAGAATTTCATTAGAAATAATTATTTTTTAGACAAATTTTCATTTGAAAATTGAAAAAATACTTACGTGTCATCATCAGCCTTGATGAACCAGTCAATATTATCTTTATAATGCTCATAAGAATATTTGAATGCTTCTTTTGTTTTGCCCCAAAGATTATTCCTTCCTTCTTTAACAGGTAATGCTATTGCAGGTAAACTGTCGTCTAAAAATTATTTAGATCCAAATTTTATAATATTAATATAAAATAATTATTGCCGCAAAAAAATTTATTTTAAACAAAATGAAATAATTTTTTGTTTAAATTACCTTTTTCTGAACTCATAAAAAGAAGAACATTACATCGCTTTCCCCATGTGGCTTTCACATGTTTAGCTTTAGTTTGATGATTCTTTGGTCCAGTCATTATCCAACAGAGAATACGAACTTTCTTTGCTAACTCTTGTGCTACCTTATCTTCATTTCTATGAAAAATTTCATCTTTCTCATGAAATTTAATATCCGTATCTGGTTCCATCTAAAATAAAATAATTAATCTTATTTCTTCAAAAATTCTTTATTGTCCAATATGAAAATGAAGAAAAATTAAAATTTACAAACTTATTGTTTTTACAATAATTGACAAAAATGAAAATTTTTTTTATATAAATGTTAATACAAATTTATTTTTAACTAAAATAATAATAAAAAAAAATATTTTTCTTACGTTTAAAAAATGTTCAGTTAATTTAAAAAATAAAAAAATTTATAATAAAAAATTTACTTGTAAGTCAACATCCGGAAATTGATGTCCATTGTTGGATGCTGGACCACGAGGCAGCCAATTAAATAGATGTGATATGTCTTGAGTGGCTGTGATGAGAAGACATGCTGATAAAAAACCAAAAACCGTTCCTACGATGAGAGTTAGAATGAAACGTTGTCCACCTCTACCTTTAGAAATAATTTTCTTTTTTCAGTTAAAATTTGAAAATTATCGGAAAAAAATTATATATATATATTTATTTATTTATAATAAGCTATTTATGTAAATTGAACATTTTGAATTTTTTAATTTATAATAAAAAATATTATATAATTATTAAAACAAAAAACGGTTTTAACAAAAAAGAGATATTTTTTATGTGACGCTCCGCGACAAAACGCACCTTAGCTCCCAAAAAGTTTAGGTCATATTTAGTGATAGTTTAACAAAACCAAAAAAAGATTTTATTGAATATTTTGTATGTAATAAAGTCTTAAACATCAATGGTGTGTATAAAAAATTTATCCTTTTTGTATATTTTCACTCCAAAAATAAAAAACATTCTTTTATCGCGGAGCGTCGTATTTTATTATTATTATTTTTTACTTATTTAATACCAATGTCAAGTTTGGAAATAAAATTGCAGTTTTGAAACACTGAAAAAAAAATTCAGGTTAAAATTATATACTAGATGAAAAAAAAAATGCCTATATTTAGTTGAATAAAACTTATAAAACATTGGTAAAAAGGAAACAAACTTTTAAAATGTCATGAACAAAAGTAACGAAAATATAAATGATAATCTCTATTTAAGGACATTAAAGAAAGAAAACAATGTTTTTAACGTTTCAAACACGACTAAAGTTTTACTCGGAAACTGAAAAATTTCATTGAAATAAAGATAAGACATGAAACGATTAGATAAAATAATTTAGCTATTAGCAGAAAGTACGATGTATATTATCAAATGATTTTTTATAAATTTAATTATTGTAACTCTTTTTTTTTGATAATTTTCGTTGTAATTGAATAATTGTAATTTCTTTACTCTATAATTAAATATTAAAATTATAATTTTATTAATAAAATTTTGTTCAATTGTAACAAGCGTTGATTTATTTTAAAACTGCAGTAAATAAATACAAATAAATAAATAAATATTGTGCTAATATGGCATTAGTAAATAATATTAAATAATTTATAAAAATAAAAAGAAAATTTTCTTTTCTCAGAAAAGTAGCTTTTATAGTTTAATTTAAAAACAAAATTTTTTTTCTTATCTTACCATTAATTCCTGGCAGTCTATGCTGAACCATGATGAAATAAACAAATATTTACCAAAAAATCAATATACACTATAAATTTTCCTTTATTCTGGCATTTTTCCGAAATTTTTTCGTATTGTACTATAGAATTAATTTAAAATTCACTGAAGTGATTTTGTCATTTTGTTTGCTCACCTAAAATCAATTAATTTCGCAATTAAATTATTTAAATTCAAATACTAAATTAATATTTTTAATTCTTGATAAATATTTAATTATTATTTATTATTATTATTATTAAATATTTTTTATTAATTATTACTACATATTACATCATGTAAATAATTAATTTAATTAATTTTTTATTAAGAATTATTTGTAGATATATTTTTATTAAATTAATATTTCTTAGATTGACTTCAATAAAAAAAGATTTGCAAAAAAAAAATTGTCCACTTTCTTTTTTCTTTTAAAGGTTTTCAAGTCTGATTTATAAAAATTAATCAAATTTAAATTTTCGACAAACATTTTACGATATTCAAAAAATATTCCATTTTTAACAACTTTAAATGATTTTTAAGATTAATTCATGGAATATTGTTGAGTGAAATATTTAAAAGAATTTTTAATTCTAAAATTTTCAAAATTATTAATTTATATTCAATTAAATTGGAAATCATTTCAAAATAATCAAATAAAATGATTGAAATTAATTTTTTAACAAATAATTTATATGATCTTCAAATATTTAATTAAATAATTTAAATTACCTTTAAATATTTAAATGTATCTTCAAATATTTAATAAAAATAAATTAGAGATATCTTTAAATATTCAGTCAAATAATTGAAATCAACTTTTATTATTCATTTAAATATTTTAATTTATCTTTAAATTTTGCATTAATTAATTAAAAATATCTTCAATTACTCAGTCAAATAATTGAAATTATTTTTACTAATAAAATAAAATTGATTTTTTTTTTTTAAATATTACTCTAAAACAAATAATTTGAATTAACTTCAATATTTGTAGCTTTAAACGGATTTATAAAAAGTTTTTCTGACCTTAATATTATCTACCGTAAGGATTAAGAAAGACACTATCTAAATTTGAAGTCGAACGAAGATATTCAACGAAACGCGTTTGCATCAAGTCCTCGTAACTTATAATATATTTAAAAAAAAAAAAAAAAAAAAAACTCATATCTGAGTAAAATGGACATACACTATCGATTCGTGCAAGAAAAAATTAAAATTTCTATTGTTTATATGCAAAACTGTACATAGCTTTTTCTATGATTTAAATTTTAAATTATTTAACAATTATTATTTGATTTTCCACAATTTTTTATTATTTTTTACTAACAATTTTTTTTAAATTCCTTTTTTTTATAATTTCCAAAACAGTTCAATTCTTTTTTTTTTTTAATTTCAATAATGTAGAATAATTTTAAATCTAAAATAGTGCAAAAAAAATAAGCGCATATACAAAACGTATAATATATAATAATAATAATAAATATTAATTAATAATATAATAAATTTCATGTTTGATTTTTAATTTTTAACATATTTTAAAAATGCACATAATGGCAAAAATTTTAGGAAATAAAATCGTATGTTTGTTTAAAAAAAAAAAACAATAAATGAAAACATCTCAAACATATATGAATTGCTTGTAAACGGAAAATAATTATTTATTATGTAAGTATAAATTGAATTCTTTTTTTTAATATATATCTTCACAATGTATAATTAAAAAATCGAAAAATAATTTTAAAATTTACTTTTAGAAAAATTTTATTTTATTAAGAATTTAATAATATTCAATTATTTTTCTTAAAGATAAAAAAAAATATATTTTTTACAAAAAAAAAATAGTTGTAATTTCTAATATTATTTATTATATAAACAATATGTGTATAATACAAATTCTGTGACAAAAAAAAAATTTCGATAATAATGGCGTGTCATGATAATAATTAATGTGTTGCATTATAATTTTTTTTTTTTTATTAAAAATGTAATATAATACGTACCATGATAAAGATAATTGTTACAAAAAATGTAACTACTGTATTGTATATTATTTAAATTGGTTTTTTTATTTTAGAAAATTCTATATAAAAAATTAAACTGATTATTTATAAGCTTGTACATTTCAACTATTTGAATTTTCTATAATACATTATTATCGCATTTATGATAATAATATTTCTACATTTTATTTTCTTTTTACTGTATCGGATATCAGGCCCAGGGCGGCCAAGCTTACAATGGAAGCACGAAGCAGAAGATAACATATGATTGAAATAAAGGTGCAGTCACACTGACTCTAAAATTATCGAGTGAACTGACATTAATTCACACGACAAAAGGTGTAAATTTTTTCTTTTTTGCCGTCACATTTTGGATATTCCACTCAATGACATTGAGTTTGACTTTCTTTTTATTCATTTCATGGTAGGAAGTTTAAATTTTTTCTTCTGCTAATGCATGCTCGTACGAGTTTTTATTTAATTTTTTCCGAATTGTATATAATAATTCAATAAATTTCTTTGATATTTGATTTGATAAAATTAATTGAAATTTTAATAAATTAACAAACAAACAAAAAATGGAAGTAAGTCAACCAGGAACTTTAACCAGTGCTCAAAAAGATGCGATTATTGATCAAGTAAAACAAGAAATTGCTGTTGCTAGTATAAATGAACTTCTTATGGTAAAATTTAAAAAAAAAATTGTTTTTCAAATTTAATATTTTTTTTTTCTTTTAATTGTAATTAAAAATAAAATAACCTTTCTTTTTAGAATGTGACAAAAAAGTGTTTTCACAAATGTATACCAAAACCTGGTACTGCACTTGATAGTTCCGAACAGGTAAACACATGATTTATAAACATAACCTATATTTTTTAAATTATACAAAAATTGTAAATATATATTTTTTTTATGTAATTTATAACGTGGATCATACAATTTACACAATTTAAATTTCAATAAATCTTCATTTTTATTTGTAAAATTTTATATTAAAGATTTCAATCGTTTCTAATTTATCAAAATTTTACACGATCTAAAGTAAAATTAATTAATTTTTAATTACTAAATTTCAAAAGATCTGAACTTTTATTTTTAATCTATTCAAACACTGATTAATTCAAATTTCAATTAATTAAAATTTCAATTTATTTGAAATTAAAGTATATATAAATTAATTAAAGGAAATTTTCATATTTTCTAATTTTAATTTATCCAAATTTTACGAAGCTGATGTACGCAACGTTTATGATAAATGATTTTTAAAGAAATAATTTTTTAAAATGAAAAATTCTATAATTTTTTGCCTAAAAAATATTTCTTGTAGTTTTTATTAATTGACAAATTATTTTTAAAAAAAATATATAATTTAGGTAAAAAATTATAAAATTTTTCATTTAAAAAAATTATTTCTTTAAAAATCGTTTATCATAAACTTTGGCTACTTCAGTTTCGTAATTTTTATACAATTTTAAATTCAAATGGTTCTAATTTTAATAGTTATTTAATCATTTTAAATTGAAAGAATCTAAGCTTCAATTTATGTAAATTTCTTTTATCCAAACTTCAATTTTTCAATTCATTTAAAGTTTAATGAATTTAAATTTCTATTGATGTTTTATTTTAAAATTTTGCACGGACAACTTTCTTTATAAAGTGTAAATTAAAACACAGAAACATCTACTGTTTAAAATTTTGCAAGTCTGCATAAATGAATTAAAAATTTTTTTCGATGATTTAAGCAATTTTAAATAAGAATAAGAATAAAAGAAACTTTCTGAATATATTCTTTTATATATTTAGAAGAAAATATCAAAAATCATATTTTCAAAATTAATTAGATAAATAATAATTAAATTTTACTTTAATAACATAAAAAAATTATAAATATTTTCTTTTTTTTTAATTACTAAATACCTTCTTACTTTACACAAAAAATAAATCTCAAAAAACGCTTAATTTTCGCTTTCTACAATGGTGTAAAAAAATTTTTTTAAACTCTTTTTTTCGTTTTTTTTAACAAAAAATTTGAATTGTAATTTGTCGAAAACTTATTTTTTTTTTAAAATTCAATCCTATCTATAATTTCAATTTAAATTTATTAAAAATTAAATTACTTATAAAAAATTTAATTTAATTTAACTGAAAATTTAATTTTCAAAAATTTCATTGCGAATTAGTAAAAAAATGGACAAAAATTCAATTTTCATTGATTTTAGTTCAAATCTGACATAAATTAAATTATTTATAAAAAAATTTTTATCAGTCTTAAATTCCAATTCAATTTAAAACTTTTTAAAATTAAATTATTTCCAAAAAAATTCCATCTACTTTCATCTAAATTCAATTTTGTCAAATTTAATTATTGTCTGAAATTTAACAAAATATTTTGAAATTCAATTATTTAAAAAAGTTTCAAATATAAATTCTAAAATTGAATTGTTGTCAGAAATTAGAAAAAAAAACTACAGCAATTTTAATTTGTAAAAAATTTATTTCTAATTTAAAATCGTTTGTAATTTAATTATTTAAAAAAAAAGAATTTTTAAAAATCTGTAAAACTTAATTATTAAATACGACTTTAAAAAATTTTTTAAATTGAACTTTAAGAATATTTTTTAGAACTTACTTAGTTCGATTCTGAAATATTCGAAATAAATTTTTATGGGTAATATTCTTATTGAGGAATTAATATATTAAATTTAATATCTAGTAACATTAGTTGTTTAAAATAAAATATTTATTAACTAATTAAATTTAATTAATTATTTAACATTTATTTTTATTTATGTAATTTTTATAGTACCCTAAAAGTTCCCTATTTTTAAATTTTCAGTCCCCTATTTTCCCTAAAATATTTTTTAAACTCCCTAATATCAATATTTTAATGTGAAAAATTATTAGAATATTTTGATTACAGAAATGCCTTGCTATGTGTTTGGACAGATATTTAGATACCCTCTCAGTTGTAGGATCTACGTATTCGCGACGATTACAAAAGGAACGTGAACGAATGTAAATAGAAATTATTGTTTAAATAAATGGTAATGTTAAATAAACTTTAGTCTTTATAATTATGGGACTTTAAGAATTTTCTTTTATAATATTTACACATGGAAAACATTTTTTTTTTTTAGCATCAACCACAAAAAACAAAGGTAAATACATTTTTTCTCGATTATAGAAAGAGTTGAAACTTTCACTTTTCTTTTTAAGCAAATAAAAAACACCGAAACGTAGCTTAAAGAAAAGTGAATTAATTTTTATATTTTCAATTCATTTTATAATCGAGAAAAAAATTTATTTACAATACAATAATGAAAAAAAAAAATATTTCGTATCAGCAAAAAGAATAATTATACAGAATTTTTATTTTATTCTTTTATTTCAATTAAAAAAAACTTAAAAAAATAATTATTTATTAGTTTGTAGCACTTTTTTTATTATCAAAAAATTGTTGAATATTTTTATTTATTAATCTTATAAAGATTAGCTGCAACACCTCTAGCACCAGTGCCTTTAATTTCATAAATTGATCCTCCTTGAATATCATCTGTAGGCGTTTGTTCATTTTGAATAGAAAAACCATAACCGGCAGTAGTGACATATAAAATATCTAATGAAGTACCACCAAAAACAACGCTTGTTACTCTTTTTGCTGGCAATTTTATGGATCTTAATAATTTTCTAGTTCTTGGATTAATTTGAATTACCTATAAAAAAAAAATTGCATACAATTTTTAAATAAGAGACGCATAATAATTATGCGAGAAAAAAAAATTATTTGAAACAATTAATTTCTTACTTGAGCTCCTTCAAATAAAGCTATCCATAAATTGCCATCAGAATCAATTGTCATTCCATCAGGAATTCCAGGGAGATTATTTTCTACTAGATCAAAAGCTATTCTTTTGTTATCTAAAAAGTGTTTTATAAATAATTAATTTTTTATATTTATATTTTTCTATTATGATAGTTATTATTTATTTTAAAAAAATTTTATTTACCAATAGAACCTGTTTGCAGATCGTAGTCATATTCGGCAATTTTTTGCGTCGGTGAATCAATGTAATATAAAATTTTATTATCTAAACTCCAAGCGAGACCATTACTGATGGAAACTGATTTGACTCGGGTTGTCAAAATTTTATTAGAATCTAAACTATATAATTCTCCTTCATTAGGTAAAAATAATTCTTGTCCTCTTTCAGTGTATGTTCCTGTAATTAAAAACGATCTTTTTTTTTTTTGTCAAATCCAAAAATATCTAAATAACATAAAGGGGCGCATGAAAAAAAATAAGTAAAAAAAAATCGTAAGTTAAAATTTCCATTTTAAAAAATTTTATCAATTTTTTTACACGAATTTTCATTTTTTGATTTAACATTCGATGGAATTTCTTTCCAAACGAATTTTTTTAGCAGAATTTTTAGGTAGGGAATGTGAAATTGAAAGAATTTTTAATTTACATAATTTCTCTTTACGTAACTTTTTTAAAAAAAAAATTCCAATTAGTCCGAATTTCAATTTAGCAAAATTCTAATTTAATAGAATTTTATGTGATTCGAATTTTTTTATTGTCAGAATTTTCGATTTAAACCAAATCTTAAATTATCCGAATTTTAATTTGCACCAATTTTTATTTAATAGAATTCTCTTAAATTCCGAATTTTCATTTGTCCGAAATTGCAAATTGCCGAAAAAACAATCGACAAAATTTGATCCGAATTTAAAAATTTACGAATCAATATTTTTTTAAATTTCTGATTCGTCAATTTTAAAAATCGTGCCCATATCTTTTTGCGAGTATTTGCAATTTTTGATAAATAAAAATTCGGCGTTTTACGAATTTTAACAATTAACAAGTCGTTTAAAAGAAAATTGGAGAATTGGAAATTCTGGCAAATAAAATATTCGAATCACATAAAATTCTGTCGAATGAGAATTTTGATAAATTAAAATTCGGTTTAATTGTGGAATTCTTTTAAATTTAAAAGTTGGGTAAAGAGAAATTCTGTAAAAAATAATTATATGTTTGTTAAATAAATAAAAACGACGGGTGCGTGTTTTTGAAATATTTGACAAAAATGCAAAGGATCGATGCATAATCACTTTTGGATAGAACGACCAATTATTAAAATGTTTTCAAAGGAGAATAATAATGAGAGAACGATTATTTTATCGATTTTTTTCATCGATTTATCAAAGAGATCTTGAGTGGAGATTTATTTGGTCGTCTAAATGTAAGTTGATTTAATTTATCTAATGTAATAAACTCAATCTAAATTTTTTTTAACGGTGTTTCAAATTTAAAAATGGTCACCAATTCCCTTATTTAATTTTAATAAGAATTTTTTTCGTAAAATTCGAAAAAGAAATATAAACATTTGAATTTTTATTACCGCTCAAGAAATAAAAGTAAAAAAAAATTCAAGATGTTATTTTTTCGGATTTTTTGCAATAATTGTCCGATTGGCGTAAAAAATTCTTTTTATAAAAATGAAGACGGCTTTTTTTTTAAAAAAAAAAGTCATTGCAGAACACCATTAATATAAATTTTACCACGTGATTTTGGGATTTTTATAATTAAATTATTATTTATTTCTGCAGAAAGGGATCTAAGAAGCAAAAATAATAATAAAGATGAAATTTTTACCAGTCCAAAATCTTCCCATTGGATCAACTTTTCCATCATTGAATCGTGTGCCCTGACTGTGTTTTAATGCTGTCGCCAACTTTCTAATTGGAGTGTCTGTACAATTATTTTCACCGTCCCACGTGACAAGAATAATATCCTTACTGCAACCAGCCACAAATGTATTTGGTTTATCCTCAACTGGAACTACGGATCCCACTGGACCATGCGCTGAAATTGGTAATTATTTTTTATATTATTCATTTAAATAATATTATAAAAGAAGAAATTGTATGACAAAAATTTTTTCAAATTATTAACAGAACTTATTAAGGATCATCTTATTTGGGAATTCGAATCCTATATATTTTCTTCATCACATCAACTTTTTTTTTAAAAAAATATAATTTTCCCCAAAAAATCTATTCCTGACAAAAGTTTCGAATTTGATAAATATTATTCCGAGGTATTCTGAAATTTGTAACAGTTTTTTTCTTAAATGTCTATCTCCATAAAAAAAAATTCTGAAATTTAATTCCAAATGAATCTTTGCAAGATTGGTTCGGAATAAAATTTCAGGAATCAAAATAATTGAAATTCAGTTTCGGAAAGAAACGGAATTGTTCAGAATGAACGGGAAAAAAATTTTGTTTATGAAAATTTTGCTGAATATAAATTTTGTTAAATGGAATTTATATTTTTTGAAAATCCAATGTATTAGAAAATTTTCTATACAATATTTAAATTAAATAGAAATTCTATTAAATCAGAATTTAGTTGGAATAGAAATTCGACTCATTATAAAAACTACTTTATAAAATTCTGACAAAAATTCGATAATTTTTAATTCGAAAAGACAAAAATTCCAATAGAATTTGGAGAATATTAATAAATTTTCACATAGATTTTTTTTTTTTTTTTTTTTTGACGAAAATTATTAATTTATCAAAAAAACTTGAAGTGATAAAACTAAATTTTTGATTTGGATCCAGCGTATCAAAAAGAAAAAACATGCTTCTGTTATTTTATTTTATTTTTAAAAAAAAATTTTTTGTTAATAATCAGATATACCAATATATGCCCAGGTGACTTTCGAATTTTCTGGATTGTATCTGTATATTTTGTTTGCATAAATATCAACGTAAAAAAGCATTTGACTACGTTCATCCCAATGAGGTCCTTCTGATAACCCCGTGGCTTCTACTATCCGTTTGATTTTTACAGACATTCTAAAAAACAAAATTTTATATAAGATTTTTAATTTTTAAAAATTTTATAAGTTACATTTATTTTTTACAGAATTTTCATTTTTCTATTTAACATTTGACTGAATTTTTCATTAAACGAATTTTTAATTACCACAATTTTTGGGTACTGAATTTTTATTTTACAAAATTTCTCTTTACGTAACTTTAAAAAAAAAAATTCCAATTAGTCCCAATTTTAATTTAGCAAAATTCTAATTTGAGTGATTTGAATTTTTTAAGTGCCAGAATTTTCGATTCAATATCTTCAATTGTCCGAATTTTAATTTACCTAAATTTTTATTTAATAGAATTATTAAAACGACGAATTTTCATTTGTCCGAAATTGCAATTTTTAAAATTGCCGAATCAGAAATTTAAAAAAAATAGTGATTCGTAAATTTTTAAATTCGGGTCGATTGTTTTTTCGGCAATTTGCAATTTCGGACAAATTAAAATTCGGCGTTTTAAGAATTCTAACAAATAAAAATTGGTGCAAATTGAAATTCGTATAATTTAAGATTCGGTGAATTTAAAATTCTGGCATTTAAAAAAATTCGTATCACATAAAATTCGTGTTAAATAAGAAAGAGGAATTGAAATTCGGCCTAATTGGAATTTTTTTTTTAAAGTTACGTAAAGAGAAATTTTGTAAAATAAAAATTCTTTCAATTTTAAATTCCCTGTCTAAAAATTCTGTTAAAAAATTCATTTGGAAAGAAATTCTATCGAATATTAAATCAAAATATGAAAATTCGTGTAAAATTTAAGCTTGATGCAAAATATATATTATTATAAAAAAAATAATTAAATAAATATAAATTAAAAATAGAAAAAAACGAATTCAATATTTTTAATACTTTAAAAATGTATACAAATTTTAACAAAAATTTTAATAATGTAAATAATATAAAACTGTACCATACTTACTTGCATGATACTATTAACGGAAAGATTAAACTGAAAATGCAACTTAAGTAAATTTTCATCTCGCTTTATATTTATGTATAGCGTATGTATATAGTCAAGAGTATGATAATAGCAGATTAAAGAAACAGACTAAAAAAAAATTATGATAAGCTTGCTTTTTATAACTCATTGCAGGCACTCTTTATTATTTTTTTTTCATGTACATTTTTATAACAAATAAATTATTTTGAGTATATTGTTATTATTTTGGTGTTTATTGGACGAACAAAATTTATTTACTTTCTTTTTTTCTTTTAATTTTAACATAATATACATAAGGAAAAAATTGGTAATAATTATATTTGTATTTTGGCTCAACCATCATTCATTTATAATTTAGTTCATGTTTACATATTGATAGCTAAACTGATCCAAGACTTTTGTTAGATTCATCTCACCTACTGTCATTCAAGATAAAATATTTTTAATTAGATTATTTATAGTAGTCATTCATTATAAGGAAATTTTACATAAAGTCTGGGATTTAAAAAAAAATAAAAATTTAAAGGATGATAATTTTTTTTTTTAATTACAAAAAAAATTTCTTTCACCCCTGATTATTTTTGTTACGATTAAAAATTAACTATCTAAATCCGAATTAGGGAAAATTTTAACTAATTTGAAACAGCGACATGACTTGCTATGAATTAGTTAAATTTTATTAATGTATTAGTGAAGAAAAATTCTTTTTTTAATGATTAGTAAATTTTAACTAATTTATAACAAGAAAAATTAATTATTTTTATTTTTATTACATGAAGTAATCCAAATTTAAATTCAATCTTTTTATTTATTATTATTTTTTTTTTAAATTATAAAAATTTTAATCGATATTTTTAATTAAAATTTTTAAAAATATTTGAATTTGAAAGAGTTTGATTTAAAATTTTTAGAAATAATTGAATTTTAGAAGATTTTCTATATTGAAACTTTTATTTTGAATTAATGAAATTTTTTTTTTACAAATTATAGACAATAATAGAATTTATGAGTATTTTTAATTAAAAAACTTTTTATTTTCCTGAATTGTTGAAAAACTGTATTAAAGTGATTGAAAAAATTAATTTAGCGAAAAATTTTAAATAAAATTTTTAGAAATAATTGAATTATAGAGAATTTTAGAGAATTTACATATTTGAAAAATGTTTAGAAAAATATTAAATTTTCGGTTTTTGAAAATTTCAATTAAAATTTTACTAAACTTGAATTTTTTCAAAATTCGTTTAAAGAATAAATTATTTCCAATAAAATTCTTTAAAATAAAAATTCTAATTAATTATTTTTAATGGGATAATCATGTGCCCCGCAATAATTAATTGAAAAAGAAATTGAAGTTAAAAATTTTGAGAAATAATTGAGTTTTGGAAGAGGAATAGTTAAAATTTTTTTTAACTAATTGAATTTCAGAAGATTTTTAATAAAATTTTTTTGTAAATTGAAATTTCTGTAGATATTTGATAAGCTTTAAACAATAATTAAACTTTGGAGAATTTTGAATTGGAAAATGTTTTAAATAATAGAATTTTCAAAAATGTTGATTAAAATTATTAAAAATTAAATTATTCAACAATTTCAATTTTAGATAGAAAATTTAGAAATAATCGTATTTTACGATTTTGCAAACAATTCAAGTTAATATATTTTTTTAATAATTCAATTTTAAGAAATAAAAAAAGTCGTGCAATTTGAGTCCTGTTATTAAAAACATCTTGATATATTTTAATTAGAGTCCAGGAAAAAAATTTTAATTTTTTACTTAAAATCAGGGAAAAGTTAGGGGGAAAACATAAAAATATTTTTGTCTCATCCCTGAATAAGCTAGAAATTTTTGTACGTAAATTGGTAATTAATTTTTTCTTTTTTGATACAATTTTTATTTTCGAAAACGTATCGTGGCTTGAATTTTTGAGTTTAAAAAAAATATTTCCTCCCTCCAATTTGGAAATTCGATTAGTTGACAAAAGTTTGAAGAACCACCGCGATTCACCCTAGTGGCGCTCAAATCATTCATATATACCAATTTAAAACAGGGGTGGGTCTTCTGCCTATATAAGGGATGAAATATGAAAATTTTAAAAAGATCCTATTTTTTTGCAAATTTCTCACAAATATAAAATATGAAAAAAAAATAATTGTTAAATTCAAAATTATTATATATTTATTTGAAAAATTAATAAACTTTTGTGTCTAATTAGCTATTTATTATATATATATAATTCGCTTTCCATTTGATGTTCGCAGGAAGATATTGTCATTCTTGGTAAGCCTGCGCCAGAACTACTGACCGAATGTTTGTGAAGTTCAGTATGGAACAAGGGTGGTTGGTGGTGGTGGTGGTGGTGGAAAATAGAAAACGGATGGTATACTATTCAAGAGTCGTGCGTTCACCCCGCGTCGCGACGACAGGGCGTCGTTCGTACACAAAATTAAAAATCAAATAAGAAAATCGGTCTTCTTTCATATTTCTAAATGCATTAAATTCATTGTCAAATTTTCATACTTCCTCATTGTAAATTTCCATTGTCATTTTTCAGTGGCACTAATTTTTCTAATCGAAAATTTTATAAAGTTTCTTTTTTTTTTAAATAACCTTTTCTCTCTTATTTATACGCGGACATTTATTACTGTGCTGAAATTTTTTTTTTTTTTTTTTGCACTATTAATAATTGATATAAATATATTCTTTAATTTGATATAATTAAAAATAGCCGATATTTAAAAAAATCGAAACACAGAAAAATTTACCAGACAGATTTATTAATAAAAAAAATTTATTATTAATACCAATAAGTGATTTCAATCTTTTACTTCGCCTAAAGGAATATTGCATATCGAGAGACTTTTTTTTGTAAATTATGAGGAAATATTGAAAAATAATTTCAAGTTTTTATTAGAAAATAATATGTATAATCTGTGTGTGTGTTAATAGTATGTTAATGAATTAATAATTATTTGTGCGGGTATGATTCGAAGAAGATTATTTGAGAAATCTATGTATTTAATAATTGGAGGTCAAGAAACCAAGGAAAAAGAAAACAGAAATAACAAGTACGTTCAAACTGATTTTTTTTTCTGCAAAAAATTAAAAAGGATTAAATTTCTTTTATTTCGTTTTATTTAAGATTATTATTTAAAGTGCGTATTTCATATTATCAAAGTTATATGAAATTCCTAGATAATTATAATTTTCCGCCCTGGGAATAATTTGTATTTTATTATTTATTAAATATTTATTTTAGTGGAATTTGAAAAAATAAATCGAAGCCATATAATCGTTTTACAATTCTTAAAATTTTATGCTCTGAAAATAATTTGCATATTTTTGTTATTATTTATTAAACATACATTTTAGAGACTTATTTAATTTTCCGGAGATGTGCATAAAAATATTTTTTTAAAGCTTTAATTCTCTTGATTATTATTATTATATTTAATTTAAAAAGGAAAATCTATTTTTTAATTTTCCAGAGAAACTTAAAAATATATTTTTTTAAACCGAGCTTTAATTTTAATTCTCTTGATTATTTATTATTATATTATAATTTTAATTAATTAAAATAATTTATTAATTATTAATTTTTAACTATTTTAATTTCTTAATTTAATTTAATTTTAATTTCTTAATTTTAATTTTTTCAGTTAAGCGATAAAAAAATTTGTTTGTTAACATTGAAGATTATAAGAAAATATCGGCAGAACAAAATAAACAAAAAAAAATGTAGCATTTTTTTATGATAAATAATTGATATTGAAGAGGACTCAAAATAGAGGGTAAAACGTTTAATAACATAATAATTTGACTTTCAAATTATGTACTATCCTAGACCCTAAAACCACAACAACTTCAGCACGAATTAATAACAAGAACGGATAGCAGCGCAATCATATTTTCATTATATTTACATTATAACTACTTTTCATATATTTGTTTAAATTTATATTATTTATGTTGTACAATAATTATTAATATTTTTATTTTATTTAATTTAAAAAAAAAAAAAATTTTATTTATTTAAAATAAAATTAGAAAAATGTCATTTCCCTCCAAAATTAATTAATTAATTTTTGTATATTTTTTCTTTTAATTTTAAATATAGGGAAAATTTTAAACAGTTAAAATTGTCGGTAAAAAAAAAAAAATTTTTTTCCTATTAATATTCATGAGCATCATTTTGACGTACATTAATATCAACTTTAAAGGAGGAAAATTCTTTTAAAACTTGGAACATTTATCTTTATTTTATATATTATATATAAGCAAACGTAACGTTTCAAGACCAATCAATTTGAAAAATCGAGAGGTCCCAATTGGACTTGAAACGAGGGTTATAAAAAATAGACACACATGTCTGAAGTTTCGAAACAGTTTTTCTCAGTCTCGAATTGGTACGTATCATCAAACTTAAAAAAAAAAAAGAAAAAGAGAGTATTTTATTTCAAAACATCCATATTGTCAGAAATTGTATCAAAAATGTAAAATAGAAAGATTGAAAAAAATGTAAAAATTAATCTATAATTTAATTTATAGATTTTTAAAAATATTGAGAAATTATTTTTTGTTTCAGATTGTTCGTCTTGGATGTGTCCTAAATGAATTATATTGTCAATGCTTACTAAGATTGATTTACTAAGAAATGATACAAATAATTGAAATTATTATTTAATAAAAGTTTTTGTGAAAGTCAATTAAGAAATAAAAATAAACATAAAAATTAAGAATTTTCTAAAGTTCTACAATTTATGTTTAAAGAAGCATGACTGAGAAAATATAGTGAAAAAGCTTCAGAAATATTGTAAATCAAATTAAAATATCATAATAATTATGACCAAGTCATAATTTTTTTTTATATTTACAATAAAAAAAATTTTTGTAAATATATTTGTGAAGAAAAGACTGTACTTAACAAGCGACATTGAATTGAAATAATAATTATCAAATCAAATTTTAAAAATCAAATAAAAAAAAAAAAAAAAAATGGCGAACACACAGGAAAAGTCAAATTCTAATAAAGGATTATTACGCAACAATGAAAGTACATCATCAGAAATAGAGCAACCGGATTTTTCAAATGGATTTGAAAATCGAATTGTCGATTTCGATTACCGTTCACAGGACAGAAATATAAATGTCTGTTCACATTTTATTCCCACCCAGGATAATAAATATGCAACATTGACTGATTCATTAAAAAGTGTAATTCATAGAAATAGTCCAAAATTATCACTTAATCAAACGGACGATGCTCATTCATCCGTTGAAAAATTATCACAACAATTTACCGATCATTCATCACAGCAAGATAATACACAAAATGTACCATTATTACAAACACAACAATTACATTTTATTCCCGAGGCAAAAGAAGAATTTAGTAATTTTTCAAATATTCGTAGTCAATTTGAAATACGTTCACAAATGTTTCAACCACAACAGAAACCACATTTTGAAAGAGCATGTTATGTTACGTCAACTGAAAAAATAAATAACATTTATCGTAATGAAAATCCTCATTATGTTAATCAAAAATTATCACCACAATCAACAAGTCCAAAGCCACCTTATTATTCATCGGGTGTAATTCCACCGCCATTAGAACAAAGATTTGTAAGACAACCACAATATTCATATAATTCATGTCCCGAGACAGTGGTCAATGCTTATATTAAAGAACAGACAATAATTAATCCCTATAATGTTGATATTTATTCAACACAAAATCCAGCGAAACATCAACGTTTTCTTCAAGATTTAACACAATATCAAATGCAACATGTCGCCGCTGCTCAAGCAACAAACCAAAATCATCAATTAATTACAACAAAGGACAAAACTTCACGACGTGGTCCAAAACCAATGGTACCGCCAAGGGGAAATTCAAAAATAACATACGACGCTGGTAATAAAACACAAATCATTAACAATACACAACATTATCAACAAGGACCAAGTAATTTTTCCGAAAAAAATAATACACTAACATCATCTGCATCACAATCGACAATTATTGATGCAGACAATAAATTTATTCAAAGAACAAGACAAGATGGATTATTAGAGGATTTAAGAAGTCATTTACAAAAAGAAAATACTGAACCAGTTTATGTATCGAAATTAGAAAATCGAAAATCAATTGACGTTGCCATAAGTCAAAAAAATAATTTCACTGATCCAAATTCTGAATTACATAAATTCGATCGTAAAACAACAATTGATATTAAAAATGATCTAAATCCACTATTTTCCACTGAAGGAAAAAATAATTTAGAATCAATAAAACACGATGGATCCACAAATAGATTGGAGGATATTAGAAAATCTCCAATGCTTTTTGTACCAATTCGCGAAACACTATTGGAACGTGGTAATCAAAAAAGTCCCTCATTTCAAGATCAACAATTTGAAAAAACAAGACAGGAGCTAAGCGCTTGGGCCGAGCAACGACAACGTCAGGATGAAAGAGGAATTCAATATTTTGGTACACGAACAAGAAATGAAGATGAGAAATTAAATCATCGTAAGGAGATGAGAATATTACCGCCAATTCATCCAGTACCTGATATCAGTCAAAATGTTCTACTCGAACAACGTCGACATTTACGTCACGTTAGCGCCGATCTCACCAAGCACATTGAATTTACAAATAAAGAATTTGATCATTCAATTAGTGGATCAGTGTCAAATTTAGTGCCTACAACTAATGTTGTCTGGGTTCAAAAATCAAACCCACTTTATAATCAATATCCAGCTCACAGTGAAACAAAAATCGATTCTGATATTGATAAAACTGAAAAACCATTTCATCAAATCGATCACATTATTCACAGTCATCGAAAAAGTCATCTCTCATCAAATTTATCCACCTATGGTAATAAAAATCAATCCGATAAAGATTCTGAAATAGAGACCACCAGTGATTTACATCAAAAACAATTTCAACAACATCAAAGTTTAGATTATCTTTCAAATAAATTGAAACAATGTGAAATTCAACAAAGTGATCTACATGCCAAACTTCAATGTTTACAAAATCAAAATCAATTTTTAGATAAAGTTGCACAATTTCAGAATCGTGATATACATACACAATTTTATTTGATAAAAAATAAAATCCAAGAAAATTATCCCGATCATTTGACGAAAATTCAAGGTACTGAAGAAGAATTTTTATATCAACAACAAAAGGGTTTGATGAATCAAAATCTCCTCCCATCGGCATATTCATTGACTTCACAGAATCCTTATGATAGACTATCGCCAAGATTACAACAACAACAACAACAACAACAACAAAAGGAAATTGATGATTCTTTTTCTTCTATTGAAAATACAATTCTTTATCCAAGTCAATCACAAATTGATGTCAATTATTCATCACGTCGTTCTTTTAATCAACTTAATCGATTGCAAGATCCAATAAATAAAGTGGCAAATTTGCAATATCCTTCTGTGATGATGCCAACGGGCAATATTCATATTACTGGAACATTAAAGAAAATACCACCTGAGAAACCACCTAGGACATCTCTTATTATGCAAAATCCAGAAATTGAGGTAAATATCATTTATAATTTTTATTTTACAAAAAGATTTATTAGGACACAAAAATTTTAATTTTTTTCCCCTGATTTCCAGTCAAAATTAAAATATTTTCCCTGACTCTAATGATAATATTTCAAGAGGTTTTCGATAACAAGCCTCGGATTGCACGACTTTTTTTTTTACTTTTTAAAAATTGAATTATTAAAAAAATATATTAATTTGAATTGTTTGCAAAATCAATTATTTTCAATAATTTAAAATAAATTCTTAGAAAATTAAATGATTTAAAACAGTTTTCAATTGAAAATTCATTAAAATTTAATTATTGTCTAAAGTTTTTCAAAAACAAATTTCAATTATTATTTCTCAAAATTTTAACTCGAACAGCTATTTTAAAATACAATTATTTCTAAATTTCCTATCTAAAATTAAAATTGGTGAATAATTTAATTTTCAATCATTTTAATCAAGATTTTCGAAAACTTAAATATTAAAAACATTTTCCAATTCAAAATTCTCTAAAGTTTAATTATTGTTTAAAGCTTATCAAATATTTACAAAAAATTCCAATTTACGGAAAATTTTAATTAAAAATCTCCTGAAATTCAATTAGCTTCAAAAATTGTAACTATTGCAATTCCAAAACTGAATTATCCAAAATTTTTAACTTCAATTTCTTTTTCAATTAATTATTTCAGTTGAAAATTCTCTAAAATTTAATTATTCTTTGAATTTTGTAATAAAAATTTCATTAATTCAAATTTATAAACGTTTCAATTTAAAATCTCCTGATATTCAATTATTTCTAAAACTTTTAAATCAAACTCTTCTAAATTCAATTATTTAAAAAATTTTAATTAAAAATCTTCTGAAATTCATTTATTTCACAAATTTTTATTTAAAATTAATTTTTTAAATAAAATTCTTCGAAAATTGAATTATTTAAAACATTTTGCGAAATTCTGAATTCGAATAATGTGCATAAATCAGTCTTGAAAATTTTTCTGTTTTTAATATGTAACTTTAAATTATTTTTGAAAATTTCAAAATTTGTCTCAATTTAATTTAAAAAGAAAATTTGTTTGAAAATATATTTCTGTGAAACATTCTTATTAAGGAATTAATAAATTTGATTTAATTTTTCTAATAACAAATTGTTAATAATAAAATATTTATCTACTAATTAAATTTATTGAAAATAAAAAAAAGAGCACTTTTTAGACTTTTCTTGTAATGTGAATCGACTAAAATGACTTTTTTTTCCATTCAAAAGTCGATCCGAGGCCTACAATTATAAAAATGTAAGACAATAATTTTTATAATTGAAAATTTCAAAAATTCGAATTTTAGTAGCATTTTTAAAAATTTGATATTTTCCAAGTACTTTTCGTAAAAAATTCCCTGACTTTTTCATGATTTAACAGATTTCCCTTATTCGTGACAACTCTGTTTATAAACTGGAAAAAAATTTTAACTAAATTCTAATACCGTTTCTGTTAATCAGAAATTCTTTACAAATTTTTATTATTTATTTCATTTGCTCCAAAAGGCATGAATGAAGCACTAAATTCAGAATTTTATTATCTAGAATTTATATCGAATTTTTAATTTTTTGAATTATTTGATATAAATTCCAGTTAATTAAATTTCTATTGAAATTGAATTGTTACATGATTGTTACTTAAATGAATTTTCATTTTAGAAACTTTTTATTTCATCGAATTTGATAAAATTGTTATTTAGATTTTACAGAATATTGTTAAAACTCGCAATATTTTATTTATTTAAATTTCCATTTTCGTATTTTAATATTTATCTGTGATTTTATTTGCATAAAATTTCTATTCTCCGAACTTCGAATTATACGATGAATATTTAATTTTTTAAAAGGAATAAAAAATTCATTTCTAGAATTATTTTTATCAACATATTTTTTTCCACTTTGACTAATTTTTTCAATTCACTAATTTTCGTTAAATTGCAAAAAAAAAAACAACGTATTTTTGACTTTATTATTAGTTTGAATCGAATAAAAATTAAAACCAAAAATATACTTTCGTAAAGGTTTTTGATGCTTTAAATCAGAATCTATCCTCAAAATTATTCAACAGCGTATCAGGATTATGAGTTAATTTTTTTTACTTCAGCCTTTTGCCCCAGAAGTGGACCCATAAATATTTTTTAATTATAAATATAACATTATAAGAATTATAGAAATTAATTTTATTTATAGTTAATGTAGCTTTTTTCCTTTCAAAATCTACTTTGAAACGATATAAAAAAAGCTTTTTCCGTTCCTGAGAAATCCTCTGTTAAATTTTGCAAGTTTGATGAATATCCACTAACTTACAAATTTCATGAGGATTTCTCGACGACAGAAAAAGCTTTATTTTAATATGTTTTTAAAATGGATTTGAAAGGAGAAAAAAATGTGCTTTCAAATGCCATAACGATTCCTTTTTTTAGAAAAATTATCTTTTTATTACATAACTTTAAATAAAGACAAAAATTGTTAAAAATTTCATGAGGATTTTCGGAGACGGAGAAAGTTTTTTTAGACGCATTTAAAATTGGATTTAAGTAGAAGAGGATAAAATTTATAAGATAATATTAGAGCTCGATTTTTTAAATTTTATTTGTTTATATTTATTTTTTTACGGCAAAGGTTTAACAAAAAGTATTAAATATAAAATAGGTTATAAACAAATTGTTTATTTTGATAACAGTTTTGAAGGATTTTAATTAAATATGCTTACTCGGAAATTTTCTTTACGAATTTTTGAAGTCGGTTTTTTAAAATTCAAAATGGAGGATCCAAAATGGCGGACAATTATTTAAAAATTGATTGGATTTTTTAGAATTTAGTTATTCAGGGGCTTTTGGGGTTTACGGTTTTTGGGATTACGAATTTGAATTAAGTTTTCCAAAATTCAAAATGGAGGATCCAAAATGGAGGACAATTTTTTAAAAATTGTTCAAATTTGTTTGAATTTGGTTACTCAGGGGTTTTCGGGGTTGCTGATTACGAATTCGTAGTCAGTTTTTCAAAATTCAAAATGGAGGATCCAAAATGGGAGACAATTTTTTAAAAATTGATTAGATTTCCCGGAATCTTGTTCCTCAAGGGTTTTTGGGGTTGCTGATTACGAATTTGAGGTTAGTTTTTTAAAATTCAAAATGGAGGATCCAAAACGGAGGACAAATTTTTTAAAAATTATTTGAATTCGCTTGAATATGGTTACTCAGGGGTTTTCGGGATTGCTGATTACGAATTTGAGGTCAGTTTTTCAAAATTCAAAATGGAGGATCCAAAATGGAGGAGAAATTTTTAAAAATTGACATAATTTGCTTGTATCTAGTTACCCAAGGGTTTTTCGGCTTGCTGATTACGATTTTGAGGTTGGTTTTTCAAAATTCAAAATGGAGGATCAAAAAAGGAGGAAAAGTTTTTAAAAGTTGATTGAATTCGCTTGAATCTGGTTACTCAGGGGTTTTTGGGGTTGCTGATTACGAATTTGAGGTTAGTTTTTCAAAATTCAAAATGGAGAATCCAAAATGGAGGACAAATTTTTAAAAATTAACTGAATTCGCTTGAATATGGTTACTCAGGGGTTTTCGGGGTTGCTGATTACGAATTTGAGGTCAGTTTTACAAAGTTCGAAATTAGTGAGTGACTTTTTACTTTCAAAATAGTTATTTTTAACTAAGTTATATTTAGAGTATTCAAAATTGCTACTTTTATTAAACTTTATAAATAAAGATAAAAACAAATAAAAAATTGAAAAATTAGTGTCAATAAATGTCTTCTTCTTATCATATTTTATTTTTTTGAAATTTGTTAAAGTTATTAAAACAAAAAATTTTTCTGCATAAAAAGATTAATAAAAAAAAATTTAGTTAACTTAATTCACTTTAAGGAACAATGAATTTTTTTTCATCAACAATTTGAATAAAATAATTACAAAATTTAAATATATATCGTTTTTTTCGAAATATCGGTTTAAATTTTCCAAAAGCTGGTACATCGACTTTAAAAATTCGTACTTCAAAATTGTTTGCAGTCACTAAATTAAAATTTTAAGGAAAAAAAAAAATTTTTTTAAACTTTTTTTAAAGGTCAATATACTTTTAAGGGTAGTCATTTAGAAAGTGAACAAATATCGATTTTGTCAATAGTGTAGAAAATCCTTTAAAAATAAGCGAAAATATACGAAATGAAAAAAAATACTTTATTTTTCTTTAAAAAAAAAATGTTTTTAAATAACACGTAAAGCTTGCGATAAATTTCGCAATATTTCTCAGTAAGCTTACCGTAAACTTATAGTATTATTGCAATAATATATATATATGGAATAAAATAATGAAAAAAAATTTTTAATTACAAGTCTTTTTAATTTTATGTATTTTTTTTTTTTAATAATTTTCATTAATTTTGGAAAATAATATTTAATACAAATACATATATATATATAAATTGAGAGAGTGTTCATAGAAGCGCAGGTCCAAAACGCAAGCGCATTTAGCTTACGGGTTCGCGTTATCGTTGCCTTCTGGTGCTAGCTGAAAGGAGGGTGACACCCCTTTGCGTTGTACTGCACTCAAGAGTCTCACTACCATTTTATCGTAAATTAGAAGACAGTGAAAACAATTAAGATTTTTTTTTTCTTCTAATTTTTGTCAAAAAAATATCCTCATATTATGATTTAATTATTTTCTTTAAATTATAGATACGTGAGTTTTTTACAAGATTTTCATTTATTATTTATAATTTTTTTTCCAACATAAAAATTCTTTTTAAAACAAAAATTTTCATATATTATTCAATGTGTAGTTTAATGTAGGATTTTATTTTCATTCAAGTAATTAAAGTTTTCAATTAAAAAATTTAATATTTTTCGGTCAAAAAGAATTTTATATAAATTAGAAATGAGAATTTAAAATAAATAAATCGTCAAAATAGTAATTAAAGTGAAAGTGTTAATTTTTCAAAGGTCAAAATTAATTTACAGTGCTTTTAAAATCAAAATGGATTTGAAAATGAAACTATATAGGAAAACAATGTACATTTAATTATTCGCTACATTAGTTTGTGATTTTTCTTATGTGCTGCTTTTGATTATAAGAGCAAATAGTGTTTTTTTTTTTTTTTAAAAGTGTATTAAAAAGTCTCAGTAACAGGAAAAGTCAATAACATCAGGAGAAAAAGTTTTCTTTACTTAAAATAAAAATTTTGAAAAAAGTGTAATTTAGAAAAAGAAATAAAATCAGGTATTATCACAGAATTTTTGCGAAAAAATATCAATTCTAATTTTATAAATATTAATTTTTATTTTATAAATATATTTTTTTTTAATTCTATAAAATAAAACTTACTTTTACAGATGACAGTTGATAGATTCGTTAAATAATTTGAGAATTTAAAAAAAAAATATTGTATTCAAAGAAAAATAATTAATGATATGGAAAATATTCATGTAAATTTAAAATTTTAATTTAAAAATAAAGAGATAATATAGTATTTGAAAAGGAAAACTTTTATAATGTATTATTATCGTTCTGTAAAAAAAAAATTACAAATTTTAAGTACCTCTCGAATAATACTTGAAAATGAACGGATACTTAACGATAACACTAAAACTTTTCTGAAGTGTATCCTTTTGTTGTTTAAAAAAAAAAAAAAAAAAAATTCCGTGAAAGGTAAATTTTACCGTTTATATCACTTTTCAGTAAATAAACGAATATCAATTGCAGTATCAAATAAAATGTTTTATAATTATTTGAAATAAATATTTCTCTTTTAACAAAATGGTTTGAATCAAATGTTTTCAAATTTTAGTTTACATGAATATATATTCTATACTAGCCAAAAAGTAAATGTAATGAAATTTTTAAACCTAAATTTTTCTAAAAATTATTTTTTTAGTTCAAAAATTATATATTTTATTGAAAAATTAATTTTTTCGTTCAAAAATTATATATATTTTTTTTAATTTAAGAATTGAAATTTTTTCTACCTTTCTAAAATCTTTATACAAGTAACTTAAAAAAAAAAATATAAATGCTTTCGAGCCAATCAGTTTTTATCCGAATCTAAATTTGTACGTAACTCAATAAAAAATTCTTTCCGGTTCATTCAAATATTTAAATTTTTTAAAAATCATACCTATTTACATAAAATTATGATTTTTGAATTCAAGAAAACAAAATATATCAAGAAAAAAATTGACATTCAATGTACAGAATTTCTTTTTGAAATTTATAATAATTTTTTGACTATTTTTTTATGATGCCAACGTTTCATTGATGGGATTGCACTATTGGCTTATAATATATCAATCATTCAACAACACTAATGAACATAAATCGAATATTACTGGACTAGGTTCATATTATGTAGGAGAAATATCTTGTTGCATGTCATTTTCTAATTTACGACAATTATTCTACCATGATGCACCGATGCGATGGTAATGTGCAAGTCAATTTTGTGATTCATGGTGAGAACTATATAGCTATATAATTTTATCTGTTACATGTAATCAAAGATTTAAAGCAAATTTTCCCAATTATGCGACAGGCTTTTTAAAATATGTCCATATTTATGGGGATACTAATACAGAGGGTTGATACAAAAATATTATTTTGTTTTTTCCTGATTTCCAATCAAAAATTAAAATGTTTTCCCTGATCCTAATAAAAATATTTCAAGAGGTTTTCAATAACAGAACTCGAAATGCACGATTTTTTGTTTATTTTTCAAAATTGAATTTAAAAAAAATATATTAACTTGAATTGTTTGCAAAATCAATTATTTTCAATAATTTCAAAGAAATTCTTGATTTAAAAAAGTTTTCAATTGAAAATTCACTAAAATTCAATTATTATTCTCTAAAGTTTTTTTCAAAAAATTTCACTAATTTCAAAATGAAAGTTTTAATTAATAATCTCCTGAAATTCAATTATTATTTCAACAAATTTAACTCGAATTCTTCTATAATACAATTATTTCTAAATTTTCAATCTAAAATTGAAATTGATGAATAATTTAATTTTCAATCATTTTAATCAAGATTTTCGAAAATTTAATTATTTAAAACATTTTTCAATTCAAAATTCTCCAAAGTTTAATTATTGTTTAAAGCTTATCAAATATTTACAAAAAATTCCAATTTACGGAAAATTTTAATTAAAAATCTCCTGAAATTCAATTAGCTACAAAAATTGTAACTATTGCAATTCCAAAACTTAATTATCCAAAATTTTTAACTTCAATTTCTTTTTCAATTAATTATTTCAGTTGAAAATTCTCTAAAATTTAATTATTCTTTGAATTTTGGAATAAAAATTTCATTAATTCAAATTTATAAAAGTTTCAATTTAAAATCTCCTGAAATTCAATTATTTCTAAAAATTTTAAATCAAACCCTTCTAAATTCAATTATTTTAAAATTTTTAATTAAAAATCTTCTGAAATTCAATTATTTCACAAATTTTCATTTAAAATTAATTTTTGTTAATAAAATTCTTCGAAAATTTAATTATTTAAAACATTTTTCGAAATTCTGAAGTGGAATAATGTACATAAGTCAGACTTGAAAATTTTTCTTTTTTTAATATGTAACTTTAAATTATTTTTGAAAATTTGTTCTGAAACTGAATTGTAAACTTGAAATTATAAAAATGTAAAACAATAATTTTTAAAATTTTTTAAAAATTTCAAAAATTATAATTTTAGTAGTATTTTTAGAAATTTAATATTTTTCCAGTACTTTTCATAAAATTCCCTGACTTTCCCCTAATTTTCCTCACTTTTGTATGATTTCCCTGATCTGTGGCAACCTTGTAATAAATATATTTATATACAATTTACGATTCTTCTTCTTCTTCTTTTTCTTAAATAACTTTTAGCATAGCCAAGTACCGCTTTTTTAACAAAAAATACAAGTTGAATCAACTTTGAATAAAGCATCATAGCTTTTTTTTATTGCAGATTTTGGTTATTTAGGTCATAAATACTGTATACAAATTTTATTACCAATAATTTGTCGTACCGTGTTTGAGAAAACTCTTTTGGCAAAAAAAAAAATTAATTTTCTTTGAAGAATTTAATAAATTAATTTACAACTCATAGAATGATTGTACAGAATTTTAAACATAAATCCTTCATATTTTTAAATAGCAGGCTGAAATATGTTGAGCGTTATACTCTTGTATCGAAGTAATTTTAACGCATATTCCATATGATTTTCGAAAAATTTTTTATTTGGTCCAAGTTGTTTTAAAATTTGAATCTTTGAATCTGAATATTTTCGGCGTAACGGAAATGTTAATTCAACATAACTTTGAATTCGAAATTCCACGCAACATTTATAGAATCGTTTTTATTCATTCCAATCTTCTTGCAATACCAAGAATGATAAATTTGTGAATACATGGAATTTAAATGTGAGGCTTAACTTTTTAGATGAAGAATTCGGAAACTTTATATGTATGGTGAAATACAGTTTCGAAACTTTGTCTAATAAAAATGTTGATCCCACGATAATATTCAGGCTCAGGCAATGAGTAGATGACCCTTTTCATTAGTGGTAAAGGATATCGATGAATAGTATCAGTTGATTAGGAGCATGTAAGTCAAGTTGATTTTTAGTTGCAGATCAATGTGTTTTTAGAACATACGTTTTTGGAAAACCCACTGGATTTTTAGATGGATCAAATTCATTCCAAATTTTTCAATAATTTTGATTTTAAAAATACGAAACATTAAATTAACACTTGATTTTAGGCAAAAGATTAAGAGGAAAATGATCAAGTTTAGTTCTAGGTAGTCCTTGTGTAAAAAAACATGCTTGTTCTAGAAATGTTCCATCGTTTAGAAACGTTTCTTTCTGAAAACGTTGGCATCTACAAAATAAGACAAAATATTAGTCGTTATTAAATTTTGATAATATAATAAAATGATAAATTATAACGACTAAAATCATTATAATTAACTAAAAAAAAATCATGTGAATTTTATTTATTTTGTGGTAATTAGATAAAGGGATAAATAGTCAATACACTTGTCGTAAGTGATGACCAAAGGAAAGTGGGATTTGTACCGCGATTTTAAATTCTTGTTGGATAAATGTGCGCGATGTACTATTATGCCAGTAAGTTGACTGCGGCTTCACTAAACGGTTCATCAATCGGAGGTGTAAATAGCGAGGAAACAATAGGTGGAGATACATTATGCCGATGTCACGAAATTCAAAATCTCTTTGGGCCGCAGTCTTCGCAACATCTACAAAAACCGTCCTATTTTCATCCTAGTAGCTGTCCACAACAATTTTCGAGTTCTCCTAACATTAATAATCCCACTTCTGATACTATTACTTCTGAACTCATATTTGCAGCTTGTAATGAAAATACAAATCAATATCATTGGCATCAAGCAAGGCATAAGGTGAGATTAAAACTTAAAAATTGGTTCACAATTCATTATAGATATCTCACTCTTAATGTCTGCATTTGTAAAATCATAAATAATACACAGGATATTCATATTTTTTCTAGATATAGTAATTGTGAGAGCACAATTTGTGAATGTAAATTAAAGTATGAATTTTTTGTTTGAAATGTTACAGTCACAAAATCCTATCGAAAATGCAGAGGCGAAAGAAGCAACTGGAAATGGTGCTGAAATGTATTTGAATCCAAATCCAGGAATTATCAGTGGTGGTAATTCTAATCTTCATGTTGTTCGAGAGAATGATGACATAGATAAGGAACATGTAAGTATTTTAATGGAGAAATTGATAAAATAATAAGTTTCTTCATTTGGTTGAAATTTTTTTCATCTTACTCTTAAAAATCTCCGAAAACCTGCTGCCATTCCGGTTTCCTTTGAATCGGTGACTACAATTGCGAGCTTCATCTTTTGATGGCTAGGTTTTAGGACCGTTACACTTTCCTGTTTTCTGACTTTCGAGTTTTTTTTCTAGCGGTTACTTGATTTCTTCTTCCTGGGTAAGGTAATTTAAGTCATGGGAGTCAAATGTAATTTTTCGATCCACCTTAACTTTATACGTTTAAATAATTTTTGGGATGAAAAACTCCTTTTTGAAGTCACTTTTGATTTTGATTAGGAGGTTTCCTTTTTTTGATTTACCGCTCTTCGAAGTTTCCTTTGAACGTCGGTATACGTTTTTCTTTTGGTGACTCTGATAATTATCGCTATGAAACAAGTGTACTCTTTGCTTCTAAGGGAGTAACAGGAGTGCTGGAACACTTCTGAAAAAGACAGAGAAACATATAAGTATTTTCCTAATATTAAGACCAGGATGAAGAGCAAATGGATACGACCTAGTCGCTGGATAACGCAATTCATCACTGGATATGACAATTTTAAGACTTTCAAAAGCAGATTTAAAATTATAACGGAAGACAAACATAATTGAAGTTGTGGTGAGCCGGACTCACCAGAGCACGTATTAAAGAAATGCAATAAATACGAAAGTATGAGGCTGGAACTTATACATAAACTTGGAAACCAAAATTTTACTAAGCAAGACTTAGTAAGTAAAAGTATCTATTTTCAGGCATTTGAAAAATATGCAAAGCAAAGTTATCATCGGTCTGTCTTGTCTTTGCCTTTGTATCGGGTCGTTCGTCTTAACAGAACCTCCTTATCAGATTATTTTGGTGTGAGAAAAAAAGGTAGTAGTTGAGAATAGTATAACCAACAGGTGCAAAAATTATTCAATTTAAAAACCGTGTTACAAAACATCATCATCCTCTGAATCCCTTTCTGGATCCTGCCGAGCATATCTATTACATTTGCTGTCTTCATTGATGACCTGTTTCTAAATTCAGCAGACTTACAGAATTTGTGCTGCTTTTGACACTTGGATAATTCGATGTATTGCCTCTTCTTCAACTCTAGCTCTTCCTTCAATGGTCTGTGGTATACTTAATCCTCCTTCATCTCCGCTCACGATAATCGATGAAACTTTCAAAGCCTAGTTGCCCTTCTGCATCTATGCCGGCTACTAGCCATCATCCCCGCAAAATCCACTTGACGATTGGAAGCAGTGAGGGATTTAGCCGCAGCATTACTCTGCAGGTACTTCTTACTTTTACAGTTAGTCACTTTACTATTTATTATAACGGTTATTACAGCTACAAACTTATGTTTGAGCTATCCCTAAATTAAGGTTTGTGATAATTCTCATCAACTACCGAAACCTGTTCTAGTAAAACTTTAGTAACTTTCAATTTTGACTATAAAGTCACTAAACTTTCACTAGAGCAGGGTGCAGCACAGATTTCAGCCAATCAGGCGATTGAGAAGTCCCTTGCAATTACCGGATTAGCTGATCTGCTCCATGTGACTATATCCTTAGGGAGAACTATTAAACTGTAGGCTGATTCTCACAGCTGTAACAAAATCACCAATACAATATGATTAGATTTGCCAGAGTTATGGCTGTATTCAGGAAAAATTTCTTTCATTGTGAAGACGGTGATATAGAAGATCACGTTAATAAAGTATTTGAGTATTTGTCAAGGAAAAGCGAATTAAAATATCACTCTATACTTAAATTTGATTTAAGTAACACATCTGCGCGACTAATAAGAAAATATATGGTTTCATTGAAAATGATAGCGATATTCTTGAAAACGCAAATTAGGGACGATTCTGTAAAAGAGTTGTTAATATGGCGTCATTAAAAATGATATCGATATTTTTGAAAACAAAAAACTGTCACAAACATAACCTATAATTTTTTGCTTCTTTAGTCCCCTTATGTCGGAGCCCTGACAGAATGAAATTATTTAAATTCCTATAAACGCGCAATTGACTTTGAGTCGTTGTTGCACACAAATTAATTAACAAACCGCGGTATTAACCTAATTAATGGAGTGCTGCCGGTAACTACCAAAATAATATTTGAAAACGATTTGATTTTTCGTTTTAAATATTTCTAATTTATTTTTTTCTTAACAGGCGTTAGTGTATCGTGATGGAAATCTTGTATCAGGATCTTTGGAAGCCCTTATACAACACATGGTACCAACGGCAGAATATTATCCTGATCAAGCATATCTCTTCTCTTTTCTATTAAGTGCACGACTTTTTATCAAACCTCACGAATTATTGGGTGAAGTTTGTGCTCTTTGTGAAAGCCAACAAAATTTAAGTGGAGAAAATGGAAAGGTGAGATCATTTATTGAAAATACAAATACAAATCATTCAATTAGAAGAAAATATGTTCTGCTTTCTTCATCAATTGACGAATAAAAAAAGCTAGAAATTTTAGTGAGTTCCCTTCGTATTTTTTTATTAAATAGTAAATTTATTACAGGAAAAGGTATTACGTTTTGTACATCATTTGGTACAATTACTTGCTGAGTGGACTGGAATATTTCCCTACGATTTTCGAGATGAGAGAATGATGAGTCATGTTAAATCTATAACACAAAAAATAGCTGCTGTTGACGCTGGTATTAGACAGGAGGTCTCAAATTTTCTTCAAAATTTACTATTAAGACTTACGGCACTTGAAAGATATGAGGAAGGTCTTGCGAGATTAGCCAAGGAGCCTTCTACCGAACAACTTACCCAGGTATAATAATAATAATTTATATACCGTCTCATAATATTGTAAATAATTAATCATGAACATGTTAAATAATTTATACTTTCATCGGAAAAAACACATTTTCTAGTATTGAAAATACTTTTATTTGCAGATTGATTTACTTGAACTATGTCCATCTGCTACAATTTTGGCTCAACAATTAACTCACGTTGAACTCGAGAGGCTTTCTTATATTGGTCCCGAAGAATTTGTTCAAGCTTTTGCCAAGGTACTTGTTTAAACAATATTTATATTTAACATTCTTGCGACAAATTAATTTATAGGTATATTAAAAATAATCCTTATGATTGTAATTACAGGAATTACCCCATTTAGAAACATCTTTTAAAGAAATGAAAAAAACTCGAAACTTGGAATCTTATGCACAATGGTTCAATAGATTAAGTTACTTTGTAGCCACAGAAGTATCCAAGGTAAAATATTTTTTTTTTTTTAGTGATTATATAAATAAATAAATAATTCCGTCTTTTAGCACATCAAAAAGAAACAACGAGTCCGCGTGGTTGAATATTGGATTGAAACTGCTCGAGAATGCTTTAACTTTGGTAACTTTAATTCATTGATGGCAATAATAGCTGGATTAAATATGTCACCAATTACGCGACTAAAGAAAACGGTGAGAAATTGAGAACAAAAATTTTGAACTGTGGTTTAAGAAAAAATCATAACTATGCAAAGATTATTTATTTTTAATTAATGTGGAATATATTTTTTGTAAATTTTAGTGGGCAAAAGTGCAAACGTCTAAATTTGCAATTTTGGAACATCAAATGGACCCTAGTAGCAATTTTAGTAGCTATCGAAGTACTCTAAAAGCGGCAATGTGGCGTAGCGCAGGCGCTACAGATGAACAACAAAGGATAGTTATACCATTTTTCAGTCTATTGGTTAAAGATCTATACTTTTTGAACGAAGGCTGCAGTAACAAGTAAGTATACTTATAGAAAACAGGTGATTAAAAGCGGAAGATATCTCAATAAATAGAGAGGAGATAGAAAGTGATAGAAGGTTATAGAAAAGAGATTAAAAGTTATAGAAATACGTCGAATAAAATCTCCATAATTAGAAAAGAGATAGAAAGCGATAGAAGTATATAGATCGGAGATTAAAAGTTTTACAATTTTTCTATCTCAAACATAAAAGGAGATTTATATCTTTTGGGGGACATTTGATTATTGTTACGTCCCTGTAATTTTGTTTTGGGCGCATGCGTCTCGTTGAAAAGTTTCAGCGAGGAGCATGCGATGCGTCGACTATGCGTTGACTGGTTACCATTCTTAGTCTGTCTTTGTTTAGGTATACAGTTTTTCTTGTGGCCAAATGGTGAATAAAAATTCATATAGTATGAAAATAAAAGAATTGAACAAATATTAAATTATATATAAATCAGAATTGATAGATAAAAATTAAAAGATATTGACAAACAAAAATATAAGTAGATTCTATAATAAAAATATTTATTAGACGGTCATTGTTTCTGGGTTTACCCAATAGTTGATTTAAAAGAATTTTTATTTTACAAAAAATATTTAAAATAATTAATTTTCTAAACTAAATTTTCATTTGTTCGAATTTACATTTTACAGAACTTTTATTTTTGCGAATAAATATCTAGCAGAAAAATTTGGAGACTAATTTTAATTTTATCCAATAATTATTTTCTTTTCATCTTCTGATTGGTTAATTTAAAAATTAGAGCCCAATTTTTTCTGCGGACAAATGAAAGTTCTGTAAAATAAAAATTTTGTAGTTTATAAAAATTATGTAAAATGTAAATTCGAACAAATAAAAATTCTGACTAAACAAAGAATTTTTTCTAATAATCATTTTTACATAATGAAAATTCTTTTAAATTAATTATTCTGTTTAATAAAAATTCAAGTAAATAATTATTTCAAATTCGAAATCAATGAAATAAATAAATTTATTTTTACATATTTTTTTTTGTTCTAGACTTCCCAATGGACACATCAATTTTGAAAAATTCTGGCAATTAGCAAAACAAGTTACTGAATTTTTAACATGGAAACAGGTGGTTTGTCCTTTTGAGAAAGATTCTCGTGTCATTGCTTTCTTACAAGCCAGTCCTATTTTGACCGAGAATGGTAAGAAATTATTTATTATAATCAAATTTGAATATTTAGATATTTTTCAATTTTTTATGATAAAATTTAATGATATTAAAAATTAATGTAAATAAGTATTAATTTTATTTTCTAGCATTGTCATTGGCGTCATTTGAATGTGAACCACCTGACACTAATCACGAAAAAGAACGTTACAAAACTTTAAAGTAAGTTTTGAATTTTTTTTTTTTGAAAAACACTAAATCTACTTATACGATTAAAATATTTACCTCATTTTTAATATTTTTATTTATATTTTTAAATTAATTTTTTATTTCAGAGCCGAACACAGTATGTAGAGAACATTATTACTAATGTTGTTTACCAACTTTAAAAGTATGAAGAGTTATATATTATATATAAATATATGGGAATAGTTATCCTTTCAAAGAAAATTATTATTTCAAATGACCAAAAAAAAAACGGTCTTTAGAAAAAAAATGTGAAGCACAATAGTGCTAACGATGACGCACCAAAGAAGACATTAATATATAAGTATTAGTGAATATTACTTAATTTATATATAGAGATTTGATAGTCATTAAAAGTCGATGATGATAAATTTAGATTATTTTGATTTGTTTGACTGTACTTAAAAAAAAAACAAAGTAAAGGAACCAGTTTTCGTACAGATTATTTAAATAAAAACAGACTTTTTTCATATATATTTATGTATTAAATTTTTATATTTCATATACTTATATTATAAATTATAAATTAAAAGTTTACTAAATTACTATAAATATATAGGTAACAAATTATACACTAAAAAAAAAAGAAAAAAACTGTCACGCTCAGTACCTACTGGTTCTTTTACTTTTTAAAAGCCAATAAAATCTGACTAAAGAAAAAATCCTAAATAATATTTACTCAATTTTTTACTTGAAATATTGTAAATTCCCGTTAATTAAAGATTTAAATAAGTATTTCATATTGTAATATTAAAATAACATTTACGTTAAGTATTATTACTTTTAAATTTTCAAAATATGTTTTATGTACAAAAAAAAAAAAAAAACAACTGCCAACTATGCCTAGCAATAGAAGAAAAATATTTCTCTGATAATAATTTATTCTACTAATTTAACTGGTCTAGTCATTTACCAAAAATTTATAATTATAATAATAATTAGATTAATTATAATACACCAAAAACGTTTTTTTTGAACGATTTTTCAATGTGATTCTTTGTTTTGTAAATGTTTAATTTTAAATAATAAAATAACTTTTGAAAATATTCTAGTGTGTCAGTTAATAAAAAAATTTAAATTAATTAATTAATTAATTAATAATAATAATATTAATAACAATAATAATAGCCAGACCTCGGATCGACTTTAAGGGGAAAAAAATCGTTTCAGTCAATTTTTAAAATTTTAATTGTATAATTTAATAAATATTTTATATCTACTAACAATTGTTATTATATATTTAAAACAAAATTTAATAATTCCTTAATAACAATAATTGCATAGGAATTTATTAAGGAAAATTTTATTTAGATAATTTTTCAAAATCATTTGCATTTTTGATTTTGTAAGCCCATATACATTGCAAAATAAATAAACAAAATTGAATTCAGAAAAATTTTAAAAATGATTAAAAAAAAATTTCATCGACTTTTTAAAAATAAAGATACTTTATGAGAAATGAGAGAATTTTTACCAAAATAATATTTTAACTTTTAAATAATTGAATTTTAGAACAACTTGATAAAAATTATTTGAATTGAAACAAATTGATTAATATTATTAAAAATTATTAATTTGCGACGAAGAATTTTAGAGAATTTAAAAAATAATTGAATTTTAAAAGAGTTACATAATTTAGAAATAATTGAATTTTAAGAGATTTTAAATTGAAATTTTTTATAAAATTGAATAGTACAAAAAAAAATTTTAGATTAATTAAATATTTACAAAATTTTAATTAAATAATTAAAGAATATTTTTAATTATTGGATGCGCTGAAGATTTATTTTTAAAGAATTACAGGCAATAATTTAATTTTAGAGAATTTTTAATTGAAAAATGTTTTAATTAATACTTTTAATTAATTGATTTCTTAAAATCAAAATAAAATAAAATTTTACAAAATTTTTCAAAACAAAAATTTTTCGTTTCTGCAATTTATAAATCTACTTTTCCGAAAATGGATTTAAAAAAACATAATTACATGTTTTTTTTAACGAAACGGATTAAATTAAATAATGCATGAGGTATTATGATAAATTAAAGACTTTTTTAAAAGTATTTAAATTTTTTTTAAAAAATGTATATTATTCATATAAGTACAATTTCACATCGATAATCTTATGTTCTATTTTCAAAAATATTAAACATGCATATATTTATATAAGGAAATTACTATTGGAAACATAATTTGGACGGAAAAAGAATTTTTATTTAATTAAATTTTTTTTTACCATATTTAGCATCAAATACAATCTTTGTTTTACATTTTTTTTTTCTACAACTGTTAAAAATACAAAGCCATATATATATATACCTATTATAATAAGAGTCTCAATAATCGCTATTTTTCAATTTTCAAAAATAAATTACAAAATATTAAATCTTATATTATTTTTTTTTTCAAATTTGATTAACTATATTTTGAAATAGATTCGGTTACAAAAAAAGTAACAGAATTTTTTTTTTTACATAAAGTTACTATTGAGGTAAGTTTTAAAATTAAAATCCTGTTTTTGTTTTCTAAATTTCTTGTTAACTGTTAAAAAATATTTCCAAAAAAATTTTCAATTTTTTCATATTTCCAAATATTACTTTAAATTACATTGTAATTCTAATAAACATTTTGCAAAAGTTTCATTAAAATCTGAAATCTAGTTGCAAATTCTGATATTTCTGATGTGAACGATTTTTTTTATGAGCCTTTTATGGAAAATAATATTCTATAAATTATTTTTTTTTTGTATTTTTTTTTTTTTTTTTGTTTTACAAAAAAGCGTTTAATGTAGTTAAAAACTTGTGTTTTTTTTGTCAACTTGTTTTTACTTAAAGCTATGTCAATTATATCAAATATATCATAACTGTGAATAAAAAGAAATACACTTATATTTTATGCGAATTATAATTACATAATAATATTTAAGAATTATATTACTATAGGAATAATTGTACCAGACGCTTGTGCAGAAGAGCGTAAAAGGAAATATTTTGTTTACCTTAGTATGAATACAACACCAAAAAATAAACAAATTTTTAAAATCTGATTATAATCTTTAAAGAGACACGGGGAAATTTTTTATTTACCCGTTACTGTTTCTTTGTGTTTTTGTTTTTTTTTTACATAACATTGATTATTTACATATCGTTTTATTACGCTTATGCTACAGAAAGTAGAAAAATATTTTCCATTTGGCATTTATAGAAAATAGAAAATTGCTAATCACTAGCAAAATACACATATTTCAGCTCACTGTATTTTTTGTTCCTTCCTTCTACGTTTTCCTGCAATGCGACATTCTTGAGCTGTAGTTTGTAGTAACATTTTTTTTCTGAATCAAGGCCTTACGTTTGATTAAGTTTGCTTAATGGTAAAATGTCTTGAGATTAAAAAAAAAATATATATTACAATTAAACAAAACGATTTCACTAATTTTCGTTGATACAAAAAAAGAAAAATTCAACTTTTTCATATAAATAATTATTTTAAGTTTATAAACTTTTGATTTATATCTAAAATTATAAACTTTAGGGAAAAATACACTTTTTTTTATTTGCAATAAATAACATTAAGAATTACTTCTTATCTAAAAAGAACAACTTTACCAAAAAAATTTAAATATAAATGAGAATTAACAATGGACTTAAAAAATTATTACATAAAAATAAAGTAAAAATTGTCCACACAAAAAAATGAAAGTGTTTTGACTGTATATACACAATGTAAGTATTTCTTCAAAAAACAAATATTTCATAAATTATACAGAATTTATGTATTTATATAGAAAAAAAAATTTTTTTTTAAACTTTAATGTTCCGTAAATGAACTTGAAAAATTATTTTAATTCTAAAAAAATGTATTAATTTCTGAAGCATTTAAAGATTCTACAGATTGGACTGATTTGAAAAATATTTAATCACGAGAAAAAAAATATATATAAAAAAATTACATATCTAGGGGGGGGGATAAAACATTTAAAATGCAATTGAAAAAACATTTTTCAAGTGAAACGAAGATTATATCTCTTCAATGTAATCAGCAGCAACGTTCACTGAGAATTTTGTCACCTTTTTATCAAACACATCATCAAGCTGAAAGAAAGCAATTTTAATAAATATTGGAATATTAATTTAAAATTAAGTTTCTGGATCATATTTTCCACATATTAGTTAATTTTTCCTTTTTTTTTAAATATATTTTTGAAGCTTTTACTGCCTTTTTCAAATTAATATTACAGGGTTGATACAAAAATATTATTTTGTTTTTCCCTGATTTTAAGTCAAAATTAAAATTTTTTTCCTTACTCTAATGAAAATATTTCAAAAGGTTTTCAATAATAGGCCTCGAATTACACAATTTTTTTTTTATTTTTTAAAATTGAATTATTAACTCGAATTATTTGCAAAATTAATTATTTTCAATAATTTAAAACAAATTTCTGACAATAATTAAGTTTTAAAGATTTTTTAATTGAAATTCTTTAAATGATTGAATTTCAGAAGATTTTAATTGAAATAAATTTTTGCAAATTTGAATTGCTGTAGTTTTTTTTAAATTTCTGTGAATAATTAAACTTTACAGAATTTTTAATTTAAAAAAAATAGTTGAATCTAAAATTGTTTCGTTACAAAAAAATGTTGAACATTATATAGAAACTTCAAAAGAATTTTTTTTTTTTTTTTATTAAAAAGAAAATACTTATAATTCAATACTTACAAGTGATTTACCGCTAATTATTTCTTCAATCTCTTCACTTATATCTTCGCTTTTTAGAACCTCTTCATTGTACAAGGTGTCTTCTCCTTTGCTTGGTGATTTTAAGGACAAATTGGATTTACTTGGCTCTTTAGAAGGACTCTGTTCATTAGCACTGCCAGAAGCAGATGAAATAAAATCTTCATCATAATTATCAGACACATCAGTCGCTGGAAATATATATATTTTTTTTTATCAAAAATCAATAAATCACCCTCTAATTAGATAATATTGTTAAAAAAAAGTGTTTTGAAATTTTCAAATTTTTTTTTAACATAGAGAAAAAAATATCTAATACTCACCAATTTGCATTAATTGCTTCAAGTCACTTATATTAGTTTTCTTACAATTTAATGGTGGTAGATCGCTAAATATAGAATTTGTTTGAGTAATTAATGGAGGTAATTCACCTAATAAAGAATCGGATTTATTTAATAATACATCAACTTTTTCAATTCTCCCATCAATAATTATCTCGTCAAAATATACACTTTTTTCAAATGGTTTTTCTAGTAGGTTTTTCTTTTTATTTTGTACATTATTTTCTATTATATTTAAAGTTTTTTGTTTAGAGGTATTTTCAGTTTGAATTGTTTTCACCTCATTTATTAAAGGTTCATTATTTATTTGAATTTCTTCAGTTAATTTAATTTGATCTAATTTTTCTTTGTTCTCGTTTAATAATTTTTCTGTACTATCAACATTATCAGTTGTTTTTGTTAATAATTTACTGTCAATTTCGTTGTATTCTGATGTATCAATTGAATCATTTGAAATATTTTTTAATTTACTGTTTAGGCTAGTATTGCAATCGATTTCAGATTTTTTCTTATCTGTTATTGTCACATTTAATGGAAATTGTGATGTTGAATCGTAATTATTTTTTTCCACTTTTTCCGATATGTCCGTATCGTTGCAATCGAGCGAGGAACTATTTTTTAATAATTTTGGAATACTAATATCAAATGTTGTATTATTTAAACGAGTTGGAATTACATCTAATTCGTTCGTTCTATTACTGTCATTATTCTATAAAAAAAAAAATTTATTACCTTATTAGCAAAAATAATTAATTAAATTTTAAAAACATAGTAATATGGAAAAAATCGTTTAAAATTAAAATTCGTTTATAAAAATAATTGTAAAATTATCCTACCTTTTGTGGAGTTATAAAGGCACCATTGATATTATTTTTTAATATTTCTCCAAGCAATGGTTCAGTGGAGCTTATGCCCAATTCTTCGGACAATTTTTTTCTTCCTACATAATTATATTCTTTTCCAAAATAAGTTTCTGGATCGTATACAGATATTGAGTAATCTAATCCAAAATACTCAAGAAATTCTCTGACTAAAGAAAATAATAATTTTCCTTCTGAACTTTGCAGGTACTGTTTTACAGTTTTATTAAGAAGAGGTTCAGGAATCTAAAAAAATTGACAATTGAAAATTGAAAATTTCTTTGAATTCAATTAAGAAATTATCAAAATTTCTAACAATAGATTTTTACCAATAAAAATAAGATTAATTAAATTTTGAAACAATTAGAGTTTAAAAAAAAAACATTTTTTCAATTATGCAATGAAATAAATTAAATTATTTTCAATTAGATATTGAATTAATTGAAAATGTTAAAATAATTTTATTTATTTTTATTTATTCAATCAAATAATTAAAATTTTTTTCAAAGTAATATTTAATTAACGCATCGAAAGAAATCGCATTTTTTTTTGTTTTTTTTGAAAAAGTCGATAAAATAATAATTTTGAACTCTAATTAAATATTTTATATTACTTATATATTTTACATTTAAAAAATATTTACTAATTAAATTTTATTTCGCACTTACCATAACAGATTCCTGTTCTTCAAGCGCCAAAAACACACTTGCTCGTAGCTCAGCCTGAAATAAAATCATGGAATTCATAGAGATCGTAAAAAATATTTTTTTTGGGGGAAATAGAGGAATGAAAATTTAAAAATAGGGGACTAATACTTTATTTTTATAAAATATTATAGAAAATAAAATTTTTATTTAAGAAAAAATTCACTCACAAATCATATGGCTAATATTGTGTAATTATTACACAGACAAATTATATTAATAAAAGAAATAAACATTCCAAATATGCAAATTGATGAATTTAATTTTTAAACTTCGAAAAAAAATATAAAAATAAACTATCATACCTATAGTTATGAAAAATGCCATAATAGTATTTATTTAATATTTATAAATTATATTTCATTACTTACACGAACTTTTGCGAGAACTCCATTGTTCTCAAGAGTTTGTACAACTAAATCTCGCAATTCAGTGTCTTCTTCCATAGAAATATTTCCGTCGACCATCGTTTTTTTTTTCTTCTCCAAATATATTACATAAAACAAAAGTACATTTACACCTTAAAAGTAATCAAAAAACATAAATATTTACTACAACCATGGCGGTTTTTCTTTCAGTGTGAATTTGTTGGTTGGATTGGATTTCCGCCGTTTCACTTGTCAGGGCAATGAATGTAAACATAAAGTTAAGTTTACATTGAAATTTATAATTGAAAACATATAATGGCGCACTCACACCTTTTTGTCTGCCTGCCTGCTTGCAGGTTACCATGGCAACGCACGGGTTTGAGTGAGACAGAAAATTTGAATATTCAAATTTTCTATCGCACTCACTCTCATGCGTTGCCATGGTAACCTGCAGGCAGCCAAAAAGGTGTGAAAGCGCCTTAATATTTTCTTTTATTAAAATTATTGCCCCAAAGGCACCTTTAGGTTTCTTATTACAGGGTTGAGAAGTTACGTGTAAGAAAAAAGGTGCATACCTTTTTGGTTTTTGGCGAGTATGCATTTTCATGGAGAATCACTGAATTTAATTGGCTCTAACAATATTCAATTTTCACTGTGAAAATGGGATATTTGTCAAAGCCAATCAAATTCAGTGATTCTCCGTGAAAATGCATCGAAAACCAAAATGATATGTAAGCACCTTAACTCTTTCAGAATGATGATACATTTGGGACGTTTTATCGTATTTGAATGAAACGAAGACAAAGTATAATGTTATTCTATCTCACTTTTTCATTTGCACAGTTTTTCAAATACATGTTATCTCTCTATTTGAATATTATTACTTTATGATTGCATATGTCAAAGAAAAGATGTACTGACCTGGGACTAGGGTGCTTAGATCATGCAGAGAGAAGAAAGTTTACTTCGATTTTTTTCAAGTGTATAACTACTGTGAACAATGTGTTATCAGTATCAATTTTTTCTATTTAAGTCACAAAAGTAACTTCCAAGTGTTATTTTTATTTTTTTTTAACTATTAAGAAAAGTCATTTGAAAAATGATATAGTAATGTAAAACAAGTGCAATTTTTGACATGTTTCTTTATAATAGTAATTGAATCTTCTTTGTCACATTCTGCTTTTTCTATATATTAATCTCGGTAACACATATTATTGGGTAAATAAATATTCCGAAGAATATTTTTTACATTTTTTTTTCATTTCCTACGTGATTAAAGAAAAAAGAAAAAAAAAACGAAACTATCAAGAATAATTCAAGTATCAAGATGGCGCATACTTTGACACCAAGCGTCAATTGTTCACTTGACGACATTGATTTAAATGCACTCAAGGTATGTATATATTATGCATTTGTAAACAAATTATGTACATATTAAAAATAACATTATTTTTATATTTCTTTGTCAAACAAAAAATAATTAAGTATAATTATCTTTTTTTTATTATAACAAATAGTGATGACTAACCTAGAACTGAAATTAATTTCTTTATATTTTTAGGATGTAAGTAGTTTAAAAAAAAAAAATATTAGTTTTCATTTTTATGAATTGAAAGTAAAGTAATATTTCTGTAAATTACTGATTACTTTTAGTCTAATGTCATCTTTAAAAAAAAATTTTTTTAAATTATTATTTGCGAAATTTATATATATTAATTTTTTACAGTTTATTATTTTTATTTCCTTATCTTTTTTTTTATGTGACTCACTAATGAATAGAAGTAAAATTTAAAAACTTATTTTTCACTAATAATAATTAAATAATATTTAATTAGATCATTATTATATTATTTATATTATATAAATAAATGATTAATTAAAAATTAATTAAGTTAACATTAATAAATTAATTTGAAAAAAAATTTATTTCTACATATAAAATGTAATTTTAAATAAAAAAAATTCTTTAAAATTTAATTATCTTAAATTTATATTTAATTTCGCTTGAAATCAGTAATGATAAAAAATTTTCGAGTAAATAATAATTGATTTGAGAAACATTTAAAATTAGATAGAATATTTTTGGTACAAATAGGTTTCTACTAAAAAAATTTCCAAAACATTACTTTTCAAAAAATTAACAAAAAATTGTTAGAGTATGTTTTTTTTTCTAAATATTGCAAAATTGAAATTATTGATTAAAAACAAAAAATTGTTTTTGAGTAAAATTTCAAAAGAAGGCTAATTTTATAGTTTTATATTAAAAATTTTGAAAAAAAAAATGCAAAAAACCGTTTTTTTTTAAAAAAATTGCAAAAAATATGTTGAAACGGTAAAATGTAAAATATTTGATTAGATAAAACATTTGAAAAAAAAATTGCATTTTTATAGTTAAGCTTAATTTTAAAAAAATTCAAATATTAATTTTTTCTTATAAAATTGTGAAAAAAAAGTATTTTCAATAAAAACTCTATACCAGTAAACAGAATTTTCATTGCAACTTGTTCTATTGTAATTGAGTTTAAGTAGAGAGAATTTTCTGAGTCATGCATTCTTAGTATCTTTCAGATACTGATGAGGAAATGCCTTTAGGTCGACCACATTAATTTCATCACTCTTGATATATATATATATATATATAAGTTATTGATTATAAAGAAAGTTGAAAAATTCTTAGGTGTACTATGGCTAATTTAAGGGATGGAAATTTTCCTTTAAGTTCATATTCAAAAGTGATTTTTTTTTGGCAATTTTAATTTAAATAGCAATATATTACACGTGACTGAAATTTTTAAATGAAATTTTATTTCATAAATTTTCTTATTAATTACAAGACTCAGAATGATTTGAAAAAAAATACCTTTATAGGGTGAAATGCAACTAATTGATTTTTTAAAAATTCCATTAGCATTTTTAACGCAAAATAATTGTAATTAATTATTAATTCATTATGATTAACAAATAAAGTATAATAATAATAGTCTTTTTGTTCCATCCAACCGTTATGTATATTAAAATTAAAACCGTTGAGACTTGAGATCATTGAGACTTAAAATTATTGAGAATGGAGAGATTTGGGACATAAGACTGTTGACATTTGAGATAATTGAGACTTAAGAATGTTGAGTCTTGAGGCAGTAGAAACTGTTGAGACTTGAGACTGATAGTACTTGAGATCATTATGACTTGATATTTGAGTTCATTGAGACTGAAGATTTATGAGTTTTGATGCTCTAGAAACTGTTGAGACTTGAGGCTGTTGAGATTTGAGACCATTGAGACTTAAGAATTTTGAGTTTTGAAGCCGTTGAAACTGATAGTGCTTGAGAATATTGAGACTTTAAACTTTTTGAGACTTGAGAAATTTGAAACTATTGGGACTTCAGACTATTGAAATTTGAGACAATTGAGACTTAAGAATGTTGAGTTTTGAGACCGTAAAAACTCTTGAGATTTAAGACTGATAGTACTTGAGACTGTTGAGATTTGAGACCATTGAGACTTAAGAATTTTGAGTTTTGAAGCCGTTGAAACTGATAGTACTTGAGAACATTGAGACTTGAGAAATTTGAGACTATTGGGACTTCAGACTGTTTGAGACTAATAGTACTTAAGATCATTATGACTTGATATTTGAGATCATTGAGACTTAAGATTTATGAGTTTTGATGCTGTAGAAACTGTTGAGACTTGATACTATTGAGATTTGAGACCATTGAGACCTAAGAATTGTAAGTTTTGAGACGATTCAAACTATTGAGACTGATAGTACTTGAGACCATTGAGACTTGAGAAATTTGAGACTATTAGGACTTGAGACTTTTGAAACCTGTTAATACGTGAGATCATTGAGACTAAAGATCGTTGAGACTTGAGGCCATTGAGACTTGAGATCGTTGAGACTTGAGACCATTGAGATTTAAGAAGTTGGAGTCTTAAGGCTGTTGAAACTGTAGTGATTTGAGACTGATAGTACTTGTGACTATTGAGATGTAATATTTTTAAGACTTGAGAAATTTGAGACTACTGAAACTTAAAAAAATTTTAAACTATTGAGAATTGAGACTTGAGTCCATTGAAATATATAAGACTGATGAGCCTTAAGACCATTTAAACTATTAATATTTGAAATAATTGAGATTTAAAACTGTTGAAACTTGAGACTGTTGAGACTTAAATCTCGAAAGTTTTGAAATTGTTTCAATTGTAACTATACAAATTTACTAAAAGTAAATAAAATCTATATGAAAAAATTAGTATAGACATAAAATTTATTTAATTTTACTTTCTTTAGGATCCTGCTGGAATTTTTGAGCTGATAGAAGTTGTTGGAAATGGAACATATGGACAGGTTTATAAAGTAAGTAATTTTATTATTCTTTTGGTAATCATTAAAATAATTAATCGTGCCTCGACGACATTCACAAGTTCTCTCGAAACCGGCTCAGACGATTATTTTAATTTTTGTGACAAAAGTTTCTATTTTGCATATATAAAATTTTAGAGGAAAAGAAAAATTTTACTGTGCAAGAATTTTTGTGTTGATTCTTGTTAAGATGGTGTTTTATATTAATTAAAAGTTTATCGTACAGATTATTCTAATATCTCAGCTTTAACTTAAAGAAAAAACGATCCGATATCCATTATATATACACTTTATTTTCCAGAATAGTTTTTCTGGAGTAGTGTAAGTGTTTCAATACACCCCGGTCTCCCCTATGCTGACTAATAATGCAGGCACTCTTGATTATAATACTCCCCCCCACTAAAAATTCCCTCTTACTGAACCCCTATAAAGTGTACTATGAGGTCCCACACAAGACGTGAGATACTGCTTTTATTACATTTATTACACCGAAAAAAAGTATTCTGAAATTAAGAATAAAATATTCTAGACTATTTTTTTTTTTAAATATTTACTCTAAAACTTTTAGTATATCTTCAACTTATAATTTTAATAATAGCCGTTGATATTCTTAAAAGAAGAAGGTATGCTGAATATATTCTAAAATTTTAAGAAAATTTTTATTATCCTTAGCACCTTTTTTAAATTTTTGGAGGCGAATATATTTGTTTCCAATGTGTTGCATTCATCTAAGAGATGAATTATGATGTACCGTCAACCGGGATAATTATACCAACAAAAATTATATTTTTTTAATCAACGCATCATTTAAATTCAGAATTAAAAATAAATTTTTGTTAACTATTGAGTTATGTTGTGTACGGCCTTCTAAATAGTTCCTATAAGTTGGCAGGGTTTCT